AATCGAGGCCCTACTAGAATATAAATCATAGAATTATAAAATACGACTTTAAGAAGAAAAATACTTTATATTTAAACCATTATACTCATTATCGAAAACCGAGTAAAAGGTCTTAAGGGAGTATCTTAAAGAACATCTAGCGAAAGGCTATATTAGATTATTAAAGTTAGAAGTAGAATACCTTATTCTATTCGTTCTAAAGAAAGACGGAAAGCTTCGATTATATATAAATTATCGGAAGCTAAACGATATTACTATTAAGAATATCTATCCGTTACTAAGAATTAATGAGCTCTAAGACCGGCTTAAGAGAGCGTAATACTTCATAATACTAGATATTCGAGATACGTACTACCGTATACGTATAAAGGAAGGCGAAGAATAGAAAACAGCCTTTAGAACTCGATACGGACTATTCGAGTACTATGTAATGCTATTTAGGCTCACTAACGCACCAGCGACGTTCTAAACACTTATTAATAACGCGTTAAGAAAATATTTAGACATTTTTTATGTCGCTTACTTAGATGATATCTTAATTTACTCTAAGACTTACGAAGAATATATAAAATACGTTACGAAGGTACTAGAGGCTCTTTAGGAATATTAACTACCGGTTAAACTTAAAAAGTGTAAATTTTATAAAGATAACGTTAAATTTCTAGAATATATAGTTACTAGAGAGAAACTTAAGATGAATCCCGACTATATTAAAAGCGTACTAGAATAGTTAGAACCGACTACGCTAAAGAAACTATAATCGTTTCTAGAATTCACTAATTTCTATCGAAAGTTTATACGGAACTATTCGCGAATCATCGTACCCCTAATAAATCTAACGAAGAAAAAAGTCGCGATCTTTACTTTAATAGAGAAAGCTAAGTAGATAATTAAGAAACTTAAGGAAGTCTTTACTAAGGCCCCGATCCTTACGATCTTCGACCCGGAGTAATAGACTTTCCTTAAAACCGACGCATTAAACGGCGCGATAGCCGTAGTTCTAATATAGAAAGAATAGAACGAAAAAATTAAGTTAATTATCTATTTTTCTAGAAAAATGATAGAACTAGAGCTTCACTACGATATTTACGATAAAGAATTACTCGTAATAGTGGAAGCACTAAGACACTAGAGAGTATATTTAGAAGAACTAAAATACTCAGTAAAGATCTATTTAGATCATAAAAATCTCCTTTATTAGAATATAACTAAAGCACTTAATAAGAGATAAGTACGATAGGCGGAAACTATAGCCCCGTATAATTTTAAGATCTACTACGTTAAAGATAAAGAAAACGGTAAAATAGACACCCTAAGCCGACGACTAAATTACGTAAAAGATATTCGGTTAACCTCGATATCCCTTCTACGGGTGAAAGGAGACTATATAATCTACGTATAACTAATATTAGCAATAGTAAATATTAAAGGTTCGATCGAACGAAATAACTACGAATACGAACTAAAAACTAATATTAAAGAATATCATCTCGTAGACCGAGTACACATCGAAGTCGTACGACTTAGAGTGATAGAACACTATTATAACGACTCACTAATGAGATACTTAGGAGCCGATAAGATAATTAAGCTCATTACTAGGCACCACGACCCCTAGAAGTATATAAGAAAAGATATTTAAGAATTTATTAACCAATACGAAATATATATATAAACGAAACATACAAGATATAAATCTTACGAACTACTACAGCCCTTATAGACTTTAGAAGAAGTATAGACGTCGATTATATTCGACTTTATTACGAAACTACTAAAGTCTAAAGAACCCCTCACGGAAGTAACTTATAATAATATACTCATAGTATACGATAGATTAATAAAGTTCTTCTACTTTAGACTATATCTAGAGAAGTCAACGGTAGAAGAATTTACCTACGAATTTCTATAAATCGTATTTACTAACCACGGAATACTAAAAGAAATTATTATAGATAGAGATAAGCTCTTTATATCTAAGTTCTAGAAAGCACTAATAAAACTACTAACTACGAAGTATAAGCTATTTACATCGTTTCACTCATAAATCGATAAATAAATAGAAAGAACTAACTAAATATTAAAATAATACTTACGGATATATATAAATTATAGTTAAACCAATTAAATACGACTACTATTAGTAATATAATTCTACTTTAATAACTATAAATTAGTAATAAAAATAAGTCCATTCTTTACGAATTACGAATTTTATTTACGACTCGAGAAGACGATAGATAGAAGCCCGAACCTTAGAGCTCTAAGTATAACTCTTACTATAAGAGAACTTCACGACTAACTTAAATTAGACCTAGGATTCCTCGCGGAAAGAATAGCAAAATACGTAAATAAGAAACGAATCGAGGGACCGCTCCTAGAGAAGGAAGACCCCGTCTACCTTTTACGAAAAAACATTAAAATAAAACGACTAAGTGGAAAACTAAACTATATAAAGCTAAGACTATTTAAGATTAGAGATAAGCTTAGAAAAGTTATATATCGACTGGAATTACCGAAAGATATACGTATACATAATGTATTTCACAAAGCACTTCTTAAATTAGTATTAAAGAACGCTAAACTAGTTAAGACACTATCGCTAAATAAAGAATTAACACCAGAGAAATATAATATTAAGAAAATTCTTAAAAGACGCGTTATACGTGGTACCCCTCAGTATCTAATTAAATAATTAGGGTACGACGAGTATAAAAATAGCTAAAAGCCGGAAGTTAATCTTTCGAAGAAACTTCTAAAGAAAATAAAGAAGAATCACCCTAGGTGGTTCTTAACGCCAGTAGGGCGTTTAGCTACTCATCGTCAAAAGTAAACTCGTGCTAAGCTATCGGCGGCTTAGATTCATTAGGAGTATAGCTCTCCTCTCGATTAAGAGCGTTTAACACCTAAGACTGCCGAATCATTATATCGCTTTAGGCACGGGTATACCCCTTAATCTACCGCTGATAGCTCATTAACCGACGCTCTAGTTCGGTAGATTCACTCACGAACTTAGCGGCTTCTACTCGTATCTAAGCCATTCGCTAAGCTAACCGTTAAGCCCGTTCAGTCATCTCTTCACGTGCCTCTCGGTAGCGATTCTTTAACTCTTTCTTCTTCTTCTTCTAAGACTAAAACTTATTCTCGAAGTATTAATCATTATATTTTATATTTTTCCGAGTACACTCATTACAACGGGAATTACCTTTTAGAAGGAAGTAGAAAGATAACGACTTACTATAATTCGAGTAAGAAGCTATAGTACGAGAACCTAAGCGTTTTATCTTCTCGGCGAGAAGGCGACGTTCGGAAGCGCGTTAACGGAAGAGAACTTTTCGAAGACTAGAAGAGAGAAGAGAAGAGAAGAAAGAAGATATCTTTAAACCTAGACGAATTTAAGTTAGGCGGCGTTCCGCTTTTATATCATCGCTAAGATAAATCCTTAGGATAAGGATCTAACCGGAGGGGGGATAGTATTAGATATAGCCTTAGAAGAGACCGATCACGGGCTGCGAAGACGCGGCTCAAGACACTCATTAAATAGATGGAAGGATTCATAAGGGAATAAGGCTGAACTACGTAATATACTCTGTTGGCTCTGTCGGCCCTATGGGCTCTGCCAGCAGAGCGCGCAGAGCGCACAGAGCGCACAGAGTAAGAGTATTATATATACCCTCGTTTCCCCCCCAGATAGCCTACACTCTCTTCGTAGCTAACTTATGTTAACTATTGGACTTATAGTTCTTAGTGATAAGTGACTTCTTATACCTTGCGTTCTTTCCAACCAGTTCATACTATTAGGATTATTACTAGAAACCCTAATCTAGTTAGGCCTCGGTAGGAACCTTAACAGTGGAAGATAAGTGAATGTTAGTACTGTTAGGCTAGGTTTCTAAGTAGTACTATTGAGGGCCCTATTCTAGTTTAACTAATAGGGAGCAGGGCGGTCCGACCTTAGGCTATTACCATAAGGTGTTGTAAAGCTCCTACTACTAGTTTCACTTTCTATATAATTGTTAGGGATTCCTTGGCAAGTAGGCAGAGTCTAACGATAAGCGTATATATAAGTCATCCCTATAGTATATGGTCGATACTGTACACGACTCAAAGCGTAAGGGAGGAGAGAATGCGCCTCCTATGCGAGGAGTGTGCTAGTAATAAGGATGCGCTCCCTGAGCCGCATCTCTTGGCTGGTGGCCTGATTATTCCCCGGTGTATCAGGCGTCCGTCCTTCCGATGTTTAGCCGAATCCGTAACAATAATAGAATCAAATAGCTATTGCCAATAGCTTAAGGAACTAGTAGTAGGGGCGCCCTTGACGATAGGCTAGGCAATTTCCACCTATTTTTATCTTTTTTTTATATAGGTAGATAGATAGGTAGATAGTGACTAGTTAACTAAATAAATAAATTTAATGATTAAGTAGTAAAGTGAAGCACAGCACGAAATTCGCCTAACTTAGTCTAGCTAAGCTTTCGCTTATACCTTCCTAATTAGATAAAAACTTATTTATAGATTTTTAAAAGCTATTTATAATTAAACAATATTTCCTAATTAGGAATAGTACTATTTATCTAACTATTTAAGTAGTATTTAAGTAGATAACTAAAACTATTTAAATATAAATAGTAGGTTTCTATTTATTATTTAAATAGTAAATACTATTTAAATAACTATTTAAATAAGCAATATTTTTGTCCCACACTGCCGGCTGTAAGCGTCTGCCGATTACATCATCCTTGATCCCAATGAACGAGGCTGTTGCTTTTCCTTTAACCGGGTGGAAAGAGTCCAACTTCATCAAGGAGAGAGATAGAGATGCAGATATATATATAGATGCGTGTGTGGGTGTTGATATATCTTCATGCACAGAAGCTCACAGTCTTCCACAGGACACCCTACGAGCGTCAATATAAAAAGTATCTCCTGGCACTGCCTTGTGGACAATTTTACTCCCTTCTTCCTCTCATCCTCTTCGTTGATTCAAGCCCGAGCTCAAAATGAGTGGTGAGAGCACCGTTGCTCAGATCATCATCAACAGCCTGTACAATGCGGGCGTCCGCCTGGTGTTCGGGGTGCCGGGCGCCAAAATCGACGCCATCTTCGACGGGTTGATGGACCATCCCGAGATCAAGCTCATTGTCGCCCGGCACGAACAAAACGCTGCATTCATGGCCGCCGCCGTGGGGCGCATCACTGGAATCCCAGGAGTCTGCATCGGCACCAGCGGGCCAGGATCGTCGAACCTTGCTACGGGACTCGTCACGGCGACGACGGAGAACGATCCCGTGCTGGCCCTGGTGGGCTCGGTGCCGCGCCACATGAATCTCAAGCGCACACACCAGAGCATGCGCGCGCTGGATATCCTGGGGCCGACGGCCAAGGCTGCCGTGGGCATCGACATCGAGGACCAAGCCGCAGAAGCGATCGTCAACGCCTTCCGGTCCGCCAACGCCGCGCCCAAGGGCGCCGCCGTCATCTCTATCCCGCAGGACGTCGCAAAGGGCACGTCAAAGATCCTCCCGTTCCCGAGCGACGCGTTCGTGCCGCCCATGTACGGGCCCGCGCCCCTGCAGAAGCTCGACCAGGTGGTCCAGATGATCGAGAGCGCCCAACTCCCCGTGCTCTTCCTGGGCATGAGGGCAAGCAGCCCCAAAGTCGTCACCGTCGTGCGGCGCCTGCTCTCCAAATTCCCCCTACCGACGGTCGAGACGTTCCAGGCGGCCGGCGCGGTGCCCAAGGAGCTGGTGCACCTGTTTTACGGCCGGGTTGGGCTCTTCCGCAACCAGGTGGGCGACAAGCTGCTGTCCAGATCTGACCTGGTGCTCGCCGTGGGATACGATCCCGTAGAGTACGACGCCAACCTGTGGAACCCGCACGGCACCCAAAAAATCGTGCACATCGACTTCACAGCTTCGGACTATGGGACCTATTATCATCCTGTCGCGGAGCTGCTGGGCTCCGTGGTCGAGAACGTCACATACCTGTCCGATCACCTCTCCAAGATCTCGGACTCTAACACCATCTCGGACCTCTGCCGGGGATTGATCAGGGAGTACACCATGTGGCAGGAGAGGCCTGAGGTGAAGGGCGGTTCTTCGTCTCCCTCGGGCAAGGTCCATCCCCTGCATTTCATCAATACCTTGCAGGGGCTTGTGTCCAAGGACACGACCGTTTGTGTGGACGTTGGCTCGGTGTAAGTCTTGCCCAATGCCTGTCCCTGGCCAATTTTCCACCCCCATGTATCTCAACCTGCTGGGAAGGAGAACAATCATGAGCAAAGCTCCAGCCAACAACCAACCACATCAAGTGCTCTGACTGACCGTCATTCTTTTCCCCCTCAGGTATATCTACTTCATGCGGTACTTCTTCGCGTACGAGCCGCGTCGATTACTCACGTAAGTCGACTTGGTCGTTATACCTACCTGCGTAACCCCATGCCAGCCCCCTTGACCCAAACCTTCCCCTCCAAATGGGAGGAAAAAAAAAGAGGTTTACCCACCCGAACTAACACACTTTCATCACCAGCTCCGACGGCCAACAAACCCTCGGCATCGCGCTCCCATGGGCCATCGCCTCCAGCCTCACCCAATCCCCCCCATGTTCCGAAAAAGTGATCTCCATCTCCGGCGACGGGGGCTTCATGTTCTCGTCCCAAGAAATGTCCACCGCGGTCCAACAGGGCTGCAACATCACGCACTTTATCTGGAACGACGAGGCCTACAACATGGTCGAGTTCCAGGAAGTCATGAAGTACGGGCGCGCGTCCGGCGTCGCGCTCGGCGGTGTCGACTTCGTCAAGTTTGCAGAGAGCTTCGGCGCGAAAGGGTTCCGTATCGAGAGGGCGGAGCAGGTCGAGGATGTTCTCCAAAAAGCCCTCGCGTATGAGGGAGTTAGTGTGGTTGATGTTAATATCGATTATTCAGAAAACGCGGAGCTGGCAAAGAATGTCATTGCAGATGAGTGGAATTGAGATCAGGTTGTTGGGCTAGTTGATTGATTCATTCGATGCTGAGATGAATTCTTTGGCTAGGGTATAAAGTCAATGGGAAGAATTGATGAGCGCTTAGGAATCCCTTGTGGGCGTGGTCTGTGTTGATTGGGTAGCATTTACTTTCATCTGTCTTATGTATACTCCTTATCTTTCAGAGGGTTCTTCGAAAAAAGTCCTTTTGGTTCATTCTTTCGATTTGGCTGGCAAGCAAGTGCACCAGTGCCAAAGACATCTTGAACACACGAAACCCACGTGCCGCTTTGGCCACTCATTTCACAGTCCCAGTCCCAGTCCCAGTCCCTCCGTGGCGGAGCGACTGCTTGTACACTAGAGCCATCCCGCGTGGTGTCATCTGAAACTCTGTCTTCCAGCCCACGACGTAGCTCTGTTCGCCTTCAGGTTGTGTCTTGACTTTGCCAACTTCTTCTTTCGCGGTGTCTAGATTGTTGGTATCGAAATCCGCGGGCATGGAGATGTCAAAGGGAAACTTCGATCCGACTCCGACAAGATCGCCAGTGACTTGATCAGGCGTGACTAAGTTGTGCTGTGGCATCATCTGTGCTTGCTGTGGAGCTCCTGGGGTCGTGGCGGTGGTATTCTTGCGAAACCCGCTGTCTGGCCAGGCACCAACATTGTAACGAACCTGGTTGACACGAACGATGATCTCGTTAAGGGCACGTTTCTCGAAGAAGCCCAGCTTTACCAGATCGTAACGAGCATGGAGAGCCATGAGAAGTTCCTGCATTTTGTGGTCTTGGCTCGTTTCGTAATATTCGCCGGCAAGAGCCTCGAGCTCTGAGCGGGCTGTGCCTGAAATGTTGAGGGCTGACGGAGGGACATGGCGGAGGAAGTCTATGACGTAGGATTGGAAGGCATCGTCTGGGAGGGTTGAGGTGGTGCTCGACATCTTGATATATACCTCCCCTAAGTCATCCGGACAGGATTGTATTGTTGGTGATACAGAAAAGAGAGGCCCTCAAGGTCGGGAGAGACTCACGTTTCTGCGATTTGCCATATTAGTGTACACATAACTTGCTGAAGAAGGTGGCAGCGTTTCACTGACCGATCATCCGCATTCCCTGATCCTATGTTCGCTCAAGATGTTGAGAGATGGGCCGAACAGAGTATTAAGTTGCGGAAGGTGCGATGATACAAATTGAATTTTGGCCGACTGGAGATCAAATTGTTCGCAGTTACGCCTCACCTGCTGGCTGAAATCAGTGGTATACGTCCGTAGCGCGAGATGAATCTGTCGCAAGGCGATGGAACATTCACACCAGCTCACTGATGGACCATGTTAGGAAGTTTCTCTCACTGGACTTGGAAGTGTTGGCCAGGCCTTCCTCAGCAATCAAAGCAGATAGAGCATGATTGGGAATAAGGCAAGACTCAGAGAGGCTTATTCCTCACCAACGACTTCCTGAGACAAAGGACGCAAGCATCAGAGGATGAAAGTTCTTTCGTCATGAACTCCTCCGATCTTCTTCGCAGCGCAATTTCAGACCCAGTCAGACAGGTTACGATTCCGTCCTACTGGAAACAGACCGTCACTGAGGGTATACTTCAACTTTTTTATCCATTGTTTGTTGCGAGTGACAGGAGAACAGACGCGATGCTGGCGGCTGAAGTTCATGGTGTAACTGGAACGCATTTGCTGCGACTGCGGCGGTAAGTCCTGTGCCTGCCAAGGCATATGAGGATATGAACATCATGTACCGCATGGGCGATGCTTTTGTCATTGTCACTGGTCAAAAAAAGAAAGAGGCAGGCCGGTCGGACTCGCGGTGAAAGATGCCCCTGATGTGCTCATGATACTGCCAAGACCAACGTCATCAACATGTTCAGCCTCGTTCAGGTTCACGAGGCTCTAAAAGAGCAAGAAACACTGGACAGTGGTTGATGTATTCTTTGACCCTCAGCAGTCAGTGAGTCATCCTGACAAAGCCCCAAAGCCCGTTTCTGAGATTCATGCTTGTCAATATATTATATGGATGTAGGACAGATAGCGTGGTGCTTGTCCCACGAAGGATGAGGCTTGTCGTGTTGCTGATGCACATCACCTTGCTGACCCACCGGCGCTAGCATATGCTGTGAATCGCACATATCGAGACTGATCAGGAGACCCGATGATCTCAATAACAGGCCAGATTCCGGTTGGCTTGTGACATGTACCGGATTCTAGCCGCAAACCCTGGTTGTCGTACTGCGGGTCAACCTTGAAAGGGACAAAAACTGTCACTTCGTCAGAATCCGACAAGCCAACCAAATTGGCATGACCGGGACGCTGATGCTTGGGGTTCTTGTCACTGATCGAATACCAGAGGGCAGCATATATCATCCGAAACTGGACTGACATTGTCTTGGCGAGCTGGAGGTCTTCGCTCGCGGGGTTCTCTTCGTTGAATCTACAGATAAAATTGCAAACTAGTCCGTACCACTGCCGCATGAACTTGTGGAGCTGGTGAAAGCCAGAACAATCACTGGTCCATTCTCTGTGGTAGAGGGAATATAAAAACCGCCAGCGAAAGATCTCGAAGAACGTTCGTTGCATTTGAGCAGCACTCTGGAATGCTTCTGGTAGATGTGGGATGCTCTGGTCGAAGGCAACCGTCGGTTCAGCACCAGGAAGTACGATGGGAGTTCTGAAGATGGAAACCGCCGTCTCCACCTGTAGAGCTATGGAGTACATGGCTCTGGTGGCAGAGGTCCACGTGGTACTAGGGTCGTTCATGATGCGAAAAGCAGCGGCGAGATGTGACAACCCCGCATAACACTCGGTATGTGGATCCAGATGTTCGTAAACGGCTATCAAGATGCAACACAGAAGCACCGTGTCCACACAAATTGCCTCCTTTTCTCGAATGAGCCAGGACAAAGCTTGGAGATATTGTCCCGATGCAAAGGAGGGCTCGTCCGGAGCCAGATTAGACGTGCACTTATGCCTGCCGGCGAGGGCGACTGCGAGGTGACGAACCCCCGGTATCGACGTCGCGCATTGTCGGACATGACGGAACCAAAAGTCCTGGGCGCTGCTCGCAAACGTCCATTCTGCCATGGCGGGCGTGGCCACTTCACAGAAGTACTGGAAAGCCCAGGTCCCAAGATCTGTCCCTTGTTCCGTTGAGATTTCCTTCTGCAGGAGCGCGGAATTGGCAGACATATCTGACACCTTGGTTCCAGAGGGTTCGAAAATCCAAGCTTTGCGGACAATGTAGCCGTCACACTGACGGCTGCTGCGCCTGCATCTCAGACAATTTGGCTTGGTCTCGTCGCATTTCAAGTGTCTCCGTTTACAGGTGAGACAACCAGTGACGACTTTGGGATGATACGCTCGTCTGTTGGGACAATTTTTGCTATTGCTGGGACCCGGAGGAACTGGACCACTGTTTAGTGAACATGATGGTGACAAGAGCGCAATTTCCGGGTCTTGCACAGGCAGATTATTCTCGATGGTTTGCTGTTCCTCGATGATCCAGCGTCGATCTTTGCATCTCGGCGCCATTGTTGGCACTTCGCAGCTGAGAGATATCATCGAATCCATATTTTTAATACCAAGAATTGGCTTCCGCTGATATGAGAATCGCGTCGACGAGTGGCTCGCCTTAGAAATTCCATAGGGCTGAGAAATGTGACGCAAATCGCCGGCTGGGAGGCCTAAGCAACTGAGATATACCGAGTACCTAGAGCATACACGGACTGACAGACAGAGGCTGGAGTGCAAACCACTGGAGCAAGAGCACCTTGCCGTCAAGATTCAAGCCTTCTAAACGAGCCGATAGCGACTCGCTTCAATTCTAGGAGGTTTTGGCCCCTGACGCCATGCCGATGATTCTATGAGCCCCGTCAGAAGGGCGTAGGCCGCTCATTCCCCGGTAGCGCGGAATTGTGGGCGTCGCAAGCGAACAGCCATCGCGAGTGGCAGCAGGAGAGTCGCAAGGACCCATAGGCTCTCCCTTGGCCCATTATGCGAGATCGAGACTAAGGAGTGTTTGCCCCTACTTATGCATCTCCTTTTGGTGCTACAACCCAGCTAGGGTATTCATATCCTTGCTTCTGTTCTACTCTACTGAACCAATATGTAGAATAGAGGGGTGTCCACCGCTTGTTGATGTTTGTCATTTGCTGCCAGAGGACGGTCGCCGGGAAGATTACCATGACCGAACGGTCGTATCTCTCTGAGATTGTCAAGAAGAATTTCCCGGTGGAGCACCAATATAGCACATACTCAGATCAGAACTGGCACCCGTTCCACTTGTTCCCGGAAGCAAACAGGCGTCCCATATTCAGAAGCCGTGAGTGCAACATACCGATGCCGATCCGGATATCAACATGTCAGCTCAACCACATTGCAAGAAATGTGATATCGTTTGGTTTCGGGCGACCAAACCCCCCACCCCCTCCCTCCCCCAGGGAGACAAAGTGGTCACAGCCTCGTGGCACATGAGCTCAGCCAGGTTTAGGCCAGCCTCGTCCACGTCGCTGAACCACGTAAAATAGCTATCAACTGATGGCTTGCCCACTGCTATCAACTACTATATATGTAGGTACTCATCTGGTCTTCATCGCCATGACGAACAGTATCCTGATCCCAACACCGCATTTCCATATCGACCTCGCCGCCCTCGATGCGCTCCACCCGTGCGTCTCTCCCATAGTGCAGGACCTTCGAGAACTCCGACTTTCCCTTGGCCGTTTCTTTTCATGCTAACGACAGACCAGGGTTCACTACAGCCGCCGCCTTCTCATCTTTCGCTGTGCTTCCCTCGCTCAGCGAGATGCTCAACTAGCCGCCTTGAGGGTGGGTTTACAAGCCCTGGGGTTGCGTTGTGCCATTTCAGGTGGTGTCGTCACGCCTCTACCGTCTGCAGAGATCGATACCACCAATGCCAATCCCGACTGGCGCACAATTCTCCCTGGCCATGGCATTGAACTGGTGGTAAAAGACCTGCGGGCTACATTGCCTTCTTTAGAAGAGCTTGAAACCTCCGGGTTCCCGGTTGCCTGACTTCCCTATGAAGTGCTTGTGCCTGTTCCTCAGGATATTGGCAATGACCGCTCCTTCGCTGCATGCAAGATCCAGTTCAGCACAATCGAAGGTGGTACTATCCTTACGTGGGCTATGTCACATTGTGTGGCAGATGGGGGGGAAACAATGAGCTGATGCGGGTGCTAAGTGAAGCAACGAAGATCGCGCAGGAGCGGACTACGGACGACGTGCTGGCCCTGGCTGCCGCGTCGACACAATTAGGCCTGGACCGCAGCATTATGCGGAACATGTCCAGTGAGATCCCGTTCAAGCTAGGAGACCATCCAGGATATATGACGAACGCGCCAAAACAGCCCCCCAGCCACCCGTTCGAGGCTCCATCGGCAGAGGTACCAATCAGCTTCTATATCCCTGCGACTGGGGTGGCCCAGCTGAAAGCAGATGCAACACAGCCGGGAGCACCGCCGATTTCCACACACGATGCAATCTGCGCCCTCATATGGCGAAGTCTCATCCTTGTACGCAGGGAACGCTCTGCCGCAGCGAGGGCCCTCCCCGGGTCCACAAAGACCAACCTTTTCATGCCCTCGGACGCCCGTCGCCACCTTGACCTCCCGCAATCGTACATCGGCAACGCCGTCTACCAACTCTCCGTCTCACTCGACCTGGGCAAGCTCCTCGACCCGCGTTCCGGCCTGCAGGAAGCTGCCGGCGCAGTCCGCCACGCCATCACGGTCGTCAATCCCACTCTCGTGCGCAGCATCATGGCCGAGACGAACAAGAGGTGGGTGGACTGGGCGTTTCTGGGCAGTTACTCGTCGACCGGAGTGGCCATGGGGACGGATTGGACGAGCTCACCGCTGTATGACCAGGACTGGGGGACGGTATTCGGTGGAGTACCAGTTAGGTACAGATACCCCGGTGAGCCGGGGCTCAATTGTGTTATGCCCAAGCTACCAGACGGAGCGGCAGAGGTGATAGTGAGCGTGATGGAGAACGAAGTGGACAAGCTGAGCAGCGAAGATTGTTTCGGGAAGTATATCGAGCGGCAGTAGCTGACGACTTGGTTTCACACAGAGGCATTGTATAGAATCTTCTTGAGGGACAAGGTAATGCTAAGGGGAATGATAGCATGTTGTTGGGCTCACTGTACTTCAACCCTCCTTCATTACACGTCTTTTCCGCTTTCTCGCCAGGTATTTGATTGACCCAAGGCGCGGATGGCACGCGCCACCGCCATCGGAAAGAAAAATGTCTGGCTTCACAGGCTGAACATCTTCATAATGGTTTATACAAGGCCATGTCTGCGTACCGATCATGTGCCCTTTATACGAGGGCTTTGGTTTCAGTCAGTGCAGTGGAATATATTGTCACTCTTGTAAAAGGCTCCTCTCTGAGAATCTCGCTCTGGTGGTTGCGCTCCTCCGCCTTGACCCCGAGGCAGACGAGAATGGAGCAGTTTAGGGCTCTTTTCACTCCTTTCACAAATCCAAGCACCATGATTCGTTCACCAGAGTTTCGTCTAACACTTGCAAATCAATCTTTCCCAATATTCTAGAAAACTGCCGCTATCCATACGTCTATGGGGATCATTTGTGGGTTGTGCTGACCTTTCGTCAATGGCATCTTGTCAGAACTTGATCAAAGGAGAATTTCTTCCTGGGTGGATATGTTTAACGATGTGGGAACTTTGGTGTCTGCATATGAGCAGGACATCTGCGCTCATCTGGAGCAATTTGAAATGGAGGTTCCTTGTGGAATCTAGGGAAACATGAATAGAAGCAAAGTACCACAACTGATGCATGGAAAGTCTGGGTGAGGTTCAACCTCTCAGCTTCCTCTCTTGGAGGAAGCTGCCGTGTCTGTTGGGTTTGTCAACATACCCTCAGAACTCTCAAGGTTCGAAGATTCCTCTGGAAGATCTCGCGCGGCTCTTAGTCTGACGAAAAAAAAAAACAAAACAAAACAAAATGCTATAGCACTGTTCATCTCCAGCACTGTGTCTGTCGCTGTCAGTTAAATAGCGAAAAGCAGGTTGAAAGGGGTGGATAACGAAGGAGCAAATGATACACGCAACGTTTCCAGGGAGCTCCCGAAGAAAGGCCCAGGTAGCCGCACCCATTGGCGTCTTGCGTTGTTCGTTGTCATCGCTGTACGCCAGGTCAGGTCATCGAATGCATAACCCTGGCCATTGGTCAGTCAAACATCTCCCCATTTGATTCTCATACTAATCTGTCATTTGCCATCACAGCGCCCGCTGATATCAAGTCAGCTATGCGTGGCAAAGGCATGAAGCACAGGAGAGGAAGCGCAAACAGGATTGTCGCGTGAAGTTGAAGGGCTTGCCCTTGGCAATTAAATGCCATTAATTCAAAGCTCATATGCACTCTTCATTGGCAGAATCATTGCCATGTTCAATGGCAATCGCCAGACGCCAGCTCGCTAAATGCATCACTGTTCATTCATAACACGTCGTAGACAATGCCACATCGCCATATCATTGCTACCCAGGCACCCTCTCATTTCCACGCAGACTCCTAAGAAACATGCTGTTGGACGGCCTCCTTAGGAATGACGCCCTGCGCCACAAAGATGTCGATGAGTCCCTGCAATGGCTCCATGTCCTTCTTGCTGATCAAGTCATAGTACATTGCGACAGTGCAGAAGTGGACGAAGCAGCTGTTCAACTCTGCGTGGCGGCCAATGTGCCAGAAGGGGTCGGTGAAGTGACAATGATATAGGTGGGCGTAGCAGCGGAACATTTGCTTGATGATAGCCTTGACGTCGGAATGGAAGTGCTGAGGGAAGCCCGATGACTTGCCAATCCATTCGTCCTGAATGCCTGCGAGGGTAGTCAAAGGTTGATTGAGGTTGGTTGGGGGTGCGACAATTGGCGTAGTTGAGGGTGTAGCGGCGCCAGTATCACCGGACATGTACGAGGTTTGGTCAACGGTCGGCGGAGGTGCAGTAGGGAAGGTCTTCTCATCATGAATTTTTCCAACGATCCAGCGCTGAACTCGGACGATGTATTGAGGGGCAGGGATCTTGGCCGGTCGACCATTTTCGAGCCAGGTGTAAGTGAGGCTAGAAAGGGTCAATTAGTAAACGTTTACTGCCGAGGGAGGGATCGAACATACCGTCCAGCAGACATTGTAGGACATTGCTGCTCATTGCAAAGGGGGAGACCAGTGTTGGTGTCAACCTCCTGAATGACTTGGATCATGCCTGTGAGAAGTCGGTTCATCTCGACCACTGTAGGGGATGAGCTTCACTTCACCAGAACTGTAAAAGTCGCATCTCAACTCACATTGGTGGGCTAGCCATTCTCCGAGTTCGACATTCTTTGGTTGTGCAGCAAGAGTGAGGAAGTTTCCCTTGACAGAGCACTTTGCGTATTTCTCGTTCAGGAATTTCTTGGGTTCTTGTTCCACATAACCACTCTGCTCGCTGAAGGTAGATGAAACGGAGGGGGAGTTCGTGAGAGGGGGGAGGGGAGGGGCTTGTTGTGAGATTGGAGATTGAGATTGGCCGTTGTTGTACTGCGCCTTGAGGTTTTGGTTGGATTTGGTGTTGGCTCGAGTGAAACCTTGACGACTAGGAGAAGGGTCAGCAACTGTGGCATGTTTTGTTGGACTGATGGGTCGCTTGAGGCCTCTCAAAGAGATCTTCCATTTGAATTTGCCCATTTTAAGTGTGCAGAGTAGTGAGGATCAGATGAAGACAGTGCGTGTCGGCGGTGAAAGTGGGATAAGTGTGAAAATCGAGGTGAGTTGAGGACGGCGGGGCAAACTTACACGCTCTGAAAGAAGGTGGCCATGACGGTGAGATTGACCCGCACAGGGTCGGGCAGGGCACTCGACTGTTCACAACACAATTGCTCGTCGTCGACGTGGTGTAAGTGGTGAAAAGGAGTAACCAGTTTCACTCGATCGACGGTGAGGAGAAGGCGTCCCTCAATGAAACAAATAATTCCTTATATCGCAACTCAGCCGAGGGAGGGGCACGTGAGCATGATTCTAGCCATTTTGGTAATCCCGCCTCACAGCCTCCGAACACCGCGGTCTCAAACTGCGGATCTGTCACCACCGGCCCATTCACACTAACTGACTTCTTTTCCTTTCAACGTGAATATCTCAGATGACAAACAACGTATTGTCTTAATATCTTTGATCTCTGTTTACGAGATGTCCCAGGATCCTATCTAGGCATTCCGCAGCTATTCTCAGCGCACCCTTCCGTGTTCTTTGCGCTCCAAATTCTACATCCCTCAACTAGCAGCAAGGATGTCCGCTGAGGTCGAGTCTGCCCCCCACAGCAGCATCCTCGAGGACGATGATGTCCCACAAGATCTGAATGGCGAAATCACGTCTGATAACGACGGTGATCTCTTTGGAGACGAGGATGAAGAGGTAGAACAGCGGAATGAGTAAGTGCCCTATCTATGGACTCTCCGATCTTTCACTGACCTGCTGTAGCCTCCACAGAAAACTAGATGACTCCGAGCTCGATTCTGGTGATGACGAAAGCCGAAACGATCGTTTAGCTGCCACTGTGGAAGACGAGGAGGCCCTCTATGAGGAGCAGAAACAACTCAAACTTCTCGATGTTGACATTGCACGAGTCAAACCGCCCGAAGGCGACGAACTATACCTCCTGAACATTCCAAACTTCCTAGGTATCAAGCACAGAAATTTTGACTACTCAAGCTATGAAGTGCCCACGAGACCCCACGATGGCCGCGATCCCGCTGCAGACTCTACTGTCAAATTCTCCCCGTTCTCGACAGCCAACACCTCCCTCTTCTGGCGCCGCGATCCGAAGAACCCTGAACTTATACAATCCAACTCGCGCATAGTTCGCTGGTCTGACGGCAGCTTCACTCTCCAGATCGCCTCTAAACCTCAAGACCAATACCGTATCTCCACTACCGCCATGCGACAAGGTTGGCCTAAGAAGCTCTCTGGCTCGCAACATCAAGACTACGACCCGACAAAAGAAACAAATCATTTCCTCGCCGCGCCTCACGCTGCTGCAGGGATTGACCTTCAAATCATTGCGCCTTTCGACGCGTCCATGAAGATCCAACCCACGGGCGACCAAGCGGACGAGGCCGAACTGAAACTGCGACAATCCATCGCCGCCACCACTCAAATGCACGAATCTCCAACCACCTTCAAGTCCGTCAAAAAAGACCCAGAACTTGCCAAGAAGGCAGCCGAAATGTTCGAGAAGGAGCGTGCTCGGGCGGACCGTCGCAGAGAGGCCGCTCAAGATCGGCAGTTTATGCGTAGGGACCGCGTCTTGGGGAAATCTGGGCTCGGCCGTTCTATTGGCGGTGCTGGTCTCTCCATTGCCGGATTGGAGGATGATGACGGGATGCCGACAGCAAGGGGAAAGAAGGCGACAGCCAAGCGACGCAGGACGAATCGGCGTGGAGATATCTACTCGGACGATGAAGATGAGGAAACATTCCGCCGGAGAGGCAGGGAAGACGAATATGATCGTGAAGATGATTTCCTCGCCGCAAGTGATGAAGAACCCGAGATTTACGAAGACGAAGGAGAGGGGGAAGTTGAAGCGGAAGAAGATGAGGATGTTGATGACTTAGAGATCGAGGGACGTCAGACCGTGATTGAAACCCGCACTCGTGGCGGAGGTAGAGACCGAGACCGAGACCGAGACCGAGAAAGAACGCCCAAGCGTGCTCTGCGGGATGAAGACGAAGACGCCGAGGGCGAAGAGGACGGCGAGGCTGGGGAAAGCCGAAGACCCATAGGAAGTCCTGCGGCCCGCAAGAAGCGGAGAGTTATTGACGATGACGAAGATGAGGAATAATCGCCTCAGTGGTCTTGGTCGTACATCTTGTCCTCGCCGCTATCGGTACCATCAATATTGCACAATGGATGGTGCCAGTGACATTGTAGATGTCGCGAATGCATCTTCGTGGCATAGATGAGGCATTGAACTGGTTTTAGCGTCAGAGGCGCAGTTGCGATTGCAAAAAAGCGCCGCATTGTACTCATTCAGCCGGGAACAAGGACATACAAGTAGTGATTGGACATGGCGAAAGCTCGCGAAACGAATGGTCGAGAGCCAACGTCTTTCTTTTACATCTCATTCTGTTTTTGATCTTCTCGTCTCTGTTCTCTGACCCTCTTTTTCCCTCTTCTCCTATCTGGGATCCCTCCTCTTTCCCCTCTGTCTCTTCTCTTCGCTCATCAATAAATGTCATTCTTGTGTATTTTCTTCTCGTCTTCGTAATAAACACTTTTAGGACTAACAGTACATGAGAGACAGCGAGCGGACATTGATCATACGGCCTGTGGCTCGAACGTAAACGTGTTGGCTTGCTGCAGTATCAAAATCCCCCACAGAGAGCTGCTCTATATATAGCTCTAATACTAGCATGCATTCCCCAGGGGTATATAGTACAACACGGAATTGAAAACCCGATTCTTGGACAGAACTGGCTTTCCTTGCTGGCCGCAGTATTGACGGTCAGAGATCTCCATACAGACATCACACAAACTTATCAATCAATCGCCCTCTTCGGAATTTAGAGAAACGCTCCTCTAGCCATCCTTTTTATTCTTCACACGCTTTTCATGAGCATCTCCATCTTCCTAAGAAAGCAGATTCTTCACACTCGGGCTAGCACTCGCCCCTAACCCATCTTTCCTATCGTCTCTGTTGAAGGCGGGCCCCGTAGAGGGGGTAAGTGGCCTCTGCTGAGGACTCCCTGTGACTGGTCTAGGCCCAAATCGCGGAGTGCCCGTCATCTCAACACTAGCTTGCCTGGAATGCGGTCTTCCCACGCCCTGGTCGCCGGCCACTTGAGCTATTTGCGCCAAGGACTGTGCTGATGGAGATTGCCTCATGGCTGCCGGAGCCGGGGGAGGTGGTGGAAGTGGTGGAGGGCCTTGAGGATACATTCTTGAAGGAGTATGATGCGGCGCCGCATAACCATTCACAGGAGAGTCGAGGCTTCCTTGACGGGGTGGTTCAGGATATCCCCGCGACAAGAGACTTGATGGCCCTAATCCAAGATGAGGCGATGGGACTGGAGGGCGGTCAGGACCGTATCGTGGGGGCGATGGGGGGCGCGTGACTTGCGGTGGAGCGGAAGGAGATGGAATAGCATGATGAGGATGATGAGGATGATGGGGAGGAGGAGGGGGAGGATGATGTCCATAGGCAGCTGGCGGAGGGGGGGAATGTTGAGGCGCCAGACCAGGACCGGGTGGCGGAGGCGGCACGTTCGCATATGGCGAAGGATGCCCCGGACGGCCGTAGGGTGATTGACTGTACTCGGGGGGCGGCGGCGGTAGTGGCTGCGGTGGTGGAGGAGGCGGGCGGTACAGAGGCTGTCCGTAAAGCGGCGGAGCTGGGGGAGAAGGGTGACGCGCTGCTCGGGTTCCGGGAGAAGACCACTGAGGGGGGGGACCACCCTGCCAAGGGGAATAATGAGACGCGGGAGCTGGAAGCGCATGAGGATGTGAATGCGGTGGCCCTTCAATTGGTGGTCGGTTCATTGCATAGACGTTGGGCGGTGGAGCAGGGAAAGGCGGCTGGTGGTTATATGGCTCTTGGGGCTGATCCAACGACACAGGTTTCTCACGAGGTTTAACTTGTGACGGCGATGATGGGGGTGTTCGCTTTAGAACATGACATTTGTGGCACTGATACATGATGCATCGGTCTCTGCCACCAGCAATTGTTGCAAGAGCCGTGCCGTCGGCTGGTTCAGCGTCGACGGAGCCATTGGTCATAATAGTATCCCGTGAACCATTAACTTGAACCAGGTCCGCAGCTGATTCCATCACTGTTCCGTTCGGAGCTGGAGATCGTTCTTGCTGAAGAGGCCACCATCTGGGACTCACATCCACAAGACAAGTACAGCACTTTTTCTGACCACCGCTTCGTTTCTTGGAGCTTTCGTTTGCTTCAGTCGTTGCCACGTCTGAGTCCAATGATGATTCTGCTGCTGCGGTGGCCGCTGCGGGAGATGCCCGAAGACTTGTTCCGCCGTTTCTCTCACTGTGAGTGGCGGCGCCGTTCGGCCCACCGTTGACGGTACTTCCACGTCGTTGAGGTGGTTGAACTGCTGGTGCAGAGCTTACAAAATTGGTGGCAAACTGCGCAGCTCGCCGGACGGTACCCGTAACGGAGTTGTCTACCTGCTTGTAATTGCGAGCGAACAATTGCATGGCCGTGAGCCCTGTGTCCGTCATTTCGAGCATCTTGTGCACCCAAGTTGCAGGCACATGCGACGGGCACCAGATCGCTGCGGTGACAATGCCAGTTTCTGTGCCGAGTTTCATGACATTGGTCGTGTCGCGCCTACTGCTCTTGACCGGCGCCACATCGAAGCCAAAAGTGTATTGGTTTTGATGCGCACAGCCCACGTGGAAATTGTTGTTGCACGTCGCAACGTGACATTTGACCGTAGGCAGTCCCGACATTTTGCATATTACGCAGATCGGCTCAAAGCGCTCGGGGGGAATGAAACCCACGCCTTCGGCATCATCAAGCAATTCCGAGTTGCCAAACTTGATCTCTTTGGTCCAAAGAGCGCAAGTAATGTGGATCCAGTTGTTCCAGGCCGTCCTTTTGAGAGCTTCACGAGGGTTGACAGGACGACCTGCCGCTTCTTGTTCCATACGCCATCTGCGACCAGCTTCTTCTATAATCTCTTTTTCGATGCGTTCCTTTTCGCGTTCTCGATCGGTTCTCTTCTTATGGCTTGGTTTTAGAGGCTCCATCAGATCTTGAGGCGTAAGCTTGACAGGACACAGAACGCATTCATAGGTCGTGGAGACTTGGAGATTGTGGTCGTTTCTGCACATATCGCAGAACCATGGTTTGGTGTTTGTCTTCTTCCCGACACCATAGCATGCGCCATGTACATGAAGCCTGCAGTCACGGCACTTTAGCAATTCCAGGCCAGGGGCTTCGATAACCCGGCACACGGCACAAGGGTGGACCTTGACCCTAGGAGGATCCGGCTCGATCGGAGCAGGTTCCGGTGGTTTCTCGGGCGCGGCCTTCTTCTTTTCTGAGACGACATCTGGAGTTGACTGTGTGATATCTTTGTCGAGTCTGCCCTTCTTCTTAGGAGGTTCTTCCGGTTGAATGATGTTTTGGGGCACTTCCAGGCCAGCCTTATTGACCTCATCGACAGCCCGCGGAGGGATGGGATCCCCTGACATCTGATGCGCCTCAAGAATGAGACGCAGGAGTTCTTCGTCGACTTTCCGTTTTGCTGCCCTGCTTCCCGAAGATGCGATTTTCTTTGAGATTTCTTCAATATCCTCGTACTGGACGGCGTATTTGCGCCAGAGATAGGCACATCGACCACAAAGTGCCAAAGTGAGCCAGCCGCTCTTGTCTTTGTTGTTTTTTGCAGATGGATCTTTGGGTACTAGTGTGCCGGGTGGCGTCCCTGGCGCACGTCGCCATTGTCTAGAATGGTGTGTCCCACAGAACTTGCAAACAAATCCTCGTTTCTTTTGCGCGGCCTTTTCATCGTCAAAGGCAGAGTCGTCCTGGTCGTCGGCAACATCGTCCAGGAGTTTGGGCGCGTTGTGGCCCTCCTTGTCCGCTCGTTTAGATTCCTTCTTCGAACGTCGGCCCTCGAAATTGCCCCAAATCTGTCGGCCCCTGTCCGTCTTCTTCCACATATAGTAGAATCGAACAATCCGGGATTCCTTGACGCTCCCAACATGGCGAGTTACAGCATGTAGCTCACTCCCATATTTGGCTACACCTTCCTCGAAACGCTTAATTTCGTCACGGGTGAGCTCTGGCTGTTTCAAGTCGCTCTTCAGGCTGAGTTCCGTCATAGCCTTTAATGCTTTCTCGACATTATAGTCGTGCTCGTGCAGCTTTTCGATTGCCTTGGTGAGAAAGTCCACAGACGAGTCGAGCAGATTGTATTTGGCAGCAATTGGTTTGACCCTCGTCATGTATTCGTCAACCAAGCGCTCCGGATCGAGCGGTCCCCCCGTGTCATCACCACCTCTCCCTGAGAGTTGTCCTAGTTCCGGCATCTTGAATAGCAATTGAGCAGTATGTTCTTTTTTGCCCTTGATTTCGACCGGCTCATCCTGCCCTCGAGGGACGTAGCCAACTGGTTCGTCAATTACCCATTTGGGGCGTTTTAGCTTCTGATCTTTGTCGGTGTCCGTGCCAGTATCCTTGGAGCCTTTACTACCTTTGATGTGATGGGCATTTTTCAAGTATTTTCGCTTGATCTCGGCGGGCTTGACCAATTCAATAGGGCGGCCATGCCACACATTGACGTTCGCTTGATGCCGAGGACCCAACCTGGAACTTGCTCGGGGGTATATCCGGTCGTCGTAGTCTAGCGCATCTTCAACGCGTGAGTGAACCCCCAGGTACCGCCACGGCCACAGATTTGCCTGGGCAATCTGTTCCTTGGTGGGCGCTGGATGAGGCTCGGGTGCGATGCTGCTTTCACGGGTGTCCCGGCTCTTGGGTTGATGATTGTCGTCTTCGTCCTCATCCATCGGATCGTCGTCATCCCCATGCCCAACGTCTGAACCTGCGGGCGTATTTCGAGAATCCATTTTTATTTCCTGCGCCCGACTACAATGAGCACAGGCCCAAGCGAAACCTCGAGCCGGCTTTTTCAGTAGCGGGGGTCGGACGCACTGCATGTGATATGTCCGCTTGCAAACTGCGCAATCGACCGAGTCGTGATTACTGGCAAACTGTTCACACTTTGTACACTTTTTGCTCTCGCTGGTCAGCTCACGACCGCGGCCAATCTCCACCAAGACGAATTTCCAGCGCTGATCTAGGACGGCCTTGACATGCTGAGGCACGTTGACGACCCTGCTGGTCGGAATGACCTCGTAGTACCGGTGCATATATCGGTCATACAACTTGTCAAACCAGAATGAATCTTGCTGGCCACGGTATTCATCCATATTAGATATTTCCGAGAGATGGCGGATATTGCATTTCCCTCGCACCGAGGTGAGGGGACACGTGTCGGAATGCATTGACGCAAACACGACCCGGGTATCTTGAACTCTGCGCAAGATGTCTTTTGGGCGGTAGTACCAATTGACCCGGATGGCGTCGATGGGACCTTCAGGGTCGTTCTTCGCGTGCAGGAACTCCATGATACGGGCAAGGTAGTAGGGTTCTCCCGGAGGCTCGCAGATGAGGTAGACGTGGTCTGGACATGAATTAGCACAGAAGCCAAAGATATTCCACCTGAGGGTGCAGAAGTACCGTTCGCCTGGACTGGGGTGCCATCATCGGCCACCAACTGGTTTTTTTCATTCAACTTGTATCCAGAGCCCTTAAAACTCATCATGTTTGTCTCCACGTAGCCCTTGAAAGGCACCGAAGCGACCGGTCTCGCGCGGGAACTGCTGCTCATGGTTGAGTTTGCGGCCACGGTATGATTGCTCCCGGGATGTTTTCTCTTCTTCGAAGGTGCAGGAGCCACGGCTGCTGGGGTGAGCGTGGCTGCATTAGCCGCAGAGGCGCTTTCGGAGGTCTTGTCGTGTTGGGCGTTATTGACGGCTGCAAAGCCCATTTGCGAAGGCTGCTGCTCGCCCACCGCTGCGGCAGAAGATCGTTTACTCGAGCGACTGGGTTTGGACAATGCCTCTATTTCGAGATCCAACTCCCTGTCCTCGGCGTAGTTTGGGCGAGTGCCACCTGTTCGATTTCTTGAGCGGGTGCCGTAGGGGCCGGAGGTAGAATTGTCTCCATTCTCGAGAGGTGGCTGTAACGAGGATGTGGACGCGGTGGCAGTCATGGGCTGCGACTGGGGCGTGTCGAAGGGACCGGCGGGCGTGGGCGTGGGCGTGGGCGCGGGCGCAGTCTCGGGTCCAGGCGACGCATCTACACTTCGACTACCCTTCCCAGGTGCCCTTGGCGGTGCATCACTCTGGGAATGTGCAGGTGCCTCCGCCTGCTCATTAGATTGGGGGTCTGGCGGTGCAATCGCGACTGGAGGACTATCAACTGTAGACATGACGAGTTGAGAGGAAGCGAGCGGTGAAAACCAGGTGCGTCAAGCCCTACTTTATCGCATGGCGACCGGGGGGGGGGGTGTGGATGGAAGTGGCCTGGGCAGGGCTGCAACGACAGCTCCCGGACAGCTAATTAGCTGGGGGACGTTCCGGCACCAAATAATATGAGTTATGGGTGTTGCAAAGTGGACTCTATAGCGATGGTAGTGATGTGTCTGCCAGAGGCGGAAAATGGGAACCGCGAGTTGGGATAGTCGAGGCTCGTGAGGGACGTCGCGACCGAGAAGAGAGGAAAGAGGAAAGTGCCGTGGGCGGCGGAGTGGGTTATAATATGGACTATATCTCGAACAAGGCACGCGCCAGGATGTTGAGTTGTGCGGGTCTTCAGGTCTTAGCGCCTGGTCGGTTGGTGGAAGTCGACGCGGCAAGAAAATCCAGACAGGTGAAGAGCGAAGGATGAGAATGGGTGGAGGAGCACAAGGAAGAGCAATTCCCGCCAAAGAGAGATGAAGGGAGGAGAGTGCGAAGGATAGAAGAGGAAGGAAGAAAGAAAGAAAGAAAGAGGCTGAGGGAAAGAAGATGAATGAGAACGAGTTCGATGGGAAGGACAGAGATTCGGCAAGAGGAGAACAGAGGAAAGCAGAGGCAAGGAAAAATGCGGCCTAGTCGACTTGCAAGGTTTAGTCGGAAAAGATAGTGTATGAGAACGAGGGACAAGGGAGGGCGGAGAGGGAGACTGGCAATGAGTGGACGCCGGATCAATGCCGAGATATTGCGAGGTTAATGCTCCCAGGGAAGGTTGACAGCAGCAGATGAGCTAAGAGAGTCAGAGCCAACCTGCGGCAAGACAAATGGAGCCAATACGAGGGTTTTCTTTTTCTGAGATGCGAGCACGGGAAGGGGATGGCCAAGGAGAGAGGGGAGAATTAGAGAGACTTGGGCACAGACACTCACTACTTACTCGGTACAACAAGAGACAAGAGGGAGGAAAGTGAGGGTGAGAGTAGGTCAAAGTGTGTAGTGTGGAGAGCAGCAGCATGAAGGGACACGAGACGGCCTGGGAAAAGTGGATGAGTGAGGGAGGGAGTGACATAGAACATGCATGTGGATCGATCAGCTGCAAGGCAGGCAAAGCGAAGGCACCAAAGAGACCCAAAGGGAAGGGAAACGCACGCTAAAAATGAACAACCACCCAAGTCAAAGACGGAGACTGAATTCCTGGAGTGCAGTGTAAGTACCCAGTACTGGACTGGGTGCTTGGTAGTGCAGTGCACCTCAGCCTTTACCTTCGCTGACGACATTACTCATGCCTGCTGCTGCTGCCACCGCCGCCGCCGCCGCCGTGGTATGCCGCCATCGGTACATATGGGCCTTGTCGCTATTTCTCTCGCTGTATAAGTAGTCTTCCGCGTCTACAGTCTCTTTCCTCCCTCTACCCCGATCCTTGCTGGTCGTCGATGCCGCTCCTCTAAGAAATGAGGAAGTGAGGAAGAAGTGAGGTCGGTGGGTGGCGACAAAGCCAGCCCGGCAGCTTAGTGCCCGAGCACCGCTTGGCGTCACCTGACCCAGGATTGCCCTTCTCGCCCTTCTTTAATTTTGACCACATCTCTATTCTGCCATCCTCCCTTCGCATGGCCACGTAAATCCAAACACGCCCTTGGATGCCCAATAAATGTTGCTAGCGAACTGCCCGCTGTCCATTTGCCATTTTGCACTTGCCTTTGCTATGCTTCTTCCCCCAAGATTATGCTCTAGCCACCCTAGGCGCTTTTTCTCAGGTTAAGTCGGGGCCTCCCCAATCCTCCACTCACCACTCACCACTCACCACTCACCTCACACGAAACATAAGTAGTGATCGCCTTGCCAGCCTGTCTCTCTGCTCCTTCGACTGAACACCTCATCATCCTGTCCGTGGCAACTCTTGTCGGCGTCAATGTCCCCATTTCCCGCTGCACTGTTGCTCTGGTGACCGCGCACCCATTTCGTCTTTGAACTTGGCCGTGGTCATCCTCCTACCGTCTGCTCGACGCAGAGCTCCTCTGGCACTTGTCTATGCCGTAACATGATCGAATGGCTGCCGGATGGGACCTACAACCTCCATTTTCCGATAGCGCTTTGTTGTGGGCGCGATGGGCAGGATGGGGCTGTCAGAGACTGTCTCGTGTGTGGTGGAGGCGTTGGTGTCTGGGGCGCCGGGCTCCCGCGGTAAGTGGCTTTCGGCTTGGCAGGTGACCCGAGATCTTTAGGGTTTGCGCTATTCCTTTGTGGGAATCGCCTCATTCCTGTTTATCTTGCAGTCACGCATCGGCTTGCCTTGGTTGGGCACGATCCAGATCTACCGAGTATTTCTGGTTTCATTCCCGGCCATATCGTCCCAAGCTATTTTTACTGTTAATGTGCTAGGGTCAGCTATTTGCGAGACCCCACTCAATCCACCTAGCCCTGTTGAATGAATGCTGAGGCTGAACGCGCTTCCCGTCTTCCTGAGAGACGCGGTCTGATCATGAAATCCAATGGCAACATCATGGCATCAATTGGCCATGCCTCATGGTCAAGTCACCTCAATTAACCTTGCTCGCAACCAATGTTACAATACGAAACCTCTCACAGGGGCTAAACGTACCATTGACGAAGCTCATGGGGTTCAGCCAGGCCCTCCAATCCATGCCCAACCATCAGCTCAAGGACCACAAACCATCGACGCCGCCTTCTACCGACGCGATGGCCACCCGCCCCGTCTTCGAGCCAGCCATATCATTCGGACAGACCGCAGCGATGATATTAAGGCAGCCGTGAACGTTACTCCCGTTCCTGTGCCTCGGACCACGTCATCTACACCAGGGCCTTCGCAAAACCCCCTCCTCAGTCTTCGACATCCTCGGTATAGTCTGCCGTCCCAACTGGTGGACAATTTCGAATCACTGGGTGTGCGCGCCATATACCCATGGCAGTCATCATGTCTACTGGGCAGGGGGCTACTGACCGGGGAGCAAAATCTAGTCTACACTGCTCCTACAGGTGGCGGCAAGTCGCTGGTGGCAGATGTCCTTCTTCTCAAACGAGTCATCGAAGACCCAACAACGAAAGCAATCCTGGTTCTTCCCTACGTCGCTCTCGTCCAGGAGAAGCTCAAGTGGCTGCGTGCCTTGGTGGATAAAGTACCCAAAGCGGTCAGCGATATTTCCGATGGCCTGCCAATGCCGACGTGGCGCCGCCCGAGCGCGTCCATTCGAATCGGCGGATTCTTTGGCGGAAGTAGATCAAATGTCAACTGGTCAAATTGCGACATCGCCGTCTGTACAATCGAGAAGGCCAATTCTTTGGTCAACAATGCCATTGAAGAAGGCAAATATGGCGACATTGGGGTGGTGGTGCTTGATGAACTGCACATGATCAACGATGAAAACCGGGGATATCTCATGGAGCTCCTTGCTACGAAGTTGATGTCGCTTGCATCTGGTGAGAAGAAGGTTCAGATCGTGGGCATGAGCGGGACTCTCCCGAATCCGCAACTACTGGCACAATGGCTTAAGGCGAAATTTTACATCGCAAAATACCGACCGATCCCCATCGAGGAACATCTTGTGTATGAGAATGCCATCTATCCAACAGCAAATGCCAAAGAGTTCTTCCGCACAGCTAGTCAGTTGGCTGCAGGCGACGCACTTCCAACACAACGACCCCCGCCCCAGCGTATTATCGCTCAATCAAGCTACCAAGATCTCCAAAAGCCGACGCCCAATGCAGTTATAGCATTGGCCGTGGAGACAGCCCTTGCTGGACATGGTGCACTGGTATTCTGTGGCAGTCGAATGGGTGTTGAAAGAACAGCGCTCTTGATTAGCGATGCTCTACCTACTGACCACCTTGGCCATGACGCGTTGGAGAAGCGACAAGATCTCCTGGCATTGCTGTGTGCACTCCCAGGTGGATTTGAGCCCTCGTTCTCCAAGATCATACCTTGTGGAGTCGGATTCCATCACGCAGGTTTGACAACTGAAGAGCGAGAGCTAGTGTGCGAAGCATACGACGCAGGGATTTTGCGAGTGATGGTGGCGACGTGCAGTCTCGCTGCCGGCATCAATCTTCCTGCAAGAAGGGTGATATTAAACGGTGCTCGGATGGGCCGAGAGTTGGTCGGCCCTGCCATGCTTCGGCAGATGCGAGGACGCGCTGGCCGCAAGGGCAAAGACGAAGTCGGTGAGACCTACCTATGCTGTCAAAAGGAAGATCTTGAGGCTGTGGCAGAATTGCTCGAAGCAGAAATGCCTGCGGTCGAAAGCTGCCTGACACCTGAGAAGCGAGGACTCAAGAGAGCTCTTCTAGAGGTCATTGGTACCCGAATGGCATCCAGCGAGTCGTCATTAGATGAATACGTCCACTCGTCGCTGCTAAGGCATACTCTTGATCAGTCGCGGGTCGTGGCAATGGTTGAAAGTGCGAAGATAGAACTGCTCCAGGATGGGTTGATTCAAGAAGGGGAATACCATGGATGCCTCGAGCCGACCAAACTGGGAATTGCGGTCGTGGCGTCTGGACTGGGCCCCGAGGATGGAGTGTTTGTGTACACGGAATTGCGGCGGGCACTCGAATCATTTGTCATGGATGGTGACATGCACATTTTTTATCTTTTCACTCCGGTTCAGTCCGCAGGCCTCGCTGACATTTCCTGGTTGACATTCCGAAACCAATTGGAAGACCTTGACGCCAGTGGCATGCGAGCGATCCGACTCGTTGGCGTCGATCCAGCTTTTGTTAACAGACTCGTCAACAGCGGCGCACAACTGAAGGAGAATACGGCGGAAGAGATGCGTCTGGCCCGAGTTTATCGTAGGGTGTATTGGGCCTTCCAGCTGCGGGACCTGTGCGATGAGATGTCGATTCACGAGGTCAGTCTGAAATATTCTGTTCCACGGGGACAAGTGCAGACACTGGCCCAAACCTGTCACGGCTTTGCAGCGGGCATGATCAAAATTTGCGAGAGAATGGAATGGGGCATGCTGGCAGCTGTGCTGGAACATATGCTGGACCGTCTTCGGGCAGGCGCCCGGGCCGATCTCCTGGAGATGGCTCAGATAGCATTCGTCAAGAGTCGCATGGCCCGCGTGTTGTGGGAGAATGGATTCAAGAGTGTTCGAGCTCTGAGTGAAGCCGATCCGCAAGCTTTAGTCCCGATCATGATGCAGGCCCAAGCAAGAAAATGGAAACTGCAGGGCGAGGCCGCTACCAAGTTCGAGGCCACGTTGTTATCAAAGGCAGAGATCATAGTCAGCAGTGCGAACAGACTGTGGGAGAAACAGCAAATGGTCCAGTGGGAGGAGGAATGACGACCTGGATATACCGGGGCTTTACTCCCTCTCCAAGCGGTAGTTGGCACAGGTGCTCAACTGGATGTGTTCGATTAACCCCCGCTACGGAACGCGGTGTGATGGTCCGAGTGTTTTCCTGGTGCCTTGCATTAGCGGTGCGTTGCCCTGGACAGACCCATTGCATACGGGCAACCCAAGGGGAAATAAGTCCTTTCCAGTTTGGGCACTGTCGGCACCAGTTGGAGATGCGCTCCAGTCGCATGAACTAGGTAATGAACGGAGCTCTATGAAGTTAGCAATGCAGGCGAGGGCAGCACCTGGCAGGTGAATCTGATCATCAATCGGCGTTGTGGTCATTGCCGAAGCTGCCGATGAAGCGAATTTCCTATTGAAGGCTTCGAGCTTCCCGGTGAAAGGCGGCTCGACTTTGCCTGTGGGGGAGGTCTGCATGTTACGTCGCCAGCGCAGGCTGACAAATGGCCTACGGCGTTTTGATTAATTTCAGGAATACAAGCTTGGATACCCTTGAGAGAAAGCAGTGAAAGAAGAGCTCGGGAAGCTCGGTATGGCGCGTGGCGTTGGGTGGACGTGAGTGGATTACAAAGAATCCAGCAACGGGCGACTGAGCACGACTGGCTCCGCTGGGTCGATTCCGCACTGCGAAAGCAGCAGGCTGGGGTTGATTGGCGGTGCTTTGGCAATCCTCTGTCAGCTTTTGATAAGCTGTGCCTCTTAGACGATAATAGCCCCCTCGCCCTGTTTCCGAGGCTGAAAGCTTTGATCCCTCGATCAGTCAGGATGTGGAAAGCATGGCGGCAATCGAGAGCTAGTAGCTGGTGTGACGAGTACCTAGGTAAGTTACATAGTAATGTGTTCCCGCAAAGCGGACTGTGGTCAAGTAATGCTGTGTGCTCGGTCCATAGTTAAGTAATAAACGCAAACCCAGTGCCTAGAAGTGCTTACGAGTAGCGACGTAGGTGCCAGGCTGGTGCCAGGTACGGAGAATCGCTCGTATCAGCATGGACGCCATAGGTGGTCTGGCGTCATTCTAGGCCTCACTAGCCCCACTAGTGACCGCCTACGGGCACTAGCCGCTAGCTAAACCGGTGCGGGGTTCCCTGCGCCCCAAGCTCCATGACGTGCCTTTGCACTTTGATAGCTTTCAATGTGTTGTCGCACCCGGCACATTCCCCTCGTATTTTCCAAACAGGTGGATAAAACCGTAGGGGCTCATAAACAAGGTGCATGGGTGGCACCGAGGTGGGTTCTGTCGTAGTGAAGCTTCATCGTAAGATCGCTGGGACTCAGTGACCCCAACCCGAACCGCGTTGCGGATACAAAAGCCTCGGGTCTTCCTCCCTCTCGTCTTTGCTTCATCCGTTCTCTTCCATCTCACACCAGCTTCTTCTTCGTCCCATATCCGTCTCAACCCAAATATTGCGCACAAGTCGTTCACAATGGCTCCCAAAATTGCCATCATTTATGTACGCTGCTCTTTCACCCCCTCTATCCCCGGTGTCCCTCTCTTGGTATTCGCCGACCTCATTCGTGACTGCTAACGGACCATTCTCGACGAACAGTACTCCATGTACGGCCATGTTGCCCAACTTGCCCAAGCCGAGAAGAAGGGTATCGAAGAGGCCGGCGGCACTGCTGATATCTACCAGTATGTTTTCTGGGAAACGCCACCGTCCCATAGCGAGACAGGGCAACAAAGACTAACTCAATGCTCAACTAGAATCGAAGAGACCCTCCCCCAAGAAGTCCTGACCAAAATGCACGCGCCGGGCATGAACAAGGATATCCCCGTCGTCACCCCCGAGATCTTGCTGAAGTACGACGCTTTCCTCTTTGGCATCGCCACCCGTTATGGCACATACTCTGCGCAATGGAAGACCTTCATCGATAGACTCGGCGGACATTGGCAGACCGGCGCGCTGTTTGGAAAATACTTTGGCTTGTTCATCAGCACAGCTACCATGGGTGGTGGGCAAGAGACCACAGCCATCACGGCCCTCTCGTCCTGGATTCACCAGGGCATGGTCTATGTTCCTTTGGGATATGCTAAAGCGTTCCCCATCATGGCCGATCTCAGCGCCGCTCGTGGCGGTAGCCCATGGGGCGCAGGAACATTCGCCGCCGGTGACGGCTCCAGACAGCCCTCAGCTCCCGAGCTGGAGCTCGCTACGATCCAGGGCAAGTCATTCTATGAGCAACTCAGCAAGGTCAATTTTGCGTGACTAGATGGCAGTGCCAGTGACGCGAAGCCTGCCGCAGAAAACGGGATCAAGCCGGCTGATCAGACTGCAAAGACCGGAGGGGCAACGGCAGGCGCGGAATCTAAGAAACCACCAACACAACCATTACAGGCAGATGACAAGAAGGAAGAGGAGAGTGGGCCGTGTGGACTGCCCAAGAAGTGTGTGATTTTGTGATGGCGGCTATCATGTGGGCAAGCCGATGAGGATGTGGAGATGCTGGGTGTGCGTATAGAGTACAATTCAAGAAGCCAAAAAAAGTACAAGATACCATTCTACTAATACATGGCGTTTCAAATGGGTTGAAGACTGCTTGGAGCTCAGCTGATGAGCTGCGTATTATTATTATTTTTCTTCTTCTTCTTCTTCTTCTTCTTCAACTTCAACTTCAACTTCAAGCAGAACCCTGCACAACCTTGACAACCCCACCACAGCCACCACTATTCTCAACCGTCCAGAAGGAAAGTCGTCCGACGCTAAGGTCCTCAACAGTCCGGCCCTATGACTGGTGCATAGCGGTAGGTACTGGTGTGCCCCAGTCTTGCCCAGTCTTGAAGAAGCGGCAACCAGACGGGGAAAGTCAGGCCTCCCCCACGACCGTAGCAGCCTGCACCAGGATGTGCATATTCACAATCTAACTTTACATCAGGCCTCACGCCCCATGGTCTCGCCGTAGATCTTCAATCGACTCAATTCGGCCTGTCAGAGCAATGTCGAATACGCTGATGGCTACTGCACAGTTCAAGGCCTATGGCCAATATCCCATCGCAAGGACCTTTGCGGCCACCGATTCAGTGCCCGAACTGCCCGAGTCAGAAGATCCCGCCTACAGCGCCGCCTTTGATGCAGATCCTTCGGTCCGGAGGCATTCTGCCTGCGATGAGTGCAGTCCGTCTTCTGAATGTGCCATGAGCCTCCCTAGACTCACAATGCTTCAGGAAAGCGCAAGTTGAAGTGCTCGGGCGAGCCCACCGGCTGCGAACGATGCGTCAAGCAGAACCTGACCTGCCATTACTCGGCCCAGAAGCAGATGGGAAGACCGCGCAAGAGACAGAAGACCGATGACTTTCCCCAAACCACCGAAATCCCCTCTGCGAACCTGCCTCTTTTCAATGGTGCATTACAGTCGACTCCGGTTCCTGCTCATCTTCAGCATCATCCTCATCACCATCCTCCCCAGCCGCCCGCTGTTGTGGAATCAGCGATCGACCCGGAACTCTCTGAAAAGGCCGTTGAGCGGACAAATTTTGAGAACATCTGTGTTGCTCCCATCACCCAGTCTATCAAAAGATCCAGCCACGACGCCCGGGCAGCTGCGGAAAGAGCAGGTTCCTCAAATACCGGCAGTGGCAGCGGCAGCAGCAAGTTGCCTTTCCAGAACTCCAACAGCACTTCACCATACGATGGGCCTCGTACGCCCTCAGTCGCAAGTGACGTTGTGTCCAAGGTCTCTTATCCAACCGACGTCTCGCTGTGGCCTGACTTTAGTGACATGACCATGCTTCCAATGCTGGTGCAAGACAGCCATGAGCACGAAAAGGAACGTTACTCTGCTCACAACACGAACTCCGACTCTTCTATTTCCGCTGCCGCAGAATCCGGGCCATATTCCAACCATCTTTCCGCCCTCGACGCAAATCCGAGCACGCTAACACAACTTCCCACCATTCCAGCTTGCCCCTGCCTACCCAACCTCTATCTCACCCTGTCAACTCTGTCAACCCTGTCGGCATTTCCTGTGTCGTCGGGTATGATCGATACCCTCCTCGCCGCACATCGTACTGGTCGCTCGGTTATTTATTGTCCCATTTGCCCTCGCGCGCTGCAGTCGGGTTCTCAAAACGTATTTCTGAGCGCCATGTTGATTACTGTGCTTGCAGATCATTGGCACCGCGTCAAAAGGGCCAGTGCAAAAGAATTGAAAATGGGATTTGGCAGCTCGGATTCAGAACCACCGGACACTGTTGCGGAACCCATGGGTATCCGTGAAGATCTCGAGTGGCGCACATTTGGATATCATCTAATTCGAGCCTACGTTTTTGGCGACCAAGCGATCCCCGACACGCCCAATGCTTCGTTCTCCACCACTCCTTCCAGAAAAGCACAAATCCTACTCACGCATATCTCTTCCGAAGACAGCGACACTTCCACAATATACACGCTTGAATCACTTGTGTCCGCTATCGAGCGGCGTCAGAAACAATGGCATGACGTTGAACCCTTTTGCAACTCTCAGGAGTTCCCGCCTAGGTTGGATCACAATCATGTGTATGGTGACACCCATGCTCACGGGCATGGATTACCACAAGGGTATGCCCCAGGGATGACACTCGAGGACATCAAGAAGTGCGAGGACGAGTATCGGACGAGTGGTGGTGGCGACGACGGACTGCTGTGCCTGAAGATTGTGAAGCATTCCAGGATCATCCTGAGGACTTTGGAGGGAAGCGTACCGAGGATCGAGGGATGAATCTAAATTTAAATATCCATCTCACAAAGTGAAAATGGTAACATCTAACAGTGTAACGCCATCGTACAGATGAATCCGAAGCAAAGGCGACCGACGACCAGGACATGATGTTGCGAAATTCCCGATGATGCCTTTTTAAGCCTAAAAGCATGCATTGATGGCTGACTGAGGTCGCGAGATGATGCCCTTGAGACACAGTGCTAGGTCAAGATGTGGTCTACGTCAACTATCTCCCATTCAAGTTGCATCGAACGTCCTATCAACGGGCGCCTACAGCATTTCCCTACTTATCTCGCAGTCCTCGCCTTCAAGCCAGACTTTCGTAGAAGGTATTTCCCCTCTGGCGAAATGCTCATGCATGCTTTTTGCGTTCAGCGGGTTCCGATGGAAAGCGAGCCGTCTCTATATAATTTATATCTCCAACGCAGCGAAAGGTGGGTAGGAAAGTATTGCGACTTTGACTGATCTTTGACTGATCTTTGACTGATTCTTTAGGCCGCGAAGCTGGCTAGAAAGTCATCGTCAGACATTCACATTCTTTGCGCAAGCATCTCTCTAGTCGAGGGCTCTAAAGCGTCAATATACGTATGCTTTCGCCCTATTATGGGGTCCTGGCCTTCGCATCTTGGGGGATGTCGCAGGGCTAGCAAGCAATTGAAGCTGACCCGGAGCTCGGCGTATTGTTCCGGACAAAGGCCAACCCTTCTTTTTTTTACCTTGTTTGGGTGTTTCTGGAGCTTCTTTACCTAGGGAACTACCTCGGTGCAACTCGGTTACAGGGAACACGCACCGAGTCAAGGTCGGGCTACTCATAATGGGCCTCATATACATACTAACAGTCTCAAAACACGTTGATGTGTACTGGAACAATTGCTATACAAGTCAAAGTTATCTTCTGCGTGACACCCTCGATGTGTGCCTTGACCGTCTAATCTAGGGACCGGCAAGATGAACCCAAACCCAACAGCACAATCCGGCTCGCGCCACCAGCTCGACGACGCCTCGCTGAGTACATATCTCGTTAACTCAAATACTATTCCGGGGTTCAAGGCCCCTGTGGTCTCGACGAAAATCGGTTATGGGCAGAGTAATCCGACGTACTTTCTAGATGATGCTGCGTACGTCTATTTCTGTTTAATATCCCCGCCCTCCTTTACGAGCACATGTCGAGTACTCTGGTGGCAGCAATGACCCTGTTGCTTTTCTCTACTGGCTTGTTGCCTCTCCATATGTGCGGATCCGAGGGTGGTGGTACTGGGCTGCCATTGTTTCTCTCGGGCCAGGTCCATCTCTATCGGGATGCCGGTACGGTTGTTCTATGACCTTTTATGGACGTCGAGGTTACATATTATGCGTACGCCGTTGTCAATTTCTCTGTCTTAGACACTTTATTCTCTGTTACTCCATTGTCCTGTCACTGACACCCTGCACAGAGGTACACGCTTCATCCTACGCAAGAAGCCGTCGGGCACAATCATCAGCCCTGTGGCTCACCAAGTCGATCGCGAATTTCGGGTTCTGAAAGCTTTGGGATCCGTTAAGGGATTCCCTGTGCCGAAAGTCTATACGCTCTGCATGGACCCGAGTGTGATCGGAACGGCTTTTTATGTGCGTCCCTGCCAAATGCTTTCGTGGTCCCGACACTGTGCGTGGACCTCGACGGAGAGGCGATGTAAAGCATGACTTTACAGGGCTGACGAGTGAGACGTTTCAGGTTATGGAATTTGTCAAGGGCAGGATCATAACAGATCCTGACCTAGGAGAACTTTCACCGTCAGATCGGAGGCAAGCGTAAGTCATTGCCTACCAATTATTTGCGATTTGGAGTCCCGTCCGACCTAGCCTCGTACTGCTCTCTCCTTCCAGGCACCAACTGACGTAAAGTACGCAAGATGGATCTCTCTCGTCGAAACCCTGGCCTGGCTTCACAGCATCGACCCGGACTCTATCGGCCTGTCCAACTTCGGCAAAAAGCAAGGTTTCTACCAACGTCACTGCAACACGTTCCAGCGCATAGAGGCTCAACAATCCAAAGTCAAAGACATCAACACGGGAAAGCAACTGGGTCGTGCGCATGAGCATTACGATGAGATGGTGGACTTTGTCAGGGACAACATGACAAGTGATAGGTATTCAATCGTGCATGGGGATTACAAGTTTGACAATGTGGTGAGTTCGAGATTATCCCAGGGACGACACCTTCTGAGGTCAATACCATGCGAGATCCGTGGCGGATATCTTGAGATTTGACCATGCAATACGAGTAGGTTCTCCATCCCACAGAACCGCGCGTCATCGCCATCCTCGACTGGGAACTCTCCACGATCGGCCACCCTCTGATGGACGCCGTCTACGTGATCGGGCCGTTCTGGAACGAAATCACAAAAGCCGGCCACCCTGTCTCCAACACCACCAACAAGGCATCATCATCGACGGCCAACGCATTCCAATCTTCCCCCTACGCACCGGCGAACCGCGCCAAATCCGGTATGCCCGCACCGGAGGAGCTACTCGACCGCTACACGCGGATCACGGGCTTCGACCCGCGCAAAGAAGGCTCTCCGCCGGGCAAGGACTTTGAGATCGCAAAGATCTTCCACTACGTGCGCGGTGGGACCATCTCGCACGGCATCCAGGCGCGCACCATCAGCGGACAGGCCAGCAGCGACTTCTCTCACGTGTACTTCGAGAACACCCGCAAGAGTCTCGACGCCGCGTACGGTATGATGCAGAGGCTGAAGGAGAACGAGCGGCTGGGCCAGGGCGTTAAGGCGAAGTTATAGTACATGGTTCTCGACGGGGAAGAGAAATGGAAATAGGGGAAAAGGAGATGGATTGATGGAACTGGTTCGAGCGAGCAGGATCGAAGATGGAGTGCTGAGGCAGCATAGGGTCTGCGCGTCCGTGATTGACTTGGCCTGAACCAAGTGAGGCCGTGAGTGAGGGGGGGGGGGGGGGGCACTAGAGGTAAGTTAAGGAGGCTGAGTAAGTAAGAAGGAAATGCTTGGACGGGTTTCATCCGGCTACATGCATATGTGTATGTCTATCTGCACCTCACGTCCAGCTCCAGCGACATACATACATACCTAGGTATATAGCTCACATACCCAGATACATAGACGTCCAAAAACGCACCCTTTCCCTCCCTCATTCACCGTCCCCTGGCCTCCCTGCCTTTCTACTACCTACCTATCTTCGTTCCTTCATTTCTCCCTCTTTCTTCCCTATTCTTAACATTCTCCACCATCCCCCTCTCACAGCTTCGCCGGCGCACGCCCCTGCAGTCCCTTCCTACCCTCCTTTTCCTTCTCCTCCCTCTCTGCCTGCTCCTTCAAGACCCTCTTGAGGATCTTCCCACTAGGACTCTTGGGGATCTCGTCCACGAACACCACGCCGCCGGTGAGCGCCTTGTAGCTGGCGAGATTCTGGCGGATGAACGCCTTCACGTCGTCCTCTGTCAGCCTGGGCGACGAGGTACCGTCGTCGGCGGAGGCCGCAGTGGTAATGCCGCCGCCATCGCCAGAGCGCCGCACCACAACGTATGCGCGGATCAGTTCGTCGGCGTACAGGGGCCGGCCAGCGGGGCGGAAGCCGAGCACGCCGCAGTCGACGATCTGCGGGTGCGAGAGTAGCACAGCCTCGAGCTCCGAGGGCGACACTTGGAAGCCGCGGACCTTGATGAGTTCCTGGAGGTTCCGAGCTTGGTTAGTATAAAATCAACCCCCCTACATCGGTCATGGTAGACTGAAAATCAAGGAATAGAGTCGCTCTGTGGTCCCAGGGGGTTCGCAAGCGGGACTTTCAACGGGCTAAAGGGAGCGAGTGGCGGCATAAGAGACCGAGGGTGATGGATTTGAGGGGCGAACCTTCTTCCTATCCACAATGTACCACTTCTTCGTCTTCCCATCACAATACAATATGTCCCCTGTCTTGAAATACCCTTCCGCATCGTACGCCTCGGCGTTTGCTTTCGGGTTGTTGAAATAGCCCCTTATGACGGTGGGACCGCGCACGCAGAGCTCTCCCTGGACGTCGTAGTCTGTGATGTCCTTGCCGTTGTCGTCGATCAACCTGGGGGTATCCCCGCCCAGTCAGCCAGTTATAGCCCCATACATTGTTGATTGAGAACCCGATGGAAAAAGAAGAACAAGAGGGAGAAACGGAGAAAGGGAGTCCTTAGGGCTGGTCTGTCAATACCAATTGGGGAACATCCCACCGCATACGTGTTAAACGGACAGGTGTATAACAAACAAACACAACAAGACAAGACAATACTTTGAACAGCTTACTTGACGTCGGTATTGGGCAGAAACCTGCTCCCCACACTGCCCGTCTCGTCCGTCTCCGGGTGGAAGAACTGGCTGATAGTGCCGGTGGTCTCGGTCATGCCAAAAACCTGTGTGAAGCTGGCGTCCGGGGCGCACAGGTCCTGGAACTTTTTCTGGGAGGCGGCGTCGAGGGGCGCGGCGCCGCACTTGACCTTGCGGAGCGACCTGAGCGAGTACTTGTGGCGCAGAGGGGACATGATGATGGCGATGACGAGCGGGGGCACGATGCCGATGTTCGTGATGCGGTGCATCTCGAGCGCGGCGAGGAAGGCCTCGAGCTCGAAGCGGCGCATGATCCAGCACGGGTCGCCGGTCGCGAAGGGGCACGCGTGCACCAGTGGCACCGTCGCGACGTGGAAGCCCGGCAAAGTGTACAGGTTGCGCACGTCCCAGGGCACGGGCGCAATGTCGTGCAGCATCGTGTGCCACGACGTCGCGTTGTAGTGCGACTGCATGGCCGTCTTGGGCAGACCCGTCGTGCCCGACGTGTTGAGCCGCGCCACCTGCGTGCGCTGCAGCTCCTCCAGGTCCGTGATCCGCGCCCAGTCCTCCTCGCCCTGCTCGAGCAGCCATTCCCAGCTCCGGAACCCCTTGGGAACCGCCTGCTGCGGCCGCGTGTTGAAGATGAAGATCATGTCCCGGGGGATGTCTTCCAACTGCGCCGCCTCCAGCACCGGGCCCAGCACCTCCGGCTCCACGATGAACATCTTGACCTGCGCCGTGCGGATGTGGTGCCGGATCTCATAGACTTGGTATGCTGGGTTCGTGCCGCTGGAGGGGGGGGGGAGGGGGTTAGATTTCTGCCTTCAGCCCTCAAACCAAAAAGGCTGTACCGAAGAAAAGGACAGACCCTCCTCTAATAAAAAGAAAACACGACTTACCTGAAAATGCCGCCGGCCGCTACTCCGCCGAGGAAGAGCATCGAGTACATGATCTTTTCCGAGAGAACTTCCATCAGAAGACCAAAGCCTAGAGCGCTGGGGGAGAAAAGGAGAAGGAGAAGGAGAAGGAGCCCACATCATTGAACGAAGCAATACTGAAACAGTCACCCCTCTTTAGCCCAGCCTTGCGGAATCCGGCAGCGAGTTTCCTCGTGATAGAGCGCCCTTGGCGCCATGATATCGTCCGTTTGGGGTTTTCCAGGTCGTGGTAGACCTTTTCGCGGCTTTATGCGTCAGAGTCCAAAAATCCCCTGTTTGAGGTTTCCTTCCCAAGAACTGAAATATTGATGATTAAAAAAAAGTGGGGGGAAGAGGGGGGGGGATTTATTATAGACGAGGTAGATATAGATGTATACTGACTGGTCTATCGGGGTCATAAGCACATTCGTCGAAGACGAGTGAGATCAGATCTTTCTGCGGCAGCGGATAGGATTCTTGACTTAGCCATGGCATCTTTGCTGGTCGGTGTTGGTGGTGCTCAAGACACAGTCGTAGTCAATGCACCGCGCGAGGACCTTGTACTGTGAGAGCCAGGCAAAAGGCCGCGCGAAACACAAAACGTTGAAAAGCGGAAGATAATTGCTCCATGCTCGCGAGCCCAGGCACGGGAGGCCCATAAGGGCTTGATTTAGCATGGGGTTCTGAGTCCGACTCTCTGACAGAGCTCCTCGAGCTCCTCAAGCCGCTGTCAGCATCTTGACGTACGGGTGCCGAGGATTTGTTCGGTAAAGACGGGCTGGCTGTGAGCGGAAAGGCCCCCAGTCCAGAAAAGGGTGGTTGTCGAAGTTTTGTGGAGGGGGTTTTATGGAAAGAAAATGGGTGGGTGGTGGTGATTTTCAGGGGTTCCCATGGGGCTCCGCTTGGGGTGACAAGGTGTGGGGAGAGAGCGATATTGTAGAAGATATGGAGTATGAGTTACCGTCAACCAAGTCCCCCTGCGCCTAACACAAAGCAATCGCATATGCCCTATTAACTGACATGTCTTGCTCTACCTAGCTAGCTATGACAGCCTCGCCTTCAGCGCCCCAGAACCCTCCGCGTCTCTCAACTCAACAGCCGCCTGCGAGATAACCACCCTGTCCCCTGCCAGCTGTCTGTACACGATCTTCCTGCCTCCGTCCTCTCGCCACATCTCCGTCTTCACCACTTCCCCTGGAAACACAGGCTTGCTCAACCTCAGCTTCACGCTCTGAAATCTCTTAAAGTCGCCGCCGGCGAACGTGTCAATGATGTGCAATACACCCATTCCCACCGTACAAGTTCCGGTCAAGATCGGTCCGGGAAAACCACCTGCTTTGGCCACGGCGGGATCGATGTGTAAGGGGTTCAAATCTCCCGAGGCGGCACGGTAGAGGGCGCCTTGTTCTGGAGAGGTTTTATACTCCACCACAGCATCGGGTTTGCGATCTGTTGGCGTCGGGTGTATTGCCGTAGCGGCTCCGCGTGGGATGGGTTTTGTTGATGCCCCTGCTCCGGGAACCTTCATGATAAATGATGTCCATTCGCTGTAGCAGATTTCGAGGCCCGTGGATGCGTCGACGGTAGTTATGCCCACGGCGACGGTGACGCCGCTTCGGCGATCCACAATATCCACAACTCTGGCGGTGGTGTTCAATGTGGCCTGTTTCGGAAATGTCCCTTTCATTTCAAGATAGTGCTCGCCATGGACGTGATTGTGCGCCTGGAAGTTTGGGAGGAACTCCATCATCCCGTAGGTGACTTCTCGCATGACGGAGATGACGGGGAGTGTAGCGAATGTCGGCACGGCAGCGAAGTCTGGATGTGCTTCAAAGCATCGTGACAGGTCTGTGCCCTTGACGCCAAGGGCGATGTTGTAGGTGATGATGTTGTTGGGAGTGTAACTGCTGGTAACACTCCATGATCGTTTTTTAATACCATCGACGTCGATTATCGTCGCCATAGTTGCTCAAAGGTACGACAAGAAGGCTGAGGCATGACCCGTCTGAGAATTAGACTTTTGAGCAGTTCGAGAATAGTATGCACAAAGTCTTATGTCTACTAGCCCGAGGCAGATGAAGGCGAATCGTCTGCCGAGGTCAGCTCGGACCGTGGGAATGGATGTCTGCACAATTCATCTGCTCTCGATGCAGGCTGCTCTTTGTGGAATTAAGACCAAGGGAACGTCACTGTTTTCCCTTAAGTAGGGCAGCAATTGGCAGCAGACATCCGCAATAGAGCTCAACTTACCCAAGCAAAGCAACTCCACAGCTAGTTACTCCAGCCTCATAAGCCTTACCTATGTAACTTTCTGCGGGGAAGCTGGGGTCTTACCAGATCAAGATAGCCTTGCTTCCGAGGTCCACAGCACCAGTTGTATTGTCCTCTGAAGACTTCAAGACCCAAGGTAGAGAAAATATGTAGATCATGCAAAGACGAGTACCAACTACGGCCTTCGTTGGCGTGCCGAGTGGCATTCTTTTTCTTTTTGGCCTCTCTCATAATTGAGTTGTCGTGGAAGAAAACTTACCTGAAAATGACTGCCACACCCCCGAGTTATCAAACCGTCGTCGCAACCAGCCTTTCACCGGGAGCACTGCTTCTGGAATATAACCAGCCCAAGATCTCCAATGCATTCACACTCCAGCAATACCACGACTTAGCCGACGCTCTCCGCTGGGCACGCAATGACCCTTCCATCAGGGTGATCGTTCTCACAGGCAAGGGGAAGCACTACTGTGCAGGAAAAGTGCTTCTTCCACCAGGCGAATCCGGACCGACCATTGAACAAGAAATTGAAGCTGGCCGGAAACTTGGAGATGAGTTACAGGGGTACCCAAAGGTCTTGATTGCAGCGGTCCATGGTGCAGCGATCGGATGGGGATGCACCCAGCTGTGGAATTTCGATTTGGTGTATGCTTGGGACAAGGGGGCGGTCTTTCAAACGCCCTTCATGAGCCTGGGGTTCGTCCCTGAGGGGGCATCGAGCTGGAGCTTCCCCAAGGTCATGGGTAAACAGCGCGCGAACGCACTACTACTAGCGGCGGAGAAGTTGAATGCCAGGGAAATGTATGATGCGGGGATGGTAACCAAAGTAATCGGAGGGGACACGGTTGAGGCGTTTCGGGACGAAGTCTTCAAGATTGCAAAGAGGATCGGCACCTACAGCGCAGAGAGTCTCAGAATGGCCAAAGCACAGGTGAATCGGCCTTCTGTGTTGGCAGAGCAGAGGGAGGCGAGCATGTGGGAAGCGGTGGATTTGAAGGTAAGATTGAATAGTGACGAGGCGAAGGCGGCGATGAAGGCTTTCATGGACAAGAGCAAGCCGAAGTTGTAGATAAAATCTTGGTGGATGGGGTGGCAGTTTCGTACACCACTTGACACGCTCGGTGACACGACCGAGGCAGCCTTGCTGACATAAGATCTGTACGGCGGGGTAAATGCCCATTCTCTGCAACCTCGAAATTTAATTTTCTCGAATTTCTCAACTGCTGTGGTGGAGAGGATTTTGGTGCGCCCGTATTCTTGCGTCCACTTCGCTTTCTTTTCCCACTTCTCCTGCAGGCAAGTAAAAGTAACTCGACGGCAGTCATTATGAGCAAGCATAAACTCGACGACGAGGCCGCCCAGCTGGCCAAACAGGAGCGGAAGAGAAGGAAGAAAGACCGCAAGGCAGCCCTTCGCTTGCAAGATATCACGCCCTCTTCGACTGAGGCCACAGCCAACTCAACTCCAGTCCCGGAGGATAAGGACAGTAATAACACCAATGGCGATGGCAACGTTGCCCAAAAGCCTGTTTCAGCCCTCGAAACCCTCCGGAAATCCGAAGTCGATCATTTCTTGAAAACACAGTCTGTGCAGGTTTTTGATCCACAGAACACAAACGTCCAACCTATCCTCGCGTTCTCGCAACTTCCCGAAGACTTAGCCTCTCAATTCTCTGACATCTTCTCCTCCTTTCAGAAGCCCTCGTCTATTCAATCCGCCGCTTGGCCCTTCCTCCTCTCCGGTCGAGACGTGGTGGGTGTGGCGGAAACAGGCAGCGGGAAGACCCTGGCATTCGGCCTGCCTCTCGTCGTTCGTCTCACCTCTCTTGAGAAGAAGAAGGGAATAAGAGCTGTCATTGTGGCGCCCACGCGGGAACTTGCGATCCAAGTGTTTGAACAATTGGACAATCTGAGCAAAACAACTCAGAAGCTCAAGGCGGCATGTATATACGGGGGTACCAATAAAGACGAACAGCGTCGCAGTTTGAAGGGGGCGAATGTCGTTGTTGCAACGCCAGGAAGGTTAAAAGACTTCATGTCTGATGGCACAGTCGACGTGTCCAAAACACGATATCTGGTCCTCGACGAAGCAGACCGCATGCTCGACAAGGGCTTTGAAGATGACATCAAACAAATCATTTCCCAAATGCCATCCTCAAAGAAGCGACAGACCGCAATGTTTACAGCGACATGGCCAAAATCTATCCGCGAGCTGGCGGCAACATTCATGCAGCAACCAGTTAAAATCACCATTGGCCGCGAGGACGCTGATGACTCGGGCGAACTGAGAGCTAACCCACGCATCGTGCAGAAAGTGGAAGTCATCGACGGCTCTCTAAAGCAGCAGCGTCTTCTGCAGTTATTGAAGCAGCACACCGCCGGTCAAAAACGCAATGACCGCATCTTGGTTTTCTGCTTGTACAAAAAAGAAGCCCTCCGCATCGAGAACTTCATCCGGTCGCGTGGGTTCAACGTCGCAGGAATCCACGGTGACATGTCACAGTCCGCACGCATCGCCAGCTTAGAATCATTCAAATCTGGCGCCACCACGCTCCTCGTGGCCACTGACGTGGCAGCCCGCGGGTTGGACATCCCCGAGGTGAAACTCGTCATCAACGTAACTTTCCCGTTGACCGCAGAAGACTACGTTCACCGTATCGGTCGCACTGGCCGCGCTGGCAAGGATGGCCTTGCGATTACTTTCTTCACCGAACAGGATAAAGGTCTGGCGGGCTCGCTGATCAATGTCTTGAAAGCCGCGAAGCAAGACGTCCCAGAAAACCTGCTGAAGTTTGGCACCACGGTGAAGAAGAAGGTTCATAGTGACTATGGTGCTTTCTATCGGGAAGCGGAGGAAGGAGAGAAGAGTACCTCGACGAAGATTACGTTTGACGATTGATCTGGCTGGAAAAGTTTTTCATGTCCTAGGTTTGTCATTGTGACGTGTCGACTTTGTTGAAGAGGATTTCAAAAAGCCGGGCATCTTTGCAGCGAGGCGTTGTGGGAGGATGGATTCGAGGAGCTGTAAAAGGAATTCACGCTCGGTTATGAGACTAGAAATAGACAGACTGGTTAGACGAGCGGGACCTTAGGTGAATATAGACGTTGAAAGCCCCCTAAAAAAAATGAATGGAAAAAAGGAGATCGGGAACAACTCACATGGTAGAACCCAGGAGTATCGCACCAGTAATCCAGAAAGCAAGAAACTGGAGATCCAATCCCCCTTTCCCAGCGTCTGATGTTGTGAAAGAGCCACTCATTCTCAACCCGAGGGTCACAAGCACGGCGACAGCGATGCCCGCTTTTGCCGGCATCGCGTCATTGAGCATCATCATCTCCTTGGCCTCCCAGCCCCCGTTTCGTCCGGACTTGGACTCGGACCTGTCGTCCACCTCACGTTGCGCCTGCGTCGTGACCCAGGTCTTCAAAAATGCCACGCTCCACAGAATCCTCAGGCCCATGTTCACCATGTTGGCGCCCACGAGACCGACGCTGCCCACCGCCCACACCTTCAACATGGCCCATGCCGCGACGCCGTAAATCCCCGTGAACACCAGCATCCAGAGGCTCTGGCTGCGCAGCTGGGCCGAGGTGGCGACGCTCGTGACGAAGGCGTCGAGGATGCCGTTGACGGCCATCAGCGGGATGTAGTAGCAATAGGTCGAGAGGAGGAGGGATGTCGATGGGGTACGCCATTGAGGGGAGAGGATGTAGGGGATGAGAAAGGGGAGGATTTGCGGGGCGAGGCTGAGTAAGGGGAGCGAGAAGAGGAGGTAGATGCGTAGGGTTGTGGAGAGGTAGGAGAGAACGAGACGGGTGTTGTTTGTATCCTCGTTGGGGCGGATCTTGTTCTTTGGTGAGTGTGAGGGTGGTGGGGCTGTGGTCTTGCTCAATGAGGACGGAGAGAGAAGTCGTCCGAATGTATTTCGACTGCTCTCCTCCACGGGCTGAAAGACTAGGCGCGCTAGAAGGCCGCCGTAGTTGGAGGCTAGGGCGAAGGCGCCTTGGTCTGCGAGAGAGGAAAGGAAACTCAAGATCAGGGCGTCGCCTTGGGTCAGGAGCAGTTTGAAAACGGACTGCATGTACATGGTCGCTGCGAGAGAGAGGATTGCCTTGTGAAAGAGTTTGAAGTAGTATATCTGCTGTCGCGAAGGCGAAAGTATTCGCGTCGGGACGAGGCTGAAATTTTCGGCTTTCGACAGTTTTATCGTTGACAGGGAGTAAAGAGCCAAAAGGGTGACGGCATATGCCGCCTGTCCCGCGGCAAAGGGTAAGATCGAAGGAGCCAGGCCCCTCCGGTGTCCCAGAACGGCGACGATGCAAGCTGAGAGACATCGTGCCATTGCAGCACTGGTCTCTGCCCGTGCCCTATCTTTGTATAGAGCTTTCTGCTGGATGACGACGAAGGCTGGTTCGGCGAGTAGTTCAATCAGAGTGGCCGCCGCGTAGATCTGAAATGAGACATCAAAGTAGGGGCTATTCAGGACTTCATCTGGTGCACTCCGGAGATATAAATAACCAAATATGGTCGAGATAACCAAGCCCAGAAGCACTGCTAGGTGGGAGAGGTTGACAACAGTTTGCGTCTCTGTTCCCTCGACATTCCACTTTCCCTCCCTGGCAGAAATAGATTTCGGCGACTGAGAAGACGGACGCTGTCGTTGCAAAGCGACACGAAGACTCTCTCGTGCAAAATACAGACTTGTTACGGAGACAAGCTCGAGCTGGACAGCGATCCCCAATAGCGAGGGCGAGAGAAAGCGAAGGAGGAATTGGTTGCCGATGAAGGTGAGCGCTCTGGAGGCGAGTTGGATCAAGATTAGCAAAAGCGTTCCACTTCCCGGCTGACGGGCAGCTTGTGCTTCTGCGCCTGACATGTTGAGGTCTCTGACCGGAAGCCTGGTGGTTCTGAACGGGCTTTGGTGGTCGGACGTCGAGGGTTTGTCAACCTCAACCCAGCACGTGAGTTGAAAGAGCAACGGTTCACAGTATCCAGCAAGGCTGTTTACGGCTCACTTTCAAGAAAGTTGTCCCGTCACCATTCGCAGCGGGGGTTGGCCTTGTCAAAGAGATGTCGAAAGATTTCGAGAGTGAAAACGTGGCCTGTCGATTTCTCCGTCCAAGGTATCAAGGGGTCTTCTTGGGAGAGCTAGGAAAAGAGATGTCAGCTCCAATTCTGATAGCACATCACCAATTCAAAATACATCTCGAGCGCCCAATGAATGTAGAAGAGGCTTAGGGATTGACGCTATGAGAAGTGGATAGCATCAGAGAGGAGGAGAGCCATCAATCGGTGCTGGGCTCCCTGCCACAGCGCCGTGAGGCACAGAGGGAATAGAGCTGCAAAAGCAACGCCGTCAAGCCCACATTACTACGTTCGCCTAGCTAGGTCAAAAAAATGGAATATCTTGGCCTCCAAGCCTTTGCAAACCCTGTTGTTCTCCTCTAGATGCACATTTGCGCCATGGCCACGTCCTGCCCGGCCACAACTTTGCCCCGTTGGATGGCTTCTGTCCACGAACCAGCCTGAGATGGCAATGATGATACATGTTCAATTTTTTGGTCCGCCTCAGCCCAACCTCGCTCATACCTCGTCCACATCCATCTTCTCCACCACCACCAGGCTGTCCGAGTCACTTCCACTTCCAATCTCATGCACCGTAACATACCGCCCGACCTCCTCCTTTGTGATGACCTTCTCATTCAACACTGCGGTCGTGCCTCTTGCAAACTTGTAGTTACGCTCCTTCTTTGCGCGCTCGTTGGGTTTGATGTAGTTCCGCATCAGCTGTGACGGTCTGCCCTTTTCAATCACACACACGTCGACGTTGCTTCCTGAACCCAGATCATTGAAGATACCGGCCATGATCGCTTCCGAGCATATTTTGATCGCCTCCTCTCTGGTGCAGTTCTTCTTCCATGTTGATTCGAAGACTGCCATTGCCGCGAGCGAACCGGAACCCATAGTGACGTAGGGGAGTTTGTCTGTTGAACCGTGGGCATGGACAGTGAATAATCCAACTCCTGTAGGATCAACCCCCGCAACGACTAGATATGCGCCAATGTAGCCCTGGTATCGGAACAGATGTTGTTTTAGCATCGTCATCACCGTCACCACTCGGGGTGTCCGACCCGTAGATAGTGAGTGTAGTTCGAGGTTGGAGGAGATGAGAGCGGTTGTGAATTCGGTGTCTGCTGCAGTGCCGGCACCGGCGCACCAGATGTTGGGAGAAATGTAATGCAATTTTTCGCAGTTCTGTTCCGGATTAGAAAGAGTCAGAGACTTTGAGGGCGACAAGTTTGATGTATACGCACCTTGTCCGCAACTATAGGTCCGCTCGTTGCTCTCGTGTCTGCAGCAATCTATCCAGCTGGTCAGCCGTGCTCAAATTGAAGGTGGAGATGGTAGGATGCGGATTGTTTGCGTACCACCACACCATTGTCGAATATGCATCCCACGATGGTTGTCCCTGTACTAGTTGCCTTTGGTAATGGGACACCCCGTGCGTGTAAGGCTGCGTTGCGATTGTAGTTGCTAAAGTCGAAGCCGGGCATGCTTGCGGCGGAGGCACAGAGCCTTGACTTGGGATAACGCTTGGTAGGAGAGCAATGAGTCGGCTTGGGTTGAATATCCACCGGTGAACGCCGGCAGAAAGATTGAATGCTGAAGTTATGAGATGCAGTCGGAGTGTAGAAGCAGAGAAATGTAGTGTGCGAGGGAGGAGCTTGAGGGACAATTGACGGTGGGCTTGTAGCGAACCTGAAGGCAGCTTTCGTGATGCGCAATACTCTCTGCTTGGGGGACGACGCGGCAACGCGAGTACTCGCCGTTTTAACGAGGTCACTCCCACTAGCCATTTTCGGTCAAACACCAGACAACCTTGCACAGCCTTGTAATATTTTCCTGGCAACGACAATTGGGATCAGTTTCCTTCCCTTCGCTAGGGAGCTAGATTAGGGTTACGATTGCAAGATACGTTGGCGCTTGCGGTCTATTTAGGATACTATTGGACCAGACAGCGAGAAGTTACCTAGTATGCACGTAACGTGTACCAACAGCCCAAACCCAGCTTATCCAAACCAGTTAAACCTTGGGTGTCACAAGCTCCTCCTCGTGCATACCACTGGCTTTCTCAGTGCTAGGGCCGCGCTTGCGAAGCTCATCTTCTTCGTCTTGCTGTGCCGCTTTCTCCATCTCTTCCTTCTCGGCATCGGTGGCGCCATAGTAGTGGATAGCAACTTGCTCGCCAAATTGGACATTGATATCTTCCTAGAATGCGTGTCAGTCAAGAGTCACGTATGCAACCAATTATTGTCGGAGCGTACCAAGCTTCGGCCCTTGGTCTCAGGGCACATAAAGTAGACGAAGAAAATGTGGAGAGCGGTAGGGATGATCAAAACCAGGAAGAATTTCCAGCCAATGTTGTTCAGAGCGATCGGGCCGGCAACGAGCAGGATGATATCGGAAAGATAGAGGCCGCACATAGCGACAGCCATGCCCTGGCTGCGGATATGTGTTGGGAATATTTCAGATCTGTCACCTCCCGTTAGTGGAACCCCATTCCATACCTGACTGAGCCCAACTTACACATAGAGAAATTGGCTGGCATCCATGAAAGTCGACCAAAAAGGTGTGATGAACTATAAATCAGGGGTCAGCAAGATGAAGAGATCGATTGCGAATGCGGGTTGGGTAAATTCGGGTTTCGGGGTTATTTCACATCAAGTGTCGAGGGAGGAAGGCACTCACCAAGAATATGAAGAAGATTCCGAAATCCAAAGCCACAGTGTTGGTGGTGCCTAAGTAGGTTGCTTGGATGGCAATTTCGCAGATCAAACTGACGAGAATACCACTCAGTCCGATGAGCATGAACCTCCGTCGGCCGAATTTTTCGACGAAGAAAGCACAGAAGATATTCCCAGGGAACTGCAAATGGCCGTTAGCGTGTGCCGATATTGAGAGGCTGTCTGATGACAACCAGGTCCTCTGAAATGGAAACTTACTGTGGACAAGACCCATAAGGCACTGAGCAGCAGCGGCCAAAAGCCCGTCATCCCGAGGCTGGTGTAAAGGATAACTCCGTAGTTTGCGATAATCAAGACACCCGTGAATTGATTGTTCCACATGAGAAAGAAGCCCACAAGAGCGCGTCTGCGATTTGGCTTTGTCTTGAACACTTCCCATTTCGAAGTGGTGGCTTTGATTGATTGGTCCAACTCAACTTGCTTCCTCATCTGATAGTACTCTTTGCGGGCAAGAGAGTCATGCGGGTCATCCTTTGACCTGTGGAGACGCTTGATCACTTCATGGGCTTCGTCGTAGCGCCCGTGCATCATGAGCCAACGGGGACTGTATGGGAGCCAGGGAGAGCCCGCAAGCAGGAGGAGAGCTGGGACCATCTGGAAGGCAATAGGAAACCGCCAAGGGAATGAGGAGTTCGATCCGCTTGCTGAAATGAAGTAAACTCCAAATCCGATGAAGGCGGAAAGGGTGTAGCCCATTGCGAACATAACTCCCTGTAAATTGTCAGTCGCGGAAAGCAGTATAGAAGGCTATTCGATAAAGCTTACATGCATTGACACCATGAAGCCTCGACTTTCTGGTGTTGACACCTCGGCCTGGTACATGGGAATAGCCGTCACCAAAGCACCGATCTAGACTTTGGTCAGCACTGTCATGCGTTATTGAAATATGGTGAGGATCGTGAAAGCTTTCGCACTGCCGTTACAGGACTCTCGGACACTTACACCCAAGCCATTGACGACACGACCGACCATGAACATAGCATTGTCCACCGAGGCTGCGCAAATAGTCGCTCCGACAACGAGGATCATTGCTGCTACTTGAATAGTGTGTTTACGGCTCCATTTATCGGCACAATAGGCACAGGCTGCTGCCCCGATGGCGGATCCCGCAGAGTTGACACCTAGGCAAACGGGATATTAGAACGTTTCTTGTCACTGAGAGCGAGCTTGGGTGCTATACCGTTAAAAGCACCAATATATTGAGTAGTGCGACTGTAGCCGGGCTCTCCCTGTGGAGCGAGGTGGAGAGATTTGTAGAAGCTGGGTTGTCCTATGGTGGAGCTGACTTTGTGAGTTCTGTGACTCTGTGGCAATTAAGGGAGCGTGTCCCTACCCGATAATGGCCATTCCATAAGAACATGCCGTCGAACCCAGCGCGACGAAGATCACAACCGCCAGGTTAAAGGCATTTGGGATGAGTTTCCCCATTGTGGGCGAAAAGTCTGCTCAAACGCGTGTATCCACCTTTGACAGTACAAGGCTGTGAGATTCTGCTGCGGAAAAGGTCCTTCAGACCATAAGAGAAAGAAAACGGAGAGCCAGCGGGCATGATCCTGGCACACGGGGGAGCTTTATATATCACCGCCTCAGGCGCGCTGATGGCAAGCTCCGAATTTCAGGACAAACCAGACGATATCAGAGTGGACTGAGCTGGTCTCCGAGTTACGAGAAATAGTCACAAACCGTTTGTCACGAAACACGAGGCGTCTAGTCCCGTTGAGGAGCTATTTAACATTTGATTGGATATCATAATAGGCCTTCTTGGTCGAACTTTGAGAAGTGGCCGGGGCTAGACCTTGTCAGAGTCCGCAAGTCAGGTCAGTTGAATCGTCTAAACTCGAGGAAGAAAAAGTGGCGACGAAGAGAGAAGCGAGAACCAGGCTCATGGATGCGATAGACACCGGATCTTGCCTCAAATTTCACCCTCGGGCATAGGCCGGAGAATGTGCGGGGGAGTCGATCAAGTCTCGAATCCCCCGGTTTTGCGGGGATTCACCGAGGTCAACATCTCGAAACAGTTAGGATCCGACAATAACCCACAGAAGTTTTCCCGGAGACGAATGGTTGACCATAGAATCCTGATAGTGACCAAGCCAAGACAGATATAGGCGGCGTTTGACTTTTATGTGGGTGTTGTTTATCCTCGGTTAGATAATCTGCCGTAGGGAAAGGGCCTCTTTCTAGGGAAGCATGACTGATAGATTGGACCACAATTCCGCTTCCGGTGGAAATTGTGACTGGGAGTTGTCCCATCTATGATCTGATGAACAACAACCACCCACTCAGTTTGAGTTGACGCTTGCGCCACGTGTTGGCCAACTCGTGAAAGAAGCCCCTGCATAGCGAGTTAGTCCATGCAGGTAGATGTTCAAGGGAAACCCACCTTGACGGTACCGCGTAGAACGTCCCTACGTCCGGACTACGCTGTGAACATGGAGCATCCTTGTGAGTCTCAAACTCTTTTGCAAGTCTGTCTCTCGGGAATTCATAAAGTTTATAGTTCATGCCAAAGTGGCACCAACAACAAAGCGAGTGGGAATCCACACAGCAGGTTCCAATCGCATGATGACGCTTTGAGACAAAGAACTTGCATCGTGTCAGGGAAGGCAACATGTGTCTGAGTCAGAAATTGCGAGTTCGAATCCATTCTCCGTTCAGATGGGCAGAAGTTTGTTGGAAGGAGTCTCAGATAGATCAGGGTGTGCTCATTACCTGCCTCGATACTGTAAGCCTTCCCAGAGGGGTGAATAAGGGAGCCAATTTTAAAAGACTTGCTGAGATAGACTCGCAAGAAGCAGCCCAGGTCCTCGCTGTTATTCTGTCATTCACAACTTTGTCCATTGCAGCTAGAATGTCGAAAGAGATCTCCGAGCTGAAGGTTGTCTCGGTGGTTGTGTCTCACGGAAAATGACTTGTGCTCCTAATTCATTCGATTTGTTGCGATGAACAGGGTTTCTGTGATCAAGTCCCCGGAAACCTGCCGGAAGATGCGCGCTCGAAAGCGTCCAGCGATGGGAGGTGTTGATGTAAGGTACCTCGTACGGAGGATGGTAGCCGAAGAATGCTGGCAAGCTCCTGACTGAAAAGCCTGGGCAAGCCTGGGCAACCTGGCAACCTGCAACCTGGCAACCTGCAACCTGGCGAGCTGGCGGGCTGGGCAATCGGCGACGTTGCCCTGATTTCTGATTCACCGTAGAGTACGGTGCCACAGGCGAACGCGATACCGCAATACCGCAGTCGCGACTTTTCATATTTTGGCTTCCGCAGGCATGTCGCTGATAGAAAATTGGCCACTGCCTGTCTGTGCCATCAGAAGGAGACGCAGATTTTCTTCGTTGCCTAGCTCTCTATGACTGTCCCTCAAAATTGCTGACCCCAAGAAAGCCCCATCGTTCTGGAGGCCTAGTGCACTCCTGCGACATTCTTTTACCTTCTCAACACCGAGCCCACGACGAGGTCTATCGAACACGCATGTCTCATCCCCTCTCTCACCCACTTACGCAAGACGGTCGCTGTCGGCCGAGCTCCCGCGACTAAGGATGGCCTTCAGTTTTTCGAATGCTGTGTCGAGTGGCTCAGGTGTTGGACCTTCTGGTGTGAACGTCATAGACGGAGCAGAATTGCAGGAGATTCAAACAAACGAATTGGGGTTTGCCGCCCTTAATGGCGAGTCAAAAGTTCAGCTCCTCCCAACACCATGGCCTGCGGATAATCTCCCTCCTCCCTCGTCATCGATGCTCAGTGTCGCATCTGCCCGAGGCTTGCTAGCTGCTGCAGGGCCGGACGCCGTCTATGTTAACTCTACAACCAAGATCCGGGAAGCATTTCAGTCTCCGCAACCTGAGAAGACCCAGACACGGCCTTTTCAACCTGAAATAAAGTTGCCATATCCACGAGTCTCTCACGTCGCATTTTCCTGTGATGAGAGCGTCCTCGTCATCTCGCCCTCAACGGGTGGAATCGTAGCCTTTCAGACTGAACGCTTGCAGAAAGGCAGTATACATCCCGCCTTAGAGATCTCTACCGATGGCCAGAACCTCCGAACTGTGGCACCAAATCCAGTTGTCGAATCGGCCGAAATGTTTGCCGTCATCACCGCAAATGGGGATCTGATGCTGCTTGACTTAAAAGCCGGAGCAATAAAATCTGGTGGCGAGGGCAACGTGCTGAAGAAGGGTGCAAGTTGTTTGTCATGGAGTAACAGAGGCAAGCAGTTAGTTGCGGGCATGGCGGACGGAACGGCGATTCAGATGAAACCAGATGGTACTGTTGTTGCAAGTATTCCGAAGTCAACAAGTATCCCTCCGGACTCGCATGTCTCCGGAATCTCATGGCTCGAGAACGATACCTTCTTCATCATCTACACACCCAACAACACAAGCGATGAGATTCCGCCGTCAGAGTACTACATCGTGCAGAGGGAGCCAAAAACAACAAATTACACGTTCCAGAAACTTCCCGAGATTCTGCCACCATTCGGAGTGGCAAGACCACCTGCTTTTCACTTCATCTCGAGGCTGAGGAATTTTCCACCCCATATCCAAGACTTGTTGATCGTGTCTGCTACGACCGCTACAGACGTTGGGCTCATTTCGAAGTCGGATAAGCCTTTGTCTCAGGAGGACCCAGTCACTTCCGCCTTCACCTTCACCACAATCGAAGATGATACGAGGCGCGCCCAACTTCCCCTTTCTCCAGCGATGGAGGATACGTCTCCCATCGGTATGGTTGTGGACTTATCCAGCCCCGAAAAGGTTCCAAACCCAATCCCATCGGACCCAGAAATTGAGGAGACCGCCGGGCCCGTACCCTGCCTGCTCATATTGAACAACGAAGGCACTCTGGTGGGCTGGTGGATTATCTACAACGACTCAGTCCGAGAAAAGACCACCTTCTCCGGCTTTGCATCTGTGCAAACTGCAAAGGAAGCTCCAGCACCCGCCATTCGACCGCCGTCACCGCCTCCTATAGCCGCTGCTCCCACGTCTGGTGAACCACCTGCTACCGGTGCTTTCGTGAAGGCGGCAGGCGGGGGCTTCGGCATGTCAGCAGCTCCATCCGCCTTTGGTGCCCCTTCTGCCAAACCATTTGGAGCCCCATCACCAATCACATCCGAAAAACCTTCCTGGGCTAGTACGGGATTCGGCTCTACTCCAGGGGCTGCATCGTCACCGGCCTTCGGCCGGCCTGCATTCGGTTCGGCCACACCTATGGGAGGGACCAATGCTCCGTCATTTGGGTCAGCAAGTGCCCTAGGAAGTCGAGCTTCAGCTTTTGGACAACCTTCGACAATTGGAGGGACTCCTGCATTTGGTCTGACTCCTGCCTTTGGTACTAGTTCTACTACTAGTCCTTTTGCGAAAGCAGGGGTTGATACAACCAGCTCAGGCTTTGCCTCATTCTCGAAGGGAGGAGGCTTTGCTTCTTTTGCAGGAGGCACATCAGTGCAAGCCAGCCAGAGTCCTTTCGGCAAAGCGAGTGGCACGAGTCCCTTTGCGCAAGCATCGGGAAACATATTCAGCTCTACCAAACCCCAAGAATCTCCTTTTGCAACAAAGAAACCCGGTGAAGCCCTCAGCTCTTTTGGATCGGCAACTGCTTTCAAATTGCAATCATCGTTTCGAGGGGATGGAACTACGAGAGATGACTTACCGCCGCCCAAAGAAGGCGGTGGTTTTAGCTTCGGATCTTCGTTTGGTGATATGCTAAGCGAAACAAAGCCCGCGCTGTCGCCCACTCACGACAAGGAGGAGGAGATGGGTGAGGAAAGCGCACCGAGCGAGGCTGAATCCGACAGAATCCAGGCGACATCTTTCCAGGGATTCTCTCCACAGACCTCAGCAAAACCTCCTCAGACGCTGGTCACGCCTCCATCCACTCTCATACAACCCAAGACTACGTCTGCGCCGGCTGTTTCCACCATATTTGGCCAGCCACAGATTGATTCCACAACTCCACAATCTCAAAATGCCGCCCCAGGATGGTCTTTCAACGCTTTCTCCTCCACAACTCCCAAAGAGACGCCGAAGCCCTCTCATATGGCCATGTTTGGCACCAAACCCACACCCCAAGAAACCCCTGCTGTCGTACAAAAGAGCGTACCAGCACCAACTTTCGAGCCTATTGGACCACTTCCAGAGATCAAGAAGGAAATTGTGAGTGAGGACGAGTCTGTTGAAGTCAAAACCATTCCCGAGGCACCCCTACCTCCTGATACTGTCAGTAAGCCACGGTATGTATCGGGCGAAACTTCTGTATCGTCGAACATATCGAAAACACCGCCGGGCGACACATCTCTGCCGCCCGGTTTTCTCCCCGTGCCCAGAGCCGGCCACCTGGAGGAGACTAATCAAGAACTACCAGATGAGGGCGAAGATGAATTCAGCTCCGAATTTGAGGAGGATGTGGAAGAAATCGAAGAAGAGAGTCTAGAGGAAGACGTCACCAAGGAACAAATAGAGCAATTGCAGACTTCACCGGAAAGTTCATTCAAAAGTGGTGATAGGAGTCCAGAAACAAGTCCTACAGGTGGATTGTTTACAAAGATTACCTCAGCCTCTATGGCACCGAAGCCTGCCAGACCGTTGTTTGGTGAGGTAGGCGCAGGTCCTGTTTTCCCACCACCCAAGCCACAAGAAAGTCCACGATCGCCTAGCCCCGTAAGACATGCCTTCTCAATTGATGGGCTCCGAGCAGATGCCTCCAGGTCGGTTAGTGCGCCGGCGCATCCTCGTTCCATCATTGACCAACGGAAGGCCCAATATCAGAAATCCGGGCTCGCCGCTCAGGCAGCGAGGACAAGAGAAGAAGAGGCAGCCAAAGAGAAAGCTCGCCGCGAGGCCATCGCACGGGAAAAGGCGCAAGCGGAAGCTGAGGAGCTCGCACCACTAGAGGATGACGAGGACGAGAGGTTGCGCCAGGAGCTGGAGCAACCAATCACGCCATCAGAAACGTTGGACGATTTCGTTACATATCAACCTCGACCTCGCGAAGAAACTCACAAGCACGGCATACCGGCACAGATTGAGCGGCTCTACTCGGACATCAATTCGATGGTGTACACCTTGGGAATCAACTGTCGGTCGCTAACAGCATTCCTGCAATACCAGCAACCCGAAGCAACCAATCAGTCATGGCCAGCGGTGCTTAAATCGGAGACACCTCTGGATGCCTTGAATGATGAGCTTCTCTTGACTGATATTGCAAGATTGCATGAAGGACAAGCCGTGCTTGCAGATATGCTTGCAGACTGCCATATTGGTGACTTCATTGAGAAATTTGAAGAAGCCCAAGCGCTAATGAAGCGTGAGGTGTGTGACTTGAGGAATAAGCTCATGTCCGTACGAAAGACCTTGCACAGTCTGTCGACTATAGACAGCACGGTGAGCGCTCCTCTTTCTGCCGAGCAGACGTCTATCCAGCATGACCTTCGCAAGATCTTCACCCATGTGCAGACACAAATAGTCCAAGTTGAAGATGGGATATCCGTTCTTCGTGCAAAACTCGCCCAGTCAGCGTTCACCGATGGTTCCAGCCAGCCAAGAGGTACTCCAGGACGAGTATCGTCAAGAAAAAAGCCAACTGTGGAAGCTGTGACCAAGACTGTGGAAAAGATGATGGCTATGGCGGAGCAGAAGAGTGCAGATATCGATGTGCTTGAGGCGCAGCTCAAAAAGATGAATGTGTCTGCGGCAACATCTGCGATCAGCAATGGTGACATGTCCAGTGGGCCTCCTAGCACTCCCCCACGTACCCGACAGTCGATGAACGTGGCTACGCCCGGGAGTGCGGGCAGTATCTACCATACACCGGACTCCAAATTTGGTAGCAGCACCCGTTCAGCGCGCGGTTTCAGGGCAAGTCAGAATGGGGGGTTGACCATGATATCAGCAGAAGACAAGCAACGATGGCAGGCAAAGGCGCGCCGTCGCAAAGAAGTTGCGAGCATGTTGAAGGAAGTCCTGGAAGAGAAACAAAAGGGTATTGTAAAGGCGATCGAGAGATGAATCAACCAGCAAGGACTCTGTCCTGATACTTATGTGACATTAGAAGGCTGGGGGATCTGTCCTAGGGTTGTCTTACCGTCTTGGAAATGACACAGGGAGTGTTTCTTAGATTTTGTAGGAGATATGTAGCAGCGAAGGATTGAGAAACCCGTGCTGGCTGGTGCCCAAATCCTCAGCGAGGCAGCATTGGGCAGCACTTGGCAGCACCAATCCATACCACGTGACCTGATCACATGATCCGTGGCTTGGCACGCAGTCAAATTTCCCCTCCCCGATGCCGTGGTGCCTCCAAAATTCGTATTACTTTCCAAACTCGCTTGCCCCAAGACACGCCATCCATCGCATCGCCCCCATCGCCCTTGTCAAGCGTTCGACTTCTGCATCTTAAGGAGGTGTCGATCGTCCTTGGATCACTCTTGATCATTTCGACCTCAACCCTCGACCATCTCCTCTCGCCCTTAGGCTCTTCCTCTTCTTCCAATACACCTTTCCCCCATCTTTTCGCCTTTCTGCGCCGCGCTGCCTCCCCCGACCTGCTACAACTGAATTCTCCTACAGTCTCTACCTCCGCTGCCTTTTCAAGCTACTCCCTTTCGCGCTGCGCCGTCTGCCAAAGGCCTCTTTGCCCATCACCCCGACCCCCAAACCTGCGTCTCATTCTGTCTCGTCCTTCCTCCAACGATCTTTGGCGTTTGAGTTAAGTACAGATTCACCCTTTTCCTGCTAGATACGGGAAGGACACGGGGGATCAAGACCATCTTCAGAGGCGTTGCTTTACTCAAATCCACCTTCACCTACACCTTCTCATCACCATTACCATCACCGTCATTATCTTCATCCTCTACGACTCCTCCGTTGAACATCTCGCATCACCGCCCTCAGTTTCACCTCTTCAAGTCCTTTCTTGCACCTCATCGAGCCATTGCAGAGCACGCACCACATCTCTCAAGTTCACAACCAACCCCAGCACGAATCTGAAATCCTCCTCTTTCGCACGCACACTTTAATCCCTGGCGTTTCGCTCTCGCATCCGCAGTTCGATCCTCTTCCCCACATCAGCAAGTTTTCCTTCGACCGCCCCTTGGTGTACATAAAAAATATCTCAAAGAACAATAATAACAAGAATTTTGACCAAACACTCTCCCCCTGGGTAATCCCTCGAAATACGCGCCATGTCTGCCTCACCTACCTCCCACGCCATGTCCTCAGCGAAGCGGCCCTTGGAAGACCCCTCTTCCCCTTCTGCCCCGACTGACTTACCAGATGCGAAACGCCCGGCTCTAGACAAGGTGGTTAGAGAAGATGCAGCAGCTGAAGGATCTGCTACCGCTAGCAGCGGATCTGTCGAAGGCCCAAAATCGACTGAAAAGCATCCACTGCCGACACCTGTCACGAATGGAGCGACAGAGCCACATGCTGAAGGCGCGACAGCTGTGGGAACCAAGGGAGCACCAGTCGTTCCCTCGCCAGAGACACAGCCGCAGGCGTCTACTTCCCAGGCCGATCGAGCCACCTCTCAGCCTCCGTCGATGCCGCCGCAAGACGAGACAAACTGGATTCATATTCGTGCAGTCATTTCGAGTGCGGAAGCTGCAACCTGTATCGGCAAAGGTGGCGAGAATGTGACTCAAATTCGAAGACTCTCTGGGGCCAAGTGTACCGTGAGCGATTATTCGCGCGGCGCAGTCGAGCGCATCTTGACTGTTAGTGGTGCTCAAGATGCCGTCGCAAAGGCTTTCGGCCTTATTATTCGCACTCTCAACAACGAGCCTCTCGAAGCTGCATCAACTGCCCAATCCAAGACTTATCCACTACGACTCCTGATCCCGCATATTCTGATCGGCTCCATCATTGGAAAATCCGGTGTGCGCATTCGAGAAATCCAGGAAGCCTCGGGAGCTCGTCTCAATGCTTCGGATTCGTGCCTGCCACTTTCCACCGAGCGCTCTCTTGTTGTTCTGGGCGTTGCCGATGCGGTTCACATTGCCACGTACTATATTGCGGTTACATTGGTTGAGCAATTGACGGAACGTTTTGGTGGCCCTGCCGCATCCGCTTACGCCACCAGAAGTGGCGGCCCAGCAGGAGTTGTACCGGGTGGCATGCAGGTTGTGCCATACGTTCCTCAGCCAGCCGGCGGTCAATACGGCCACCCAGACATGTACAAGAGGCACAACACGCATCCACCGCAACGAATCCCTCCTCAATCTTTTGGCACGCCGCAGATGCATGGTACTCCTCAACAGTCATATCCTCAGTTTCCTCAGCCATACGCAGCGACGCCACGGACTCCAAGCTATGGAGTCGGCCCACAGCAAGCAGCGGCGTACGGCCAAATGCCACCTCAACCTGCTGCTCACGGGCAACCTGCCCAGCCAGCACACGCGATGCCAGGGCAGCCAATAACGCAGCAGATCTTCATTCCCAACGATATGGTTGGGGCAATCATAGGCAAAGGCGGTGCCAAAATCAATGAGATTCGGCATCTCAGTGGAAGTGTCATCAAGATCAATGAGCCACAGGACAACAGTAATGAAAGATTGGTCACCATCACCGGAACCCCAGAATGCAATCAAATGGCATTGTACATGCTTTATTCGAGACTGGGTAAGTTCTTGACCGCAACATTCAACCCTGGTTTGATATGCAAACTGACCGCATGAACAGAGAGCGAGAAACATCGGATCTAGATGGCACAAAGAACCTGCCGCCCGCTTGGTACAGTGACGGCTCGAATCTCTGATTCTATGTCGAAGTCGCCATTTCTTTCGGGCTCTTCGGCGTGATGAATATTGTGGCCGCGCTCCCAACTAGTATTTTTCCTTTGTGTACGTGGTCCGGGCAAAGCAGCACTGAAGGAGGCATTGCCCCATCTATGGTATTGCAAGGATCCGGGATAATCAGAGAAGTCGGACGAATTGGAAGGCGTCAATATTTTCATCGAAGTCGAGAACACATCTCCGAGGCATCGAAAGAGATGGCTATTGGGAAGTGACGGATGGCCAACTATCCGCGTTATGCCTGGCTTGATGAATGTGTATCATCAATAGACTGCAAAAGTTCGTTTCTGGGTGTTTTAGCATTACATCAATTAATGTCTTGTGGTGATGACTGCTTGAGCTCTTCCATTGCCACAGCTCTTCACTCTTTCGCTGCCAAGGGTTGAGAAATTGTGGGCGCATCCCACACCGTGATGCCGCCCTGTGGTGGTCACCCCGGGCTCCTAAGAGGCAGGGCGAGCCGGGTGAGCGATAAAGACCTGGCGTCTCGGCGCGGGCCCCGGAACGTTCGTTATATTTAACGATATCACCGCAGTCGCTGCCGCTTTAGAAGAATGCGTACTGTGGTACCACGGCCCACCGTACAAGATGCCCTCTGGTGCGAGCCAGCTTGTCTCAGTGCCTTAATCAAAAGGCACCGAGCGTCTACGAATTTACCATGTTGCGGAATCCTCGGCAGAGATAAGCGGAGAAAAGTGCGAGCGTCCTCGGGAGCAGTGACGGAGTAATTACTACGGCACTTGTGTCCATATCACCAATAACTGTGGGCATTGCCTCTATTCAACCTGTGTGATATAGAACGACCCCTGGCATCTCAAGCATATCGCCTTGACGGATGTCAAGGGCTCTTCAATGACTGTCCAGAAGACATGGCTTTTTCTGTTGCTTTGTAGGTATAAATGTCTGTCTAAAATTTGAACGTGTTGGCAATTGCACCGATGCCTTCCAAGTCGACCTTAACAACGTCCCCGTCAGCGATATACCCTTTTGGATTCATAAAATGTCCCTCCCCCGCCCCATTCACTCTGGTGATGATAGATATATTCTGGGGGTCTGGGATGGCTGTCTTGGTCGCGATGCAGGGCCCCATGGGTGTCCTGGGCCGGGTGGGGAAACAAATCGTGAAAGAGAGCCCAAGCGCCTTTACCTCCGTCGACTGACTGTGGTAGTTGAGCCCGATACAGAGGACCAACGGAGTGGTGGGAATAGGGCACAGCACCTTGGCTGGAGTGGGCTCGTTAGCTGAAAAGCGACGACACACAGGATAAAGGGGGCGCCTTCTTCCGCACAGTACTTACCTTGTCGACATGAGCCTTCGTGTCTGTTACTGTTAAACTTGTGTATGGATCTCCGGACAAGACTGAAACCTGAGATCCAACCCATTTGCTCGAAGGCAGGTTTCCTGGAACTTCGCCGTAACGCTCCTGGGCCCTTCTTGTCGGTAAATCGGAGGAATTTCGTCACTACCATGGGATCGAGAGAGCTCAGATGGTGGGAGGCGGAAGGATTATGTGAGTGGTTCGAATTCCGGGTGATGGAGTTGACACCGGCATATACTTGACGTTAGATATGTAGGTCTCGTTCAAGGTGGAAGCGAGCGACTGGCCGCTTAAAGCCGAGATTACTATATAGGAGGATCCGTGGAGGATGCAAAACACCGTTCACGGCTTTATCAGATTGAGCTTCTCCAGACAACATGCTGATCGGTGTCCCGGGAACGGCCTGCTCCCTATAGGGCCATTCTCTTTCTTCGCACCGACTTCCCACGGTCATATGTGCTCGGATATTGTGTCAGTGAGTCTTTCCAGCTGCCTCGCCACTCTACGACTATGGTGCTCTGCGAAGACGTACGAGGCAGCACTTTATTGATTTCTTTCAACAAGCAGACGAGGGCGCTGACACGATCCGTCCCGCCGTCAAAGACCGAGTCTGTGATCAGCAAGTTGAAGGTGTTGAGGTACCAGATCCGGGTCGAGAGGAACTTGGACGAGGGAACCATGAACCCAAAATGACCCAGTTCATGGACCTTGCTCGGGCCATGCTTGAATCGATGAAACTTGCCCAGTCGTTCTTTGTCTTGGCTTGTGTTGTATTGGCTTTTGGGGAGATGTCCACCCTCTGGATACTCTTGTTGCCCATGGACAAGCCTGATCGAGTGTCCATTCGGATCGTGCACTTCCACCACGAATCCACCACGGGGGCCCTCGGCCTTGCGCACAGGACTTGCACCGGGCAACAACTTCACCACTTTCTCAAGCTCCTGGTACGACTGCGCGACGAACGCACCGACTACGAATCGACGCTCGAGCGGCGACGGTGACGGCTCAGCGACATAGCGGTATGGGTTGTCGTCAAGGGGACGGGTCTGTCACTCAGGATTTTGTCGGGCACGAGCGGCGCTTCAGTCACAGCCAGGCAAATTAAATGTGCTCTACAAGGTCTCACCAGGCTCCCCTACATCACTCGTAGACGGCGACTGGTCCCCGTTGATGGCCCACTGGTTCCCATGGATTAAGGCTCCCTTGGGCAGATAGTATCCGTTATAATAGTCGTCTTGAGACAGGCGATGGGGCATATCTGTAATCAAGTGAGTGAGTGAGTGACCTTCCGCGGGAGGTGCGGGAATCAGCTGTTCGAGAACTGGTTCTTTACTTACTGCCGGGAATGACGGGACTCCATCACAACGTCTCCTTGATGGCAGCCCGAACGGTGGGTAAACGAGGAAGGTCTGTAAACTCGGGCACTCTGTCCGTCCCAACGACCTCGTCCAACTCTGCCTGGAGTCTTTGAAGCCACTCGGGATAAAGGACCATAGCGCGAATCCACGACTTCATGGCCCCTGACGTTGTTCCGGCGCCACCCCCGTACATTGTGTCAGTCACATAGACCATTCCACCAAAAGATAAGTCCCAGTGATCGCCTGCCTGGAGCCACCGCCAGGAGAAGGACGGTGGGGTTTTCAGGAACTCCATCGTGGTACTATTGCTGTGCCTCAAAGAGCAGTGCAAGAACCCAATGAACACGTCCATCGTGGCGAGTCAAGTACTTAAGACTCGGGGTTTGCCGTGGCCCACCGCAAAGAAATCTAGTCACTGAAATAGAGAACAGGAGGCCAGTTCCCGTGATTTGTATGTTCGCGCACTGGTGCACTGCTCGAGTCGCCTGTCACCATCGGTAGTGTATCTGCTTGTCATGTGATCAGTCGTAGGCCCTTCGTGCCATTGGATCCTCCCCCCAGAGGCGATACCCAACAAGCGCAGTCTCCGCGATAGCCCAGTAGCGAGCCAGCCGCCTCAAGGCAAGCCGCACAATGTCCAAGTCTCGTTCATGTGAGCGGCTCTCATTGGTCGGTCCCAAGAGATGCAGGCACCCGGGACCCGCGAAACCAAAAGCGACAAAGGGAATGGAAAAGATGACGAGGCACTGTCCAGTTCGAAGACTTCGGGCAACACCATGGCCAGACAATCTGCACCAAATTGAATGTTTCCCAACTCGTCGACCGTGACGGGAGAAGAAGGAGCATCCACGGCCTGTCGCAAGATGGTCGTTGCAGCCAGAAACCAAGCCCATGTGCTTTGCTTAGGCAGGTTGGACAGGTTTCTCCATGTTGCTTCACATTTCGCGTCGAGGTACGTGGATGCGCAGTGCTTGGCCTCCAACCAGTCTTCGTCCGCCATCGGAAGCAGAACGTTCGCGTGGCGCAAATCCAGCAAAAAGGGAGTCAAGGCCAAGGGGTTGATGAATGTGGACATGTTCAAAAAATCCATCGATCAAATCCAGCGCGACGGATGCACTGACTTGGACGTCGAATCTCAAGCGGGTCAAGTTGCGAGGAGATGCGAGGCAGATAAGATTGGCGTTTGGCAATGTCGGACCGGCATGACATGCTTCAGCATGCTTGGGGTCATTGTCCCACAGGCCATCATAATCTGTGGAGGTGAATTGTCCCAGGGAATCGGGATCAAATAGCGGCAAGGGGGGAAGCTCAGAAGCCAATTTGGGTCCGTCGAAGTTCGGAGGGCTAAACCCGGGATACTGACCGCTGACCAACTCTGGGAAATGTAGATTTCCATCCGGTATCGACACTGACGGGAGCGACTGAGACATTCCGGAACCCGTTGCGTATTGTGTGCAATAGTTGGTTGAAGGTGGGAGTGCATCGAGGCTGCCCGGGCCGATGGTGATAGTGGTTAAGCCTGGCACCTCCTGGGACTGGGAGGTAGACGTGCTGGCATCCCTGGGTTTGCGGCGGTGCGCCCTGCGAACCGGATAGACGCATGATTCCCCAACGCGCAGACACAACGAGCAGAACGGTCGCTTCATGTCGCATTTGGCTTTCTTCCGTCGACATTCCGTGCAAGCTCGTCGAGAGAGAACCGGCTGAGGCGAGCCGGTTGCTTGGTCGCCTGCGAGCGGTGGACTCAAGGCCGATGTGCTTTGTTCAGACGTGATGCCCTCAGTGCACCATCGAAGACACAGAAGGACTGGGTGTCAACTAGCAGCATCAGAGTAGTTAAGTGTAGGAGATGGCTGAGTTGACAAAGAAGGTAGATGGTTCAGGTCCAGACTGGACCCATGCAGCAAGGTTAGGATGGACAGAGGGCGATGGCAGCTTTCCCCTCAAAATCTCGATAGCCCAGTTGCAGATGTGCTCCCTTCTCCATGGCTCGAGCTCGCGTTGTGGGAGAATCATGCGGGTGAGCATACCCTACCCAGATGACGGCACGGACACACCTGGAAGGGCATTCAGGTGTGAGAGGTGTGCAGTATACGAGGTACGAGGAACTCAACTTGGCTGACTGCTCCATTTTCCTGCCGACAGAGTATTGTGGGGACAGGAGTTACGAGCGGGATGCCCGAGGATTTCCAACGCCGTAGGCACCTCGGATCTTGAGCGTGGCGAGCGAACAAGTTGCGCTTGGGTATAGGCCGGCAAGTGCCTGTAAACGCCGGTAAGTTGCGCCCAATTCCTTGGGCTAGTGAGGCTGACACTGGTTCCTATCTGCATCCCATACCATCCCTAGTATTTTTTGCATGCCGGCGGACCAAAAGAGACTCCCACTACCGATGACAGTGTTTCGCTCGGGTTATGAAGGATGCCTATCGGGGTTTCTTCGTAGACTCCAAAAACTCGTTGGTAAAGAGAGTGAAGGTGGGAGCAATGTGAGAGCGTGGTGGGAGGTGAGGTAAATGGCTATAGAAGCGGTGCGTCGAGCCGTGGTGCAGGTTTGATAATATTTTTGCTGCCAAGATGGCATCGTGGCTCCTCAAGGCTGACCTTAGTAGATTTCTTTATGACTTCGGACCATCTTCTAGACGTTATAATTGATTATTTGGCCGTGAGTCTTACTAGCGAAGACTGTCCCCGTTCACATTTAATCCCATGTCCAGTGGTTTAGTCGCTTGTGGCGAGCATCATCCCTGCAGTTCCTGAAGCGGAAACATGGCTGTCCATACGGGCGATGCTTTTCATCTGTCAGCAGAGGTCACTGACCATGATCCTTGAACAATGATTATGCATATCTCGAGCCTTGCGAGTCGCGATCATGAAAATCCTGAGAGTGAAGGTCCCGATTTGTGGGGAACTAGCCCTTCGACTCCGATTTAAGATGTCGTTAGGCATCTTCAGGCTCCTCGAGTCTTGTAGTTGCTGATTTCAGGCCTTGCCAGTCAATCGAGATACCGCGATCATTGTAAGCTGACCTGGCGAGCTGCAAACGACACCATGTGACCGAATTCTGTAGAAAGTAATGTGCGAAGAAACCTGCCCAAGGGAATGTGATGTCTATATAACGGCTGGGGATCATAGACTTGTACCTACTACCTAGGAACTATTCCAGCCCACCCAGAATCACTGCCATAACATCCACTCAACGAACCGTCCACCTAGTAGATTCCCAGCTACTTGCAGCCATGGGGCTCCGCATTTCCATCACCGTGGCTCTCGTGAGCATTACGCACCACATTCCCGCAGCCGTCGCCACAATCTCTCTCGGCCATGACCAAATGAACAACTACGCCTGGCTTACCGGCTCCCAGCCTTGCAATCCTGTCATTATTTCCACGCTCGGTTCGTCTGAATGCGACGTCGAATTCAATCTCGCCAGTTCTGGAGGCGACGTGTCCACGTATCGACTGGAGCACTGCGGCGAGGTCCTGTTTCAGCTGCAGCAGCACGCAGGAGGCGATGGGTGGGCTCTCATTGCGTCTTGCGATTCGCTTTCGGAGGATGATGGTGAGATGGATTGTACCCTTTCAACGGGTCAGGGATCTGTGGCGGAGGAGTGGAGATGTGGGTGAAGGGGTGTGACAAAGGGCGGCGGATGGGAGGGATGAAAAGGGATGGCGGCCTTGTCAGTTTTCACGACGTGGATGTAAAAAATTCTCGTACGATGAAGCCTCTCCAACATCACATTCAGTTTTGGTCACCATATTGAGTGCTAGGCCATTGCTCATTGGTATAGACTGGCCATTTTTTAGACTGTCTACTCTGGGCTCCACTGTTGACATCCTCTCCTCATTGCCCTCTTCTTAATCCGATTTGCCTAAAGGGAAGAGAATGGGCTCCTCCCTCTCACTCGTAGTTGTTGCAATATTGCTGACGACAACGGTGACTGGTGCTACCATCCTTGGACAGGAATAAACAGCAAATCACATCAGGATAAGACATGAATTCACTGCCATTTCTGAAGCAATGCCATTCACCGAAGAACGTGAGAACTTAAACTTACTACGTATCCAAGGAGAGAGAGGATTCGGAATGGGACTTTTTTGTCCGTCATGCTGGTCAAACATGAGAACTCCAAATGACAAAGAGATGGATTGGGAAATGTTTCCCCGACAGCTTTCCCGACAGCCAAGTGGAGGAAATCGCCCTCAGATTGATCATACTTGCTGTGAACTTTGTAATCCTATAGTTCTTGCCCCTCCTTTCTGTAACATTTTTGAGAAAGCGGCGAGCTGCCTTGGCCAGAGGCGGTTTTGGAGGTAGTATATCTAGCAACGCTACCGCAGCCTCTACAGATTGCTGAACAGCGAAACGGGAGGAGCACGCGGAAAATAACAACCAAATGTGAAAACAGCGAATTCACACAGCCGCCATTCCAGCGCTGGAAGCATTTACATGTTCAGCAGCTTGAAACCCTCTTAATTTTACTCAGCTAGTGACAATGTGGTGACAGCGTAGTTTAGTGAGTGTACTGGCAGGTTAAGATAGTGTATGTCTCGCAGGCACCATCTTAAAAATCTTTAAACTACCCTCGATCACAGCTCCTGGGTCAGCAGCTCAATCAATCATTCCTGTCGGCTTGGGAGCTGAGTGCTAGAAGCCTAGCAAACAGCAAAGTCACTCCAGAATTGTACCATTTCTCGGGGAGAATTAAGTCAACCAAAGGTTGATTCTAGCATTGGCAATGTCATTGCATGGAGCATAGTGAACAACCAAACTCTGATGGGTAAGCGTGATATCGTTCCTCGTTTGTACGGCGTCGACTAGATCGCAATAGCAATAGTGGAGGTTCTTGCCAGTGTTGTTAGGTAAAGATCTCCAGCAACGCAATCTCAAGCAGCTTGGGACACTGACACCACCGAAGCGAGGAAGACCCCTACGGCGCGGACCTCCCTCCCTCGCCCCCATGCTCACTGGCTTTGCCAAGCGAGAGGAAGACCGGATGGCTGCAATCGAAGCCTATACGGCCAAGACTCTAATGTGGCGAAATGCCACACAGAGGGCGGATGCCCAATTTAACGTGTTCGTAACCACTGGTTGTGAGCAACTGGGCACATGTGCCGGCTAGATGGTAATGCAAAGTCTTCAAGGGAAAAGCTACCCTCAAACCAGCAAAGGCTGGTGGGCCAAGAAGGCCAAGGAAGAGGTCACGAACGCCTTCGAAGGGACCGATCACTGTCACTCTGACCGAGAAATGGTGGTGATGAGGGCAAGGAATTGGAAGAAGAACTCAGCGACGACCAAAGACAACGAAGAGGAAGAAAATGTGAGTAAAATCTGGCTACCTTGACAGCTTGGTACATTTTTTCCCCCCTTTTCGCGTCAATGGATAAGTTATCTGTTGCTGCCACCATTATCTCCGACATTCTGCCTGGCTGGGTGCACCGCCTGGCCAGACATGCGCAAACTGTTCCGTTTGCAGAATTGCTGTTCCATTCTCCACGATCGCAAGTGCCAAGGATAGGCAGCAGGACGACGACGATCGATCACGGATCAGAAGGTGGCGTCTTCTGCGTTAGGAAGTGCTCCTGCACACATAGAAACCGCACAGATATACTCGTTCCAGTAGAGAAAGACAAGAGAGCATAAGTTTTGAAAGTGGGGGTGGGGTTGATAGGTGGGGCTTGAGTGGGATGGGAGGGCTCGTTGACTAGCCAAATCGGGAAGGTAGATGTAACAAGGCTGGCGCAAGGCTGGCTGGAGGAATTCTGCTGCCACTTCTGCCAGCGTTGGCTTGAATCAATCATGGGAGTGGAAAAGGAGGTCAGTGACTTGCCCACTGAGCTATAAAGATTCTTCTTAGTTTGCTGGCTTCATAGTTTGCAATTTCGAAACATCCTCCGTGCCTCTTCCACTTCAGTGCTGAGCTCCTATACGTGACCAAAGCTCGATCACATCCCTGAAAACTCCCTCCTTTCAGGGTTATTAAAACCTCCCCTAAATTCAACGGCAGGTTCTTCTCTCTGGGAGCTGCCAAAGCTCCTTCACACCTTGGACTGTGCTGTAGTGGTGCTCTCCACTTGCACAGCACCAACCTTGTCTTCCATGACTGCAGTCTCGACCGCAAGATCATTCTCGGTCAGTAAGACGACCTTGTCACCAAAGGCGGCAGCAATCTCTTCGAGAGTCTTCTTCTTTGTTTCTCTGGAGATGTCGGAGCATGGTCAGCAAAGGAACCTGGCGGATTGAGGACTGGAGGCCGAGCTGGGCGCTTGGATTGTCCTGTGAGCAGAGAGTGTGAATTCTTTGAAGACTTACGGGAAGTAGAAATATGCCACCATGAGGAAGAAACACGAGCATCCGACGAAGACGTAGTAATAGTTCTAGACCCGGTGAAAGCAGAAAATCAGTTCCGTGTCCAAAACAAAAGGGGTGGAGAAGACCAGAGAACCGATCCCCTGTGTCCTGACAGAATCGATTGATCACTCACCTCTTTGATATTGGCGAACGCCGATGGCCCGGCCTCAGTAACTGTACAAATATGAAGATAACGCGGTCAGCTCGTGCATCCAAATCATTCCATTTCCATATCAACTGATCGGGATCCACGGCGGCTGCGGAATGTGTCGAGCTTCCGACTCCAGGCGACCTATCCCTCCTGACCCCATCTCTCACTGCTTCTGAGGAGAAAGTGAAAGCATGACTTACTCCCGACATTGACGATGAAATGCGATGCGGCTGCTAATCCCATGACTTTGGACCGCAAATTGATGGGGAGTACCTCTGAACCGTCTTTTCTGGTCAGTTTACATTCAGATAGATAAGGGTAAGCTACCACTGACACAACCATGTCGTTGAATTGAGAAGTCCGTCTGGGAGTGTTATAAACGTTAGCAAGAGGACGAAGTTGCAAGAAGTGGAAGATAGGGAGAGGGAGGTGGAAAAGGAGTTTGGGGGATGAGGGGCCCCGAAGGGACTCACAATAGGTCACAACAAACAAATAGATTCCCAGCACAGCGAAACCCTTGCCGACTTTGTTGTTTGTGTTTTGGAACTCGCGCTGCATGACGGCGGCGTATATCTCGATCACTATGATCCCGGAGAGGCCGGCGAGGATCATCCTGTGTGAAGAAAATCTTAGTAGAGGAAATTGGAGAAATGGGAAAGGCAAGGAGAATTTGGAAAGGATCATGAGTTAAGAATCATGAATAAGAGCAGGTAAAAGAGCAAAGGGATAATAGGAAGGCCTAGAGAAAGACATGAATGCTTGGATAAGTGGCAGGCAGGGCAGGGCAGGTTGTGGACCTTACTTTCGACGACCCCATTGATCAAGAACGTATCTCGTAGTAATCACATTCGAAGTGAACGCGAGAGTGCCATATATGGAGGCCAGGGCCAGGATCATGTGGCTGTTAATTCCGAGGGACTTGAACAGGATTGCTGGTGAGAAGTTGGAGTGTGAGCTGACTACGTTGTCGTGACAATCTTCAACTCTTCTCGGACAAAGAGAAGCGGGACGGGAAGCAGAAAGCAGGCGTGATCTTACTTTGGTAGTACTATATGTGGGTAAGAGAGTTAGCTTGAAGATGTCTCACACTTTTGGTGTGCTGAGGGTAAGGGGAAGAAATACCTGAATGACATTGACCCCTGTGAGACTTGTCATGGTTTGTACGGCAATAGAACTGCATCAAGCTGATCAGCCTCATTCACGCTGGGTTTCCGCGGGACCCAGAGAAGAGAAATAAATACATACGCAAGTGCTCTGTGCCTGAACAAGCGGAACACCTCCCGCAGACTTTTAATCTCTCTCTGCTGTTCAAACTCGATCTGCCGCCTCATGAGCACAAACTCCTCATGTACTTCATGGCTCGCAAGGTCTTTCCTAATCCTCATAAACTCGCGGCGTGCTTCGTCTATCTTACCGCTCCGGATCAGTTGACGAGGAGAATTCGGCATAAATGTCGCTAGGCCTATGAATAGTAAAATGCCGAACGGTATCTGAATTCCGAGAGGAAGGCGCCACTGGACGGCACCGTATGGTGCGTAGCTGCAGGCGAATCCGACCCAGTTCGAGGCCATGGTGCCCAAGGATATTCCGCAGCCTGAGATGCCACCGATAAGGCCACGGACGTCCGGGGCGGCGATTTCAGAGAGATAGATAGGTACGGTTGCGACCATCCCACTTCAGAACTGATCAGGTTTTGAGATATAGTCGCAGATGCTTGAAGATACTTACCCCACCGCAAACCCCGCGAGCGCGCGGCCTGCAAGGAACATGCCAATGTTGATAGAAGCAGTCTGAATAACAACGCCGATGGTAACAATCACGCACATCAACTGCAAGAAGCGAATTCGACCGAGTGCGTCGCCGATGAGTGTTTGGAATAAAGCTCCACCTGCCTCGCCAGCGATATATACAGAAACAACCTGTTATGATTTAGGAGATTGGAGAACGCAGGAAGGCCTTTGGAAGCGCAACATACGGCACCGGTCAAACCCTTTGATGGCTCACTCATGTAGTCGATCCAGCTTTGGTGTGCAATTGCTATAGCCTTGCATCAGTATCTCATTGCAATACCGCATCAAGTAGACTCACTCGTTGTAGCAATGCCAGTATCGAATCCCTATTTACGCTTCCAGTCAGCCTTGATCGATCACAAGCGGGGCAGGAAGGGAAACGTACAAACACAAACGTGCCAATGGCAGCAAAGGCCGAAATCCCAAGCGTATACCACAGTGTCCCCGTCATCTTGAGCCACGAGAAAGATTTCGATTAACTGAATGGCGATATTCCAAGGGAATGAGTAGACCAAGAGTGAAGACCACGCAGACGGTAGCGAGCGAAGGGTCGAGAGAAAAGGTCACGACAAAATAGAAATGATCAGCATCCCCATGTCTGAAGTGTTCATTTGCCGTCGGCATCTACACCGACGGAATGGTTTATCATTCCCCTCCCATTTGCCGAATGTTGTGGAGGAAAGACAACCCATCCATCAGACTCGGTTGAACGAGAAGCGAGGCCAAGAGACGATTGGCACGCTCCGAAGGTGTAAAAAAGGGTCTTTTCCCGCCTAAATATGAAGCAGCAAGAGTCAACTGGAGGAAAGCCTCCAGCTGGCGAGGCGCCACAAAGACACAAAGAGCTGCTGCAGAGGGCTAGAAACGGACGGCGTCTTGACCGGGCTTTCTCCGTTGTGCGACTGCAGAGAGAGTCATGTCCCTGGCAGACAATCTCTAGCAGGACTTACCATTGGCTACCATGAAACTGGGCTTGACTGGGGAAGTCCTGGAGTTTGTGGGGTGGCGGACATGTGGCTTATCACAAGTCGCGATGGGACGGACAGACAAGTAGAAAAATGGGGGTTTTGGTGAACAACAAAAGACCTAGGACCGTTGGAAGCCGACGAGGCGGAAAATCACCGCTTTCTCGGTGCAATGACGGAGCGACGAGGCGGCCAACAAACTCTCCCTCGGTAGGGTCAACCGGACGGACCAGTCAGCCTCGTTGATCATGTACCAGCACTTGAAATCAAATATCCGACACTCGTATCCAGACATATTCGTCGTAATCTTAATGTTCATCCCTTTCTTTTCCTTATCCGTGTTGAACCCGCTGGACCTTTTGTCTAACCCAGATTGTTGAAATGCTCTGGTGACAACAAAATGCTCCCATCAGCCGCCAAAATATGTGTATCAAATGCTGGTCAAGGAAAGGAACCCTTCACGCCCGCACACAAAGGCAAGAATTTCTCAGGGCTCGCCCCAAATCTCATCTGCAATCTGCCTGATCAACTTCAGCTTCTTCTCTTGGTCATCCTGGCTCAGCGGATAGCCGCTCTCATGGGTGCTGAACCCGCATTGCGGAGACACTCCAATTCTCTTGAGTGCCTCTTCCCTTGACTGATTCGACCCCTCGGCGACAAAGTCTGCCGCCTTGTAGATCCGCTGCTTCATTTCCTCTTTGTCTTCTAATTGCCTCAACTTCGTACTGATGCAGCCGATGATCACGTTCTTGTTCTTCGGCAAGTACCGCAAGGGTTCGAATCCGCCAGCACGTTCAGTGTCATATTCCAAGTAGAAGGTGTTGACATTGAGGTTTTGAAACAATTTGCTAGCGATGATGTCGTATGCTCCCTCTGCAAAATGTCGCCCACCGATGAAGTTCCCTCGGCACAAATGAACACCCGTGTGCATGTCAGGAGGGCATTTGGATATCGAGTCATTGTAGAGGTTGATGTAGGCGTCAAGAAGGTCGTCGACAGAGCCAATATTGTCGGGGTCTTGAGCCCAGCCGTCTCTGAATTGTTTAGAGCAGAAATCTTTATATGGAGGCTATGATCAGCGTCTATGTGGATAAGCGCGACAGACACGGAAGACACGTACATGCCAGATTCGGGTCGTCAAATTGCACATTCCTCAGACCGGCTTCGTAGAGAACCTCGAGTTCTCTCGAATACGCTCTGGCGACATCCGTAAAGTACTCGGCATCGTTCGCGTATGCTTCAGGCGTATATGCTCGGCCTTGTTTGTACCTCATGTGGAACCACTTCAAGAACGGGATCATCAGTTCACCAGAACCTTTCGACCAAGCGACGACTCCATGTACATGCTCAAAAGACTTACGGAGGGCGTAATCATAGTGAGCTTGATATTACCCCAGTCCTCCTTTGGAACAACGGCCTGGACTAAGCGTAGCTCGTGGAGATTCGACTGTGTGCCCGCATGTTTGATCTTGGCACCAGCAATCACACTGTCCCCAGGCATGACCTTTCGGTCCTTTTCGATCAAAGACACCACATCGGGATGATACAGGCGAAACATACTCGCTTCCGCATCCTGCAGGCGTTTAGTGCCCTCCAATTCGTCCCAAAACAATCCCCAAAAGCGAGTACGGTTGTATTCTCCCGACGTGACGGCTTTGAAGCCTAACGAGAGTTGCGTCTTGACGATCTGACCAACGGACTCCTTTTCGACCGCAGGAAGGCCTGCTTCCTCTGGGGAGATGTTTTTGTCTCGGATGGCGGCCCGGACATCGAGGAGTTTTTGAGGGCGAAGGAGTGATCCCATGTGCTCTGCCCGGAAAGGAGGCGCCCGATGTAATTTGGAGTCAGCCATACTTGTCGCGGAGGGGACGTATTACTTGAGTCTTGGACGAGAGACAAAATAATACAGAAATGAAAGTCTATGGTAAGCGCTGGTGGCGTCAGAGCAGAGTGTGAATCCTTCATAGGAGCCAAGCGCCCCGCCATTGCAGAGAATTTCCCCCGCAATTTCAAGCCCCACCTAAAAATTGTCTACATGGGAGAAGGGAAAGGCGCGCAGGGTGCAAGCCCCTGAATGCACGACGCGTGAAAAGGAAGCATTCTTAGAGAAGGAGTAGACTGAAGATGCCCTGTGTAAACTCACAAAGCTCCTGAAGAGGCAGTCGATCCATTTGTGCGTAACATGGTCGCAAAGTCCCTCGAGAAGGGAGACGAGTTCAAAACTCGCCGCTGTCACTCTGGCTGATGAGGAATATAAAAGGGGACTGGCAGTGGCTACACTAAACATCGCCGTTTAAAAGTTCCCAAAGCCCCTCTGACTGCCTATCATGTGCAGCAAATTGGGAAATATCCGGATGCAGGGTGAGGACAACCAGCCAAAAAAGATGAATGGCTGGAATGGTGTTAAGCCGCCTCAAGAGACGACCAGATCAAATATGGCAGGTGCGAAACTTGAAGGTGATGAATACCATGCACTGACTACCTCGTACCGAGTACTCCAACCCAGCCGTAATGAAGACGGCAAAACTCAGGGCTGGGCAACTAACCCATGTGACCAGTCTGAGGAGCGAACACCTGTTGCCAACACTGCATTTTTAGTCTACCTGATACTTAGGATATGAGTGAGATTAGAGCTGTGCCTTCGTCGGCGGAGAGATGCTCATCTGTCTTGCACCATTTAGGTGATGGTTGTTATTAACATTCGTCGCACCGAACTTGTAAACTGCCCTTTTAATAGTCTATACGTGAACAACCCAATATGCATCGTAGCCACACTGCATTCTGAGCCACCAGTTCACCCACACCTTGCCCACTTGCCCACCCCTGAGGCTCGTACGAATAGAGTTGAATATCCTGTCGATGACATAGTTCTGGCGGCCTTGGGCGTACACACTTCACCCCCAAGAAGATCCCTGTCCCATTCGGAACAAGATGGGGGATGTGCAAATTTCGCTTAAGCACTGGGATATGGATATCGAACCCTGTGCCTCGCCATTCCGTACAACAAAGAAACATCCCAAATCTTCAGCTCGAAAAGTAGAGTCGCTCATGCTAATTAACAGCGCCTATTGTCTGTCTTTCTTCCCAAACTCCTTTATCCGCCCAGGCGCATGGTCCCAAGTGGTCAAGAGCTCGTGCTAGGAGTTGCCGCTGGACGCCTTGGATGGCACGAGAATGAGGGTCGCTTTTTAGGTTCGCGACCAACACAAAAGATAGAGCCTTGAAACACCTGGTGAGCGAAAATCTCCTCCATCCTTCATCAAAACATCAAACCGCTTTTTGGCGATGATAGCACTTAGCCGCATCCTACTCCGTGTTGAGCCCCCCAAGGCACCGATCGAGGCGCCAAGTACCGAGTGGTTTGTTCACCGGATGTCCAATAGCTTTGCCTGGGACACAAGTCCAGCTCTCGACGGTAGGTTTTACCTTTGTTCGTAACTTGGCCTTGTGGGCACCCAAGGCGACTCACATCGGCCCTCTAACTTTTCGGGGCTCTTCCCAAATCTTTATGGCCGTCAGGGGGCGCTTCAAAGATCTCCTGTCTGATGCAATCACGGACCAGCTTTCAGCCGCTTGCCACTTTAACTACGTAGTTTGTACTCGGTAGCCTCTGGGTTGTTCATCCCTTCTCCGTCACCTTTGTCAATATATTATTCGCCATGGATGGATTACAAGTCGCCAATGCCTCGCAAGAGAAGCAAGCTGTGATCGTACGCCAGGGCCAGGCAGACAAATATACAAACTCGCAGGCATACACATACCCTGGGGCTGTTAGCGATCAGCTGGGAGGATCAGACTACCAAGCCTCCCCTCCGACGCCTTACAATCCGCCACTGGCCCGCGCCCCATCACGCTTACCATGCGGACTTTCAGTCTTAGCATATACGATTCTCGTCGCTGCCGTGACTCTGGCGATATGTGCCGCCGGGTTTGGAGGTGGGATTGGCGCGATCGCCGCAAGCAAAGACAAAACCTGCTCGTATGCTTCAGCCCTGTTGTCCCCCAAGCCGAGATGGGTTCAAAACTGACAAAGAATCAGAACAAACAACAATGACTCTCCGATCGGAGCGCAATCGCAAGCAACAACAACGATAACTAGAACGACGGGGATTACGGCTACCGCCACCAGCTCCACAGCCACATCTTCGCCCATAAATGGCCTCGTCAATGACTATACCCCTCTTCCCCCATCTACCGTCAACACCACTTCTCTCAACTGCACAACGGGAACGTCAGTTTACTCCGCCTCCGGCTCCCAGTTCCAACTGACCTGCGACAAAAACTACCCCGGTAACGACATCGTCTCCATCATCACCTACACATTAGATGTGTGCGTCGAAGCCTGTGCGAATATGAACGTTCTACAAGCCCAGACGGTATGTCACGGGGTCATGTACAACGCCAACTTAGCAATGATGGTGCAGAACGGAAATGGCAATTGTTGGTTGAAGACCGCGATGCAGAATCCCGTTGATGATGATTTCCCGCCTAGTGTGGGCGCAGCTCTGATTTCAAGTCCATGATGGGAATAGTGTGAGGTCTACGAGGTATGGGTGCTGCATTTACCCGACGGTTGATTTTGTTGCTTTGAAACTTGGGTGGAATTATCAGAGACTGGGGATCAGTGCAGCACAGAAGAAATCACGCACGAGAGGATGAACTGTGGAAATGAAACAGCAACGACAATCACGACGACTGCAGGTGCCATGAAGCGAGGAATGGGGCGGGTTCTATTTATCCCGGGTTATGCCCAGCACCTGATTTTGAAGAAGTGGCCAGCGATGAGGCATATAGACATGGTCTCGTTTGCCCCCGAACATTCTGTCAATGTACAAATACACCAGGACTTGTACACTGACTTGCAAGCCTCGCAGCGTTGGGTCATCCGAGCAAGTTGAACCGCAGATCCACTCGCCCAGGGGATCAATTCACATTTCACTCCCGACCTTTCTTTCCCATTCTCGCTCTTCTCGTCGAGTCCACGACTGCTATTTTTGAAGTTCGTGCCAAGGGCAGTCTACCCTATTATGGAATACAGGATCTCCTCAGGTGACAGCCTGCATACCGTCTTGGTTGGCCAGACCAATAACAGATCGATTGGCACGGCCCGCGCCCACGCTGATGCCTTTTAAAGACGCTCATGCCACACTTGCACGACCTAAAGGAGATGCGGCTGTCCAAATACGAGGTTTTCTCCCTTCTGCAATCTGTTGCCACCCTGTGAAGCTCAGAGAAGCCTGGAGAGAGGGCAAAATGTGGCAAGCCCACGAAATCTCATCCTGTCATCGCATATGTGAAGGAGTGTCAGGAGGCTTGTCTACAAGTAGCGCTCACAGAACCAGGACGAAGTGGAATGATGAAATTCAGCTCCTTTTAAGCTCGATATCTCTTAACTTAACTTTGACCTCAGCTCAGGGCCTGCACCCTAGTCTCCCGTCCTCTCATGTTTAGTGGAACTACAGTGCGGGTCGTCTCGGTGTCCAATCTCTTGATCATGGATAAATTGGCCATCCTATTGCTCTATCTCCTACTCTACATACAATTCACTTTGATTCACGCTTCCGGGGAATGGCACAAGGTTCGAACCTGGTCCTTTTCCGAAACAAGCTTTCAAACTCTTTTGCTCACTCAATGTATAGGAAGGTGTCTTCCGCCGAGACCTGAACTGGACAACGCAAGCCTTCCAAAGGCACTGCAACAACATCGACTACGGCGCCGGTCTCGACTTTTCCGAATGCTGCCGCATCCAAAGTGGTCCAAACTGGCAGTCCTGCAACAACGTCGGAGCTGCCACCTTCACTGACTCCAAAATTCTCTGCTACAGTGTCGTCGACGGGCACGACTGCTGCGCCGACAGCAGCGTGTGCGACACTGGCCTCGCCTGTTCGGGCGGAACGTGCAGCCAGACTTCGGATTCGGTCACTGTCTGCGAGGACGGATGTGTTTCTTATCTTGGGAGAGGATGTAGTGGTGGGACTTGTGCCCTCGCGTCCGACGCAACAGAAAGTGCGCCCACTGTTGCGACAGCTACGGGTAGCTTTAGTCTCGGTACGAACATTGAAACGGCGACTAACTCCGCGGGTGCACCGACGTCGAGCCCGACAGGCGCCCGTCATAAAGACGGTCTCACGACGGGAGCGGAAGTCGCTACAATTGTTGCCTGTGTGTTGGGTGTTCCCACATTTATAGGCGCTTGCTATGCATTTTGGCGTTGGCACCACCGTTGACTTCGGCTTCGGCCTTCCACTCCCACAAGACACGGATATTTATTGTAGAAGCAATAGTATATCGATGACGGCGAACATATCAAATTTACACTTGCAATCGGTTGCTTCCTTGGTGCTCACGTATATGCCTGTGAGCATTTCGACGTCAAGTCAAATCCTGAAAGCCGTGCCCATGGACATCCAGGATTTGGATACTAGTTTCTCACAAAGTGAGGAAGTAGGAAGGCCCATTGTGCTTGAATAAGGCTAAATTATTGCAATTAAGGCTTGTGGTGGCCCGGGCAATTCATCAGCTGTTACTCATGCGTCTTGAGTGATAAACTCGAAGGGGGTTTCTCGAAGTCAATACCTGCGGGGAATATGAATTATTTTAGTGGGCTTTGAGGCCCTAGATTTCCATAAATTATCGTAGATATTCAAATTCTACGTTCTCCAAGAGCATGGTACGAAGTCATCTACAACAAGAACGCGTAATTCTTTTTCGAGAAAGTAGGCTTTCAGACAATGCATTAGTCGAGGGATAAATAAAATCTCCACATGCCCTGAGCGCACAGTCCGAAGTTAACTTCTACATGAAGATGTTTTCTTTTTCCGAGAAGGTAGTGTCTCCGGCCATAGGTCAGGATTCTCCTACAGCCTTGACATGCTCAAAAAGCACAGTTCGGAACAGATTCCCGCAAAAGTACATGCATTATTTTTCCGAGAAAGATGCCTCTCGGGTCTTAGGTCCATAGACAAATTACGCATCAACATCCACCCCGCGGCATTTTCCAATTTTCAACAGCCACCTCCATTTATGACTTCTTCCACCACCGCTTTTCGGGGGCGAGGTACGGAAAAGCTCCCTTCCTCTTGTATATACATACTATATACCTCGCAAGCATCTTCAAAAGCAAAACAGACAGTCCTACCCTTATACACAGGATTGTTCCTTGTACATCCAGACACAGTTTCTCACCTCCCAGGAAGCCACATTGAACGGAAGTTCACCTGTGCGTACTCCGCAGTTCGGGTATAAAGCGAGCTTTAGGGGAACGATCTCGCACTTATCATTCTCATACACCAACCAACGCACGTATCTTGCTCTTTCATCAAATAGCGAAGTCAACTTTGATCCGTACTTTCTAAAGTAATTGAGGATAATTCGCGAACCATCGACCGCCAAAGCTCGCCTCATTTCTGGTGTGAGCTGAGCATCCGGCAGTGTGGGTTCACGATCTTTCACCCTTTGATCTTGTAGCCCTACCTCGTACATGGTGTGTCGAAACCGATAGACTGTCACCCGCGCCAATGGGATGGGACGAAAAACATACCCCTGAGCGCCAAGCCTTGCTTGAGACTCTTGATGTTCCACCATCCCCCGCATCTTCTGCCGTCGCCCACACTCTCGGTTGCCCAGCCTTTGGCGTCGTTTCAGCATCGACAAGTTGAGCAGGGTACGAAGTAAGGGATGAGTAAGGGATATACATACACTCCGTACCAAGAGCTTCCAAGCGTATCTCTAAACACTTCTTGGGTGTCTTGCGCCCACGAAAAGGGTGAATGACTTTCGCCAACACTTGGCTTGCTCTCACTGCTGCATTTTTACTGGCTCTGGACCGTGGCGATCGTCGAGGCCGAAGCATGGTATGTTGCAGACTCTGCTCGCTGCCGGTTTTTGGCTGCCGCCATCAAAGGGCTGGCACGGCTGGCGCTTTTGTTTTGGTCAAGAATAGGAGGGTATTTAGGACTGTCTTCCCCTCTAAGGTCTGTATTTGCCTTGTGTTTCGCCCGTTCTTGAAATCACACCACATTTGTCCCAATTCCGTGTGTAGCCAGTTTGCCTTGCATTACGTCTCTGGTCGCGAACATGGCATCTGGACCCTACGAAATCAGAGGCCCTATCCCTATCCAACGCTCTCGCTCAAATTACTACAAACCACCCGCCTCAACAGGTGTACCACTGGCCCAGTCGTACGAACAGAAGCTTTACATGGACGACAGCACCAACTTTATGCCTGCTGTACCCAATGTGCCTCCACCATCGTTCCAAGACGCAACAATGGTGTCGATTTCGGCCGACATGTTCGACCGGATGTTCTTGAAGGCACAGAGTCAAGAGCCTCCCGCCGCGAAGAGCGCACAGCAAAAATTCGCCAACCCCACGCCATTGTCGGTTGTCGGATTCCTGCTGTGTTTGAGCCCGCTGAGCTGTGATTTGATGGGCTGGCGAGGTGCGGGTGGAAATGGAGCTGCTTCGGTGTATGTGCTAGTCCCACCCTACTACCAAGACAAAACTCTGACATTTCTGTTATAGTGGAGCGTATTTCTTCATCGGCGGCGTTCTCATGCTCCTCGGTGGTTTCCTCGAATGGGTCGCCGGCAACACATTCCCCTTCGTCGTGTTCGCGTCCTTCGGCGGCTTCTGGTTCTCCTACGGCGCCACCCTCCTTCCATTCTTCAACGCCTTTGGCGCATACTCGCCGGACCCGACGGACATCACTGCCGGCCTCGCGACCAAAGGCTTCAATGCCTCGTTTGGGTTCTTCATGATCTTCATGGCGGTCCTGTGTCTCATTTACCTGGTCTGTGCCCTGCGGACGAATCTGGTCTTTGTCATCATCTTTGCGGGATTGTTCACGGGATTCATACTGCTGACGGCCACTTTCTGGCTGCTGGCGGACGGAGGTCTTGGGGCCGATAAGACCTTGTATGTTGGCGGCGCAAGCTTTGCAGTGAGCTGTATGGCGGGCTGGTACCTCTTGCTGGCATTGCTCCTGGCTTCTGTGGACTTCCCTGTCGTCCTACCGCTGGTAGATCTGAGCGGATGGATCCAGGGGGCCACCTAACGTCGTTCCACTCCTTGACCGCCCGTCCTGGCCGAGGGTCCTTCCGAGTAATTCGCTGTACGAATAGCAGTTTCTTTTTAAGTTCACAAATTATTAAAAGCTTCCTTATATCTCGGTTGATGAGCGAGAAAGAATTGCGGACGCAAATTTTCGATGATTTCCAACGTTTGCCAATCGTTGTCTGCATGACTGCCGTTGGGTAGCGGAGCGCAGCTTGGAGCACAGATATGCTTTGCAAGATGCGACCCTCAGGCATGCATGCTTCATTTCTCAGGACCTCTTGGCCTATTGGCGGGATTCTCGAGGCTGAGATACAAGCAAGTCATCCTTCTATCAGTCGTAAACTACGTTTATATACCAGACGTCTGATGCCGGACAGATCAGGATATACGCACACCGCATTGTGTTATAAAATGAGCCACCAGGCGCGGCAGCTCAAATATCCCCAAGCTGTGTGATAACAGCCAAGAGTGCGAAGATCACTGTGGGCACCAAGTTAGTTCCCTGCGGGGCAGCACAGGCTGGAAGAGAATCACTCACGCGCCGATGCTGTGATGATATAAGTGGCGATCACCCACGCGGCCTCTGCGACTGCAACGTCGTCGACCTCTCCGTGGTCCGAATACATGTACCAGAAACCCACGGCCAGGCTCAGCAGAATGGGCACAACACCCCAGAACACGACCTTGAGGACGGACCACCGAAGTCGCAGTTTCAGAGCCAAGGTGCCCATTTCTGGGTTCTTCGAGCTGTTGTTAAAATGCCGGTGGATCCACAACAGCCAGCGACCCTCGTAGTCGAGGCTGTGGGTGTTGTAACTTCGCCAGAGTTCTGAGAGCGCGCTCTCTGTTTCCGCATCCAGTTCCACTTCTCGGTGGTAGCCTTTACTGGGATCGCACTGATAAATACCGAAGCCGCAGACTTCTTTCAGAGACAACGCCCTTCGAACTGGATTTCGCAGGTATCTGTGGGCTTTGCGTATCTGCTGGAACAGTCCATCAATACTTACAACTCGTCGTAGAGTCTCCTTTGGCGCGATCTGGTCGCCCATGATGCCGACGACCACATAATAGTAGTCGAGGTGCCACGGGTGTGCAATGTGGGGAATTGTCTGTTTGTGTGCTTTTGTGACCTTCTGGCCTTCTACTGCCGTGGTACTACTGTTCTCTGGAGTGGAAGCGTCTTGCCTCTCTTCATCTGCTGAATCTGCCTGCTCTCTCTTGGACAGGCCAAATCTTCGCCGTACCAATGGTAGCTTGTCACGTACCCAATTCGTCTCCGAGTCTCCCCAACCCTGATCGACGGTTTCAATCAGCAATCCATCTACTGCGTACACCGTCGGGAATTTCTACTCACCAGACGAACGTTTTTCATGGCGGTATCGACGCCGCTTTCCGAAGTTTTGTACGTGACATCCGTCGACAGACTGAACCCGAAAAATCGAAACGTCGTTCGGTAAGAGTAGGACCGACGCATAGATCTTGCACAGTCGGGGACGTCTTTCTCCTCGTTTCGGCCCCAAGACAACCACCAAAGAGCTGTTGAGCTGAACCCGTCGAATTTGACCTTGGGCGGTCTCATCACTACCGGTGGCGGCTCCAGGTAGATTGATTTTGATGACTTCGAAACTTGCGGGCTGAGTTGGCTGTCTGAGGGTTCCGACATTCTCTTGATGCGCTGGCTAGGACGCGCTTCTGCGAAGTCATTTTCAGACGGATCATCTGTTGTTGGGGCAAAGTGAAGAGTAGCAGCAGCAGGAGCGGCGGCTTCGGGCTGTCCGTCTTGCTGATTGTTCAAAATGCCAGGAGAACCCTCCATATTGTCGGCCATTTTCTGTAGTTCTTTCCAATGCTGTATCCTTGAGCTCAATTAAGACACTTCCCCGTGAGCAACTTCCCGCGTCACCCGTGCTCGCGGGGCTCAGTTGTCATAGATCTTCGGATGTGAAGCCCATATCAGCCGTACTCAGGGCTCAGGTATCTAATTGACTTGTCATGGCGATACTGATGTCGTCTAGTAACTGGCGCAGGGAAATGTTTATCATTAAGGAGGTGAGCGGGAGGCCTGAATGAGTAACAGTGCCTTAGGGTGTTACTAAGCGGGTTTCAAGTAGAGAGCCGATCATATGACAAGGCTCTTTGTATGCTCTACTAAAGGCGCCAGCACACCCGCTACCTACCTATCGAGTAGCTCGCCAGTGAATAAAGGGGTTGCCAGCGCGTTTCCGAGGGATACAAATAGTCCGCATGGCCGCTCCCCCTCTTGGCAATCACATCGCCCATCCGAACCGCACTGCCTTAAATTCTTTGATCCTTTGCCAGTCCGTATATCTTCGGGAATCATTACGAGGCCTCAACCTGGATCACAGCAAAGAATTTCCTGTTCCACCTCAGTATGTGGTCCAGCATGCCACGTTATGTCCCGAGCCTTCACATACACACCGGGAGTGTCGAGGAAGAGCGAAAAAGGCAACCATGGCGGCGACAGAGCCTCATCTGCCTTGGCAGCAGAGCGAGATTAATACATAAAAAACAGGGGCAACCATCCGACTGAGTATGGCTAGGACGGATGCCATTCAATCCGAGGAAACTGGTCTCGGAAGCGACAATAGTGCTCTTGATTTGGTCTCATATCTATCCTCGTGTCTCTCCGGGCGCGACTGTGAGGGAATCATCCGGTATCCGAGTTACAAATTACATGCCTCCATGTTGTATGTTGCTTACATCCGCCAAAGACCCTACCACTTCTTGCGATGGCATACTTGAGATTTACTGGGTCACCAGATCTTATTCATTGAGAGAGGGAATGCTTTTTACGTGGATTCTCCCAAGATTGTCATGTCCACGTATTAATATCGCTCACTGCCTACTGTACTTGTAGCCCTGTCCTCGCTGAGATGTACAGACGAACTAATTAGTCTTAATTTCAGGCAACTCTATCCGCATCCTCAGACCTAACTGGGAAATTCTTCGGAAAAGATCGCCTGTGCTCTGATAACTCAATTTTTGTCGGTAGAGCCAGAATTTGAAGCCATCTCCTGTGTCTGGGTTAATAGTTCGGAGGGCGAATACATCAGTTGTGATGGTGGCTCAATCCGGGTCGGAAGATCAATTCTGACGGAGCTTCAAACATTTTGCTACCAAGACCACCCTCGGCTTCCTCTCGGCGAATGCTCCATGCATCAACCAAGCAGTTGATGGTTCAGAAAAAGACAAGCAAATCAAGTTGATGGGACACATATATTCTCAAGCGTCGCATGTCCTGGTTTTATCTCAGAGTAGGCAATGACGCACAAGTGTCGCAGGCGTTCCATCTGCTCCGGTGTCTCGGCTCTCCCGCGTTCGCAGAATAGACAGTCCTCGAGCGCAACACTCAAGCAAACAGTATCCCACACCATTCATGGAATGCGCTAGGAGACCCCCTTCGTCTGCCTTGGTTTCAGCGTGTCTGGTCCATACAGGAAGCTGCAAAAGACAACCGTGTCTCATTTTTGTCGGCACTGGCTCTCAGAATTGGGAAACCATTCGTGCGGGTGCGGAAGTAATAATCCTCAACTTTTCCCCTTTTGGCATGCTCGAACCGCAGACAGCAGCAGGTATCGAAGCAGACGACTCCGTGGACGCAAAAGAGGTTTATCAAAATATTGCGGTATTATTTCTCACTAAACATAGAAACTTGCGTGTTCTTTCCTATGTATCTCTCCCGGTCCACACACCGCGGGTGGATACTCCAAGCTGGGTTCCCAATTGGGATTTCGTAGACTGCCCTCCTTTCACGCAATATCATCAACAGTACAACGCATCATTGAAAAGCGTGGTCAACATTCGTCTTGATGGTCTAGTCCTGGCACTAGAAGGCCGTTTTGTGGACTCGATTTGCTGGTGGGGCAGCATGTCGGCCCTCCAACCTCCAGATGGAGCTGCATTTCTGATGCAGACGTATCTTCAGCTATTGGAATGCAAGGCGATGGCCTTGGCAAATCCCACGTCTGTGGACTCAATGGCCACCAGATATGACGAGCTCCTCAGGACGATGATCTGCAATATGTCCAGCGGAGGTGGCGTTGCCAGCCCCGACGTTGTGGCCTATATTGGAACATTCATGCGCATGGGCGCCCCGCTCTTCCCAGTTCGGCGACGACATCGTCATTTTTCACGGTGCGAATGTGCCATGTGTTGTCCGGCATCTGGGGCTATATCCACGCTCTCATACTCACAGTAACAAAACCCATTATCACCTTCAAAGGGAAAGTTACGTCCACGGACTGATGGCGGGCGAAGGTATGAGGATGATGCCAGGGTCAGAGCCACAATGGTGTACATTGCCGAGTTGCTTAGATGGGAATTAATGCAGTCTTGGATCAGTCACCGCCTTCTTTTCATGCAGTCCATGTCATGCATCCTGGAGACATGGGTAGATGGAAGGAGGACATAATCATTCAACAATATTTGTTGGAGACCTAATATATTAGGCTACAGGAATTTCGATGGGCACCTCGTACGCTTTTGCAAATTCCTTTATACGTGTGATGACACGACAGGGCCTGTAACGCGCTAGACGACCAGGAACTCGCAGTCTCGACATCCCCTGGCGCCGCCTTTCGGTAGATAACCACTCATATTGTCTGCCGAGCTACACGTGGGTCTTCGACTTGGCTCGCTGGCTCTCGAGATCTTTCCACCAACCTCGGTTTGAGCAGGTTGCATGTCTGCTGGTGGAAGGATGATAACTCCTAGTCACAGGGGACGGTACGCGTACCCTGCTCTCTGTGAAGCCGACCCCCTGCGACTTGTGAGTTGAGCCCACTAGCCCGTTTACGCCTTACCTCTCAAAGGACACATCTGAAGAATTCTTGAGCCATGGCTGATTCGCGGCAAATCCTCTTGAAGCACTACGCTTTGAAACACGCTATCATACTGGACGTAGGTATGATTGATGGTGGATATTTGCTAGAATTGCTGAACACTTTCGCAACGTGATGGAAAATTATGCGTACAGTTTCCTCGAAAAGGCCCAAGATCTGAATACATCGCATCCAGTGCAATTTCCACGTTGAAGAATTCAACAACAAATTGGCCTTTGTCGGTTGCGATAAGTCTGCCGTCCTCAGTGTTAATCCGTCTAACAGGCCCACCAGGGCCGGTCACATTACTCACCATCAGTGTAACCCAGGCCACTGAACACGCTCACTCCTTCGACTCCCCTCCTCACCCTGCTCGGTTGCATACTTCACAAAACTTTGCGGCCTCAGGACGACGATGCCACCCTCCTCTCTAATGACGGATGGCCCGGTTGAAGCTTCGATTGCTGTCGACGGTTCCGAACCTTGCCGCCATCGGAACTTTCTACGGATGAAGGATCTTCTCCGCGTCGGGTTTTCTGCGGCTGCTTCCGAATTGATAGCTGTGACCGCGGAGACCAATGACGTTGACATGGATCTGTGTGTAGACGTGGGAGTCAACGGTGTGTGGTGTGGAAGCGAGGCTGGCAGTGTCGGTGAAGATCTCTCGCGCGAGGAAAGTGGTGTCACCTGGTTGGATAAGATCGAGGATGCCACAGATGGGAGCGGTGCTGAGCTTGTTCCCGCCGGGGGGATCTGGCTGACGCCATTTGTGATGGTCACGGGTGGAGTTTCTGAAGTCGATGGAGGATGTCCAGTATCGTCGCCCGTAGGAGGCCTCGTGGGCGGTATTTCATCGGCGTGAGGAGGGCTTGAACGTCCCTGTAGCATATTAGGAAACTCATCCTTCATCTTCTCAAGCTTGGACGCCACGTCGCCCGGGATCATGGCCCAACAATTTATCGCATGTTGCCTATTACCATTTGCTTCATAAATCCGGGATAGCAAGCTTAGTGATTCAAAGTAAGAAAGGTGGTTCTTGCCGAGTACACGGCGCCGGCCGATGAGAGCTTTGCGGCAGAAGACCTCTGCATCTGAATATCTCCCTTGTCGCAACAAGGTGCCGGCGAGGAGATGCGAAGCTTGGCAACGACGAATTGCACCTTCGTCTGTCTCGTTCTCGTGCACCATCTCCTGCGTAATTGGAAGTAGTCTGGCCTCAGCCTCCTTGAGATTAGATGAATGATAGATACACGTCGCGATCATAAGTTTGACCTTAGCTATCTGTGTTGGTTGTCTGCGTTTGAATGGAAGTTTCTCCGCGAGTTCGAGGCCATACTGGAGAATCGAATGCGCCCCCTCGAAATTGTCGGCATCGAATTCCAGAGTGCCTCTGGCAAAGAAGCTCTCAACCTCTTCGGATTCAAAGTCGCCATCTGAATCGGATTCTGTCTCCCGGGCACCACACTCCATCGATGGAGTCGTTTGTGAGCCAGAGTAATTTTCGCTCAGAGGAGGTGCCAGTCGCAGGGTATCGGGCTCTTCGGGGATCCCTGGCCTGGGAATCCAAGATAGAGTCTCGCCTCGCCTCTGTTCATCCATAACTTCGCCCCAGATAGAGCCAGTCGCCTCACTGTTCACGCCCACGGTCGTGGCGCTTGAAATAACTCTTTGTGCAGACTGGCGAAGTCCCGCAAGATAGGCAGGTTCTATTCCCAGGGATCTGGTCCTCAAGTCGGCTTCACTGCCGTAGACAAGCTCCATAAATGCTCGAAGCTCGACAATCTTGGGCCCAAGTTCATTGGTGACTACATCAGGGGCGAGGTAGGCGGCTCGAAGGTTGACCATCAAGAGAGCCATTTGTAGAGCGTTAGTGTGTGTTTTGAATTGTGCCCGGGCAGCGGTGATCTCACTGTCTTTCAGATTGAGCCTAATCCGGCGGGCTGCCTGCTGTACGAAGTTGTCGCGCTCGGGACGGATATCCTCAATCGCTTTCTCCAGTCTGTCGACGGTTGCTTGGCAGTCATTCAAGGACCCCTGGATTGACTCCCAGAGAAGTCGATCGTCATCTGAGTTGGTTCGTCGAAAGGCGCGCTTCACAGGGTCACTTTCGAGTCCCAATTTGACTGCCCTCAGTATTGAAATGAGGGCGTTAACTTCCTGGACCAGGTCAATGACTGTCTGGTTCACATTCCTGGCATCGTCAACAAAATTGTAGAGGTGGGACGAAAGAGTAAAGGCGCCGGTTACGATGGCACTGATCGTACTGATTATGGATAAGGGATCCATGGTGGATGATGCGGCCTTTGTTATTATTCTAGCTCAGGAATTCTCCATACAGATGAAAAATATTTTGGGGGAATTGTCTCTTGTTGGGAAGCGAGGGAGTGCAGTAGCCTACTAGACTCGTTTAGAAATCGTACAGCCTTGATCCAGTGGCACCACGCGGAACAGAAGATAGAGAAGAAGGGTAGGCAGTTTTATTGTTGCAGCTGGTCCGCCGCAAGGAAGAAGGGAAAGGAAGGAAAACCGGTCGACCCCAAACTGTAGGAAAGTATGAAGCGTACGTATTCACGCTCTCGAAGCGATACCCGTAGGCAAGATCAAGGCGCTGCAACCGGGAGGAAATCGGATGTGCTCCGCCCCCACGATTGCATCAAGAGCAGCCTCACCAGCAACATTGACTCGTCGCCTGTCGTTCGTACTTGGTCTAGGCGTTGCCGGGGTCCTGTGTGCCTCCATTGGAAGACATGTGATGGTGTAGCAGGGGAATCCGGGGAGACGCCTAGACCATCTACTAGGTAGTCTATGAGTACGACGGCTGACCTAGTAGCGTTAGTGATAGGGTCGTCTAGGTGCGCAAGAGACGAAAATTCTCGTAGGACGAGGGTTCTGACCTTCATATAGGGAGTAAGGCCTATTTTGTGTAAAGAGACATATTCGAAAGGATGGGAAGGAGAGTTGAAGGGATAGGGATGGCGATGGGCTTGGAAGGCCTAAAAATGGGGAACCTGTTCCCCTACCAATGTGGGACCCTGGTCTGGCGAAGGAGCAGAAGCCAGTGTCGAATACCGAGTACTCGAGGGAGGACAAGGGTCGTGGATAGTCGAGGTAGAAGAAGAGGTGAGCGGTGTTTAAAAGCGGCGCGGGTTGGGTGAAGCAAAGGGCTGTGAGAATGGTAATGAGCGGTATGGTATTGAGTATTTAAGAGAGAGAGTCTGTCTGACAGCTATACTTGTAGACTGAGTAATAGGCGCCAAGGCGCTAATAGCACAACAGCGCCGCTCGATGTCGATTTACTATGTCATTCTAGTGCTAAGGATGTCTGCTTCTTCAGGGTCGAGTCAGTGTGATTGCTGCATGCAATAGCAACGTCGTATCCAATATTTAAGGAGCTCACTTACCATTGAGCACTAAGGCTGCGGTGCTTGGCCTAGCCGTCTAGAGCCCAGACAATGGACAAGATTTTCCATTATGGGAACGAAAGAAACTATTACCTATGAAGACATCATGGGTATGAAGGCCGATGAATGTCCCTGGTAGCTTCTGCGTAAATGCGCCGGCGTTCGCGTCAGAAGAGAACCGGCCGATGCGGATGGTCAGGTCTCCTCGCTCAATCGCGTCTTTCGCTTCTGCCGATGAAGTGACCAGGCCCATATTGTCAGGGATGGCTTGGCAGCGAGCTATCTAAGAAGTATATTATCTATCTATAGGCGCAGTGCGAGAGCGACTTCGAAGCTGAGGAGCTTCAAAGGGATGATCTGCGACTCCGTGCTATATACATATGGTCTTCTAGTGCCTTGGCGTCTTGGCATCCGTAACATATATACGCCGCAAAGGTTGTCACTCGTCTCGTCGAGGTGGATCTGACCAGAGGAATGAATAAGCCCCTAAGCGGAGGAGGCTAATGTGCTTCCCGTAAACAGATAGTTAAGTCCGGCCCACCTACTGGAAATCCTGTGAACTCGACCATCTCGGCCACCACGTCGCTGAGACCAAAACGGCGAGTGAGATTGTTCACCAGAAGACATGGTCTTTGAGCTTGGTCGATTTCGTATAGGATTTCCTGCACGGTCATGTCTTCGAGTCGCTCGCTATCGCGTCTGACATTCAAGTTGAGAGGTTTTTGAGACCGCTGGCATCAGCCAAGAACCCGCCGTGTCTGCAGGGACGTGGAAGTATATAGGGGATCGTGCTCTAAAGCTTTCTTCGATGACTCGGTCGGCTTCTAGGGTAAAGGTAGCATCATTCTCCAGTGAGCAAGAGGCTGCACACAAGTGACACTTTTTCCAATTTTTGCCATCCCAGGGTTCTCGTCCACAGGCTTCACGGACCATAAACCTTTGTTCTTGTGCGAACCGCGACGTGGTTCCGACAATGTGAGGAATTGGGACAAACTCACTGTGGGCACCGGCAATGCCGTTGAGAGCACTCCATGCCCTCGACGGAAGTACCTATCTTCCATGGTTACCTGCTAGATTAAGTTGTGGGGCCGGAGGCGGCGTCGCTTGATGCATTGAGCATCCCCGACGCCGGAGCCACTCCACCCACAAAACACTAGCTACAGTCATACGAGTGCTACCCGCAACACCCAGTCTACTGCTTCCAGAAACAATAGAGCTCATATTCGAACAGACACCTGTGCGTGTTAGCCATGTCTTACATCTGCGAAGGAACGGTTTGGCCAGACGTTGATATATCCACCGAGACTAAGGCACTACTGAATCGGTTTTTCGAGTTAGCGGATCTGAATTCCCCAGAGGCAGGATCTCTCATGGCAGATGAAGTCTTTTCCACCGACGCAATCGTGAAAAGCGGAAAACAAAGCGTATCTGGCTCAAATGGTATGGCTCTACACTTGTGGTTGTCGCAATGTTTTGAATCTTTACATGCTGGGAGAGGATTCAAGCTGAATCAGAGGCAATAGCGATCAGAAACTCGCGCAAGAACGCATGGGACCATATACAGAAGAGGCGCCATCATATCTTGCGCGTCTATTTTCGAGACCAAGGTTGCATGGATTTGATGCTGCTCGGAGAGCTCCAGGCGAAGCTCAAATCTGGCACAATTGTGCATCAGGAATTCTGTGCCCGAGCCGTCGTGGAGGAACGATCCGTGAACGAAGGTCCGAGATTAACTTTATATCAAGTTTGGGCGGTATGTCAAAATCCTAAAGCCCTACAGGAGTATTCGAGCTCGAGACCTTTGTTGGTCTTGACTGACGAGCATTAAGGACCCTACACCGATGCAGGAGGCGCTGAAGCTCTGAAGGTTTTCAAGAGTAGCATCGTCTGCAATTGAAACTCAGGTTAGATTTCAGATCTGCTAAAAAAGAATGATGTCTCGAGGTTTAAAGAACACGGATAGCATCAGTGTTGGACTTGATTTGAAGTTAAAATCTAGAAATGATGACTAGTACAATGAAGTTCTTAATCAAAGCGAGGGCGTATGAATAAATTATTATATTCCAACAGAGTCTGAATCAAGAGTCTCTCGACACTATTTGAAAGACTGATAAACACGGCACCGCCAGACTCTTCAACCCTGCTGTCTACCGTTCCCATTCTCTCACTCTGCTGTGACCCTGAGCCAAACCTGGGAAGCTGAGTTTCTCCGCGGCGGCGAATGCATGAACTTTGTACTTGATTATTTATGATGGCTTATTACATACAGGGAATGTCTGTGCCTGAATGACCCCAGAAATATCGGACATACCAGGTACTGCTTTCCATGCCTTCCCCGGGTGTCTTGGTTGCGCCGGAGGTCCTTCACGGCGGAAAGAGTGTGGTCCGGCAGGGAAGCCCCAGGGACGCCAATGTTAGGTAAATCAATACTAAATCAAATGCATGCCTCGCAAGGTATAGCTATGACTGTAACGGTTTGTATTCTTACATCGACTAAAATACTGTCTCTAGCAAACAGCAGAAGGTAAACTGGTATATCGTTCAACCTTTCCGCCTCCCGATTCTTCGCCTCGATATTACCTCGACTGGAACCCCAATATCGAAACCGAGGACGAAAGGGCCCTTCCGGAAGATCCACAGGCGAGGATGGACACAGAGACCGTACCTCTACTTATTGGGAACGAGGCCCGTCGCATTCCTGGAGGTGCCAAAATCTCTGTCCACTCCGCCGCTCAGGATCGAATTGTTGGATATGCAGAAGCAGCGACTGTTGACAACGCGAGAGAAGCGGTACAATGCGCGGCACAAGCATTCGCGAAATGGCGCAACGTGGGCATCTCTGCGCGAAGGGAGATCCTGTTCAAAGCGATAAACAATTTCAGGGAGAACCAGCACCTGCTAATGACGAGTCTGCAGTCAGAAACGAGTTGTACTAAGGAGTGGGCAGCAGCCAATATTCGCGGCACCCTCAAGTCGCTTGAGGAACTTGCCTGCAGTATTACCAGTATTACAGGCGAGATCCCGAGCACAGACGACCCATCCAGATTATCTTTGATCTTTCAAGTCCCTGTGGGCTCGGTCCTTGTTATTGCCCCGTGAGTGAGACTGGTCCTTCCTTACTCTTCAACACTCCTGGCTCGTGAAGTTGAAGTTGTGGGGTGTTCTCTGTCTTTTAGCTCTTTCCTACCTTTCATTTCCTTCTTGACTTCTCATTCTGTCTTCTTCTCTTGCTAAATGGAACAAATCAACAGCTGGAACGGCGGCATTGTCCTGCCTGCCAAAGCCATTACCCAGCCCCTTGCGGCAGGATGTACCGTCGTCTTCAAGGCCTCGGAACTCTCTCCCCGAACACACCATCTAGTTGCGAAGATGTTCATTGATGCCGGCCTACCCGCCGGTGCTCTAAATGTGGTCCAGACCCGGCGTGAAGATGCGGAAAACGTCACGCGAGCTGTCATTGCGCATCCTGCCATCCGTAAAATCGACTTCATCGGCAGCGCAGCCGTCGGCAGGACGATTGGAGAGATGGCCGCTCACTATCTGAAACCAGTCCTGATGGAGTTGGGAGGCAAATGCCCTGCAATTGTGCTCGACGATGCCGACGTCGCCGATGCCGCGTCAAAATGTGTTGTTGGAGGTGCGTTTGTTTTAGTTTTTCACAAGTACTATCTACGGCTTTGCCGAAACTTTGAAATGACTAACTCTCTGGGTTCATATAGCATTCCTGCACCACGGACAGATATGCTTCTCGACCGAACGGATTATAGTATTAGAGGCGATAGCCGAGAAGTTCACTGCGGAACTCAGGGCTAGGGCTCAAAATTGGCAGCCTGTTGATGGAGTCAGTAAGAGGATCATCGACAACGCGCACAGCCTTGTGGAGGACGCTCGCGCCAAAGGCTGTGAATTCGTCCTGGGAGAGGGTTCGCCGGGGTTTGTGCGGCCGTCGGCGCTACAGCCCGTCATCCTGACCAATGTGACGAAGGATATGGCCATTTACGACAGTGAAAGCTTTGGCCCGTCTGTCAGTCTGTACGTTGTCAAGACGGAAGATGAGGCTGTTGAATTGGCCAACAGTTCGACTTACGGGCTGAATGCGGCGGTGCATTCGCAGAACTTAACCCGCGCATTGCGAGTGGCAAGGCAGATTGAGTGTGGTACTATCTGGGTCAATGGCCTCACAGCCGGTGAATCAGGTAAGTAAAAAGAAGAACGGAACATGTTAAGATAACCCCTATGCTCTACTCCTAATCCACTCCATGTTCTAGTCGCTATTCCTCACAGCACATTCAAATACTGACATACCAGGTGTAGCGACTTGTCCCATTGGAGGCTACAAGGGTAGTGGATGGGGACGCAGTAACCAGAAATGGGGCTTGAATGAGTTTGTTCAAACTCAGACCGTCAATCTGCCTCATTTATAGGTTTATGATATTCGGACATATGTGATTCTAGAAAATGGAGGAATGATGATCGAAGGATTGCATCATTGAAGCGAGCCAGAGCTACCCTGACCCCCTCTGGAGTACCTAAGAGCATCTTTGACTGATCCGAGGTACTTCGGTTTTGCCGCTTGAATAAATTTATACCAACATCATCGTTGCTCAATGTCAGTGTGCTCTGGATTAATGGAGCACGAAATTACGATGACCAACTAGGCTACTCAGTATTCGCAATGGGGTGGGCAAGCCGGGGCGGAGCCCGGAGAACGCATTCCACAAGATGTCCGGCGCTTAGCCCAAGCGAGTAAGAAGAATACTCTTCTTTATCCGCCGACGGTTCAGACACGGCTTGATGACTTCGGCCTCCTTGGCCCATTGGACCGCGATTTCCATACTACAGGTAGTTTGCCCAGGATTATCCGCTCTCTATGCCTCAAAGTCTAAAGACTTGTGTGTTATTGGTTATGCCTAGGGAATTATACCTCAGCATCTGAAGACCCGGTTGCTGTTGTTCGTGAAACATATCTCAAGTCTTCTTCAAAACTCAAAGCTCAGAGCCCAAACATCCAACAAAGATCACTATGGACACCGTCTTCCAGCGCCTCTTGAGGTTCATAGACCAGGACGGCAACACACGGTATGGCGAGGCAGGCTCGATCACAGACCCGGCCGAACTCGTCGGCGCATGTATTCAAATCTTCGAGGGGAGCGAACCGTGGGATTCGGGTTTTCGAGCAAGTAGCACGCACAAGGTGGTCAAGGAGGTAAAGTAAATACTTCAGCAACATCACTCAGACTTGCAACTTCAATCATGGCGTTGAGGAGTGGGAAAATGGCGCTTCGAAAGTTGAATATGCCGTTTACCTTTACAATTTCAACTTTCAAATTCCAGGTCCATGCTAGACTAATTGCAGACAGGTCCTGTCGCCACTCGAAACCACCCCGATATTCTACTGTGTCGGGCTGAATTATCGTAAACATATCGAGGAAACGGGGGTATGTGGAATCAGTCCCCCCAAAAGGCCCCAAGGTCAAGCCTGGCTCACGCTTGGAAATCTAGCTTGAAACACCACAGGTGCCGGCTATCTTTCACAAGGGCGCACGTTAGTCCCGAGCCCTAGACTCCTTTTTGTGGCATTTTGACCAACACCAAACGATCAGAGGCGTTAGCAGGACCAGTCGAAGATATCAGAATACACCCTGAGTGTCCGAATATTGACTACGAAGTCAGGAATCCCTTACCCCATTAGCTCCTGAATTCTGTCCTCTGCATTCTTGATCTCCATGATCCTGATCATGGTCCAAATCCTGACAATCCTGAACCGAGCAGGGTGAATTCTGCGTTATAATGGGCCGACCCTGCAAAGATTTCGATTCGTCGCAAGATGTAAGACCATACATCCTGGGCTACACGGTCGGCAACGATGTGAGCTGTCGGTACTGGCAACAGCGCGCAGGGGCACCGTATTCCAAATCGTTCGATCAATTTGGCCCCATCGGCCCTGTCATCGCGTCCGCCAAAGTCGTCGGCGACCCTGGAAATCTTCGTCTAACCACCAAAGTCAATGGAGAGACTCGACAAGATGCGAGCACGGCTGATTTTCTGTTCAATGTGGACGAGATCATCAGGTTTCTAAGCCGGGGAAGGACTCTAGCACCAGGCACTGTCATCATGACGGGGACGCCGTCAGGGATTGGCATGGCGAAGAAGCCTCCGGTCTGGATCAAGGACGGAGACGTGGTGGAAATTGAGATTGAAAAAGTGGGAATCATTCGTAATAAATTCGTGGTCCCTCTGCAGAGGGAGGTCAGGCTGTAGATATGGTGTGTTGGGGCCAGGCTTGGAAGCTGAGCAGTCTCGCAGTTTATCTAAACCTCACTAGAGTAGGTCAATCAGTCGGCTGACATCATGACCATGATTTATGATCCCTTTCCGCTCAGACGCGATACCTCTGTAGGTCCTCCCTACCACGTTCAAACTGTTACTGCCTCATTTCATTGTCGCCCCAAGCATCTCTCAGGACAATATCAGGCCTAGACAGTGCTAGGCTAGAGGGAGTTCGCATGTGCTCCCCAGTTTTCTCTTCCGGGATCCGGAGAGTGGGTGGGTCGGGGACCATGGGCGCCGATGGGTACTACCGGTAAGCTTCATTAGCCCACTAGCCTCCTAGCCTTCCCTGACATTTGGGCAGTCCTGGCAGTCGTCCCGAGGTGTTTTGGCGGCCTAAAGGGCCCAACCCCGCACTCTGGGTTAGCGGTATTGAAGCTGAAGGCTGAGGACGACGGTGGGCTCGTCGGTTGTTGTCATACGTGATGTCGGTCGGGGACGACCGTTGACTTTCGAGCTTTGAGGTTTGAGGCTGCTGTTGAGTCTCCAGGATTTACAAAACTTCAACAGCCGCCTATAAATAATTTATTATTGCATCTTACAAAAGGGACATGAAAATGGACATATTAGACAAACCCCGTCCCGTCGATTCAAGAGAGACAGGTCCACTACAAGCAGTTCAGGCAATCACCTCCACATCCAGCCTCCCCAGAACGGTGGATCGTCGTCAGCGCGCCTGTGATGAGTGCAAACGGTGTGTCACTGTGGCTTTCTAGCGATGCGATGGGAGTTGTCGTGTGCTGACATGCTCTCTCTGTCTAGGAAAAAGAGCAAATGTGCTCCATCTGAGGTGGACTTTCGAGACGCGTGCTAATCAACAATTAGGCGACATGATCCGTCCAACATGTTCGCTCTGCGCCCGAACTGGAAAAATATGCGTTTTCCCAGAACCCTTACGGAGGACGTCTAGGGAGAATAGGACGCGACAGCGTCAAGCCAAACCAGAGAGCAAGCGTCAAAGGCTGGGTAGAGTGACTTACTATTACAAGGTGCGATGCCACCTCTGGGAAGATGGTCTGACTGAAGTGGCAGACCGGTTACTGATGCTTCTTGAATCTCGCATGCAAATGGATCATTCGAACAATGACCATTCAGCACCAGTAACGGAGACAGCCACAACAACAACAACAACAACCACGACAACATCAGCAGCAGCAGCAGCCTTCCAACAACCGATTCCTACTCCGCCGTCTACCAAGCCCCGAGATCACAATCTGAGTGTTCCAACGCGCCAGGTGATTGAAAACGGCCTATCGTCTGGGTTCCAGCCCCAAATGGACTTAGGCACCTCAGGACAAATGTCAGATGAGGATGGGCTCGATCCCTGGAAAGCACAGCCGCTGTTCGACCAGGAAGTTGCATGGCACCATAATCACGACAGGGTGGTGCACTTTGACCACAATGACCTGTTTTATGATGGGATTTCGGACCTCAATTTGATCTTCGATCCCAGTATTGACGGGGTCGAGCAACCACGACTTTCCCCGTCTGCTAATAGTGCAAATGACTCTGATGCCATTGCTCAGGAAACAAGTCAGAGCAGCACCGACCTATGCCGTGATCCAGTGGAGCTGTACAGCCACCTGTAAGTTGACCATCTTGCTGCCAGAATTCTCTCTTTTTCTCACACACATCAGCTTGCAGCTGTATTTTGAAAAAATCCAACCTTGGTTGCCGTTGTTTCACCGACCTAAATTTGAGGAGCAATTCGCAGGCAAGCTCTGCCATTCGGACCTCGCGACCAGCTCTTCCTCGCCCGAGTCTGCTTTTGTCCTCAACGCCATGTTTGCGCTTTCGGCCAGGTACTCAACGTCAGATCACTTCTCCGGTCTTGTCCCCATTACGCGTGGAAAGTCCTTCTTGAGACAGGCAGAAGCAATTTTGGAAGCACACAACTCGAACGAAACATCGGGCCCCTCCTTACGCATTCTGCAGGGCTGTATCATGTTGGCATGCTATCATCTGTCGTCAGGCATCACCCCGCGTGCCTGGTTACTAACTGGGATGTGCTCCAGACTCGCCTACGAGCTCGGCTTGCACAGGCTCGACCGTGAATCAACCAAGGCAAGTTCTTGTTCACCCGAGGTTTCTAGCAACAAATGGATCGACAACGAAGAGAAACGCCGCGCGTGGTGGTCCGCATGGGAACTGGATAATTTTGCCTCCACCATCAGCCGCCGCCCATACGGCTTCGACCGAGACAGCGCAGATATCTTCCTCCCGGTTTCGGACAAGGACTGGTTCAGTGGTAACCGGGTGGCTTCTGCTTCACTAGCGTACGAGCCTCTGGCTGCGTGGCAGAGTCTCGTCGACTGCCCGAACCAATCCGAACATGCTTGGTATTTGGTCTCGCTTCACTTTATCCGATTAGGACACGAGTTGCAGCAAGCCTCTCACCTAACCCGCAAGAACCTAAACGACTTCGAGACGGCCGTCCGGTACTTCTCCTTGGCTCTACCTCCTTCCTTCGACAATGTCGAGGGCGTATTTGGCAGCGAGCCTAGTTCTGGATGGATCACTTGCACTCACATTTTGTTACAGAAGTAGCTCTTCCCTTGCCTACAATGTCTATTTGCGTCTGATAATTATATCGAATTCCGCTAATCCTGGAGTGGCCAGTGCCTTCATTGCCATTTCCGTCTGTGGCAGTATGCTCGAAACCCATTCGGTCGTTGATGAGCCTGCGTCAGAGACATTTGAAAGGCTCCGCAGTGGTTGCCGAAACCAAACCAGCGAAATCATCGCGGCGATCCGATCGTGGACTCCCAAGTTTATGCCCTTCTCCCCGTTCATAATCTGTGCCATCATTGGTCCAAACGCGATTCACGTCAAAAACTGCCTCACTCGGCATTTAAAGCGTGGTACAGATCCAGCGTTCGAGGAAGCGGGCTCGGAACGAGACATGGAACTATTAAAGCTGTGTTTGAAACGTCACTCCTGGTACTGGGAGTTGGGTTCTATGGTGCTAGGTGAGCTAATGTTATTGCTAGTCCATTTTGGAAACCCCGAGGGGAAATTGGCTAATGCTGGCTAATGCTGTTCATTGCTTTCATTCAGACGTGGTCCAGATGTGTGCTAAACATGAGTTGCAAGATACACCGGCCAATGGGTTTGTCCTTTCGGAAAAGGCAAGACTGCAACACCTTACAATGCTCCTACCAAGCTGATACGTTCTATCGATACAATATGGAAATTTGGGCAGGAAACGGATAGTCAATGTTGATTTTCAAATGAAACTTCGGGCCGTCCTATTCGACTGAGATGGTTTTCTCGTAAGTGAATAGTAAGTTCCAGGATTAAATAGCATGGTTCGAAACATTGCGCATGCATACCTGTTCCCACTGAACCTGTTCTCTCCTATGCCTCGCTACTTCGAGTGTAAGTGCCAGACATCATTTCGGTCGTGGCCACCAAGTATGAGCCCACCAGTAACATGAAGGGTCTATTGTATAAGGCTATAAGAAAGAGCCCGAATGTAGTACATCCCACAAGCCCAGCGTATGCATGGCAAACTCGGACGCGGAGAGCTTTTGGTCCATGAAACCTTTGGTCAAGAGGCAGAGTCCAAGAGGTAAGGCGGAGCCCGGAGAAGGAGGAGGCCCTTTTGAGGGAGCAAGTCCGCCCGGCCGGACAAGTTCGAGAGTCGACAGATGCAATGAATCTGATATCAGGATGGTGTTGCCCTACCAAGCACTAACCTTGGAGTTGTGACATTAAAATCCGTGATCTCGCAAGGTGCAAGTTCCTATCCTTTTGAGTTTTGACGGTTCGTACAGCAAGACCGTTGCTGTGTTGAATACTCCTCGTCGGCGAGATTCGTTGCGACTCACATCTCACACCTTCATTCGAGACTCTTCGCCTCGGAGCTGCACCGTCTTTCTGCGCTCACAAGTTGTTCTTCGTTTTCTTCTGCATTCCTCAACGTGGACGGCTGACTGGATCACAAATTTACGAATCTTCTTCTCAAGCCTCATTCCCGACAACGGCCCGACCTCATGGCCCCAACTCCACCCAGTAAAGTGACGAGCCCGGTCAAATTGGCACACGTCGTCCTCCAAACCAACAAATACAAAGAAATGGTAGATTTCTGGACGACCTTCTTGGGAGCCAAAGTGGTCTTGGATAATGGCTTCTTGGCTTTCCTCACCTACGACGATGAACACCACCGGATCGCCATCGCCGGGCCTCCAGGCCTCAAGAACAAAGACCCCACCTCGTCCGGCCTGTCTCATATCGCATTCACCTTCGCCGACCTAAACAGTCTCACAACGGCGTATGCACAACGCAAAGACCAGGGGATTGAGCCCTTCTGGTGTATCAACCACGGTACCACGACGAGCATGTACTACCATGACCCGGATGGGAACGAGATCGAAACCCAAATTGACAACTTTGAAGATAACCAGGAGGCCACAAAGTACATGATGAGTCCGGCGTTTGTACAGAATCCATTTGGCGTCGAGTTCAATCCGGACGATCTGCTGTTTCGCGTCAGGTCAGGCGAAGACCCAATGAGTATTAAGAAGAGACCTGACATTGGGCCAAGGTCGAGGTTGACTGAGAGGACCATACCACCTCCTTCTTTGGCACCTGTGCTGTGAATTGACTTGAGTCGAGTTGAGGTGAGGTGAGGTGATCATGCTCTCTCTTTCCAACTTAACTCTACTAGACTCTAGTGTGAGAAAGGATATTGTCTTAATGGACAGAGGAGTAAGAGAGGGAGAGAAGGGGAAGGAGGATAGTGAGTCCGTCTTCTGACCCAGATAATATGCCAAAGCCAAAAGGAATGAAAATATATCTGGTCTGATGTCTAATGTGTTTTATAATAACCACACTGTACACTTTTTGGCTTTACATTTCATATTTCTTTTTTTGAGGCTCTGCTGTATTACTCTGACTCTCATCACCGGCAACAGATGCGGTAGGTGCAAATAGACTGTAAAGGGAACAAGATTGCGGATGCTGCAGTACTGCAGTGCTGCAATTGTCATTGCTGTTGCTATTGCTATGTGTCTTTTTTGCTTCAGTTTTTTCTTCTTTTTTTTTTTTTTTTTTTTTGGCAAAAATGGCTGGGAATTCTTGTCTTCTGACTCCTGGCTCTTGAGCTATCCCGGTTCTTGCTTCCAGAATAGAGATTGACAAAGAGCATGGAACACAAACAGCCGACAGGGAGAGCAATACTAGGACTCTAGAAGAAGTCCATAGCATTAATCATATCCTGTCTCGATCGGTTGAGCCCTGTCCGATAGCAATACGGTCGGAAGGGGGCGACGTCAACATGCCTCGGACTCGGATCTGAGGATTTCGACCTCCGCCACTTCCCCGTCCGTGAAGGAGCAGCATTGAAATTCCGCCGGCTAGAAAACACTGACTGCTCCTCCTGGAGGATATTCCCGGTCTCGGCTGAGCCTGTTGCAAGACCGGCCGAATTCGAAATGCGAACGTCGAATGCCTGGAATGCAGTGGGCCCTGGGGAGGTGTTAAGTATTGTTGTGACTGGGAATGTCGGTCCTAGGTCCTGGCAACTGTAATCCAGGCCCAACAATCCTACTTTCCGAACATTAACACCTACAAATTTGAGATTGTCTGGCCACTCGAAATTCCCGACAACATCGACGGTTAGAGTGACAACTTTCAAGAGACGTAAAAACTCAGAAGGCGCAATGAACAATTCCCAAACCCACCGCCCGGTGGAGGTCGTTATAGTGGGCTGTGGTCTAGGTAAGCTGAACCTGATATCAAGATCCAATAAATACCTACCAATTTGGACAAATGAAGGGTAGAGAATTCGAAAACCATTGACCCTGAACTCGAGTTAGGCGGTCTCTCGTGTGCTGTTGGCTGTCTGCGTCAAGGCTGTCAAGTGACCATTCTCGAGCGGGCCCCAGAACTTCTGCCGGTACGTTGATACGGCTGATCTTATAGATAAGGCTTCTGGATGTCTCAGCCTCAGCGAGTGAAATCCCAAATTATCTGAGAGTTGAGTTCTATTCTTGGGGAGCGACCAAGACTAATATGGAGATCTTCTTTGGTGCTGCATAGATTGGAGCTGGGATTGTCGTCCCACCGAATGCGGTCCGAGTTCTTCGACATTACGGATTGGTCGACTCTCTGATGCAGAAAGGCGCCGTCCCGGTCGAAGGAGCTCGGTTTCTCGATTACCACGACGGCAGCTTATTGTACATGCGCAAGATCGACGAAAGGGAAAGCGCAATGCAGTCTACAGATGGCCCTTGGTGAGTGGACACCAGTACTTTATGAGTTACGGGCCGCAAAGGAGGAAGCAACCCAGATAGACCGAAACGGAATTGAATTGCGTTCTGACGAATTTGATACTCTTGATGGGTCATAGTGTTGCCCATCGAGCTGACTACCATGCGACACTACACGAAGAGGCTACACGGCTAGGATGCGAGATCCAATTGGGTTGCGAAGTACAAGATGTGAACTTTGACCAAGCCTCCGTAATCTTGAACGACGGGTCAGTAATTGCAGGAGACGTAGTGGTGGCCGCAGACGGTGTGTACTTACCCAGTCCCCTATGCCTCAGTATTTCATTTGTCCCTTTGATCTGTTCATTTTAATACTGTATATGCTACTGACCTATTATTGAATCGCTACCATCTAGGCCTCTGGTCGACGCTGAGAGACAAAATCCTCGGCCAACTGTCTCCTCCCCTCCCTACCGGGGACCTGGCATATCGAATGACACTCCCTGCGGATGCCCTAAGTACCATCGCAGACCAGAATGTCCAGGAACTGCTCCGGCCGAATCTGTCCACCGTTTGGCTTGGGCCGGACAGACACTGCGTCTTGTATCCGATCCGCAACCGCTCCCAGTGGAATTTGGTTCTGATGTATGACATGCCATCTGCCGCCTGCCACCTGCCACCAGGATCCAGGAGCCAGACAACAATCCAAACATGGCGCCTATAGCTAACATATGTGAACGTGCCGGGAGACCCGACAATCTGCCCGACAATGTTCGGACCCAAGCCGCGACCATGGAGGAGATGAAGCAATGTTTTGAAGGATGGGACCCACGGTAACGGATCCCTCCCTGCGAGCGAGACTAACCGCCCTTTGATCTGCGAGCGGCATCCACTGACATTGTCACATCACTTCGTGCGCCAGACTTCAGAAGCTCATGGCGACGGGGGATGCGGTCATGAGCTGGAAACTGCTCCATTGCGAGGAACTAAAAACATGGTCCAAAGTGAGTAATGATGCCTCACTTGTATCCTACCGGTTACGGCGGGTCCCCTTGCCCTTAACAGTAGAGGGCCGGTCCTCACCTCATTGTTTGGCCACATATTTAATTTTGACGCATATTTTCTCACGCGGATTACTCAGGGCCGCTGCGTCCTTATCGGCGACGCTTGCCACCCGTCTCTCCCGTACCAAGCCCAAGGTGCCGCCATGGCTCTCGAAGACGGGATCACGCTCGGCACGCTCCTCGGCAGTCTGAACGAATCGCAACACCCTGCGGTATGCGGAGCAGACCGTCGCGCCCAATGTATCTTGGAACTGCTGCTGGTGTTCGAATCTGTTCGCAAGCCGCGCACCTCGCTAAATCAAAAGGGCTCGCAGAGCAATCAGTACTGGTACCAGGCCAGCACACCCGAGGATATGGAGAGGAGGAACAAAGTCTTTCGATCGGCTGACGGGTGGGGCAAGTGTGAATGGAAGGGTGCAGATTTCGAATACCAGCGAGAATTACTGGGATATGATGCGAGAAAACATGCGCTGGAGACATATGAGGGTTGGGAGAAGCAGGCTAGGGCTGTGGACTGTAACCTGTAGTTAATGCCTGAGTGGCAACTTGCAAACTAGGAGAGCGATCAGAAATCGAAACATCATCATTCAATCTTGAATTCATTTTGCCCGGCGAGATAAAGCCATGAGACAACGGCAAAGTGTCTTGACTGCCAAATGCTGTAACCGGCAGATCGCATGACTATTTTCTTTGATGTAAGATGATGTCCAATCTGATTTCTGAACTTGTAACTACAGGTATGCGGGCCTGCAGGCCGTAGCAGATCTTGCATCGTGGGACTATAGATCATGAGAGCACGGATCGGTACATATACACACTGATAGAACAAAGCTGCCGAGACATCCTGCTCTTCTGAGCGCAATGCAGAAATATAGTAATGCCCCACTCGACAATTCAACTCACCCATCAATGCGCACCCTGAGTCTGAGTTGCAGCACCCTGAGCAATCGACATACCCTCCTCCGTCGAAACCAGGCCAGTCGATAACTTTGCGCTCAGACGCCGGATTGACGAGCCCCTCAAGACCAGGACAAGGAGTAACGGAGTGTACGCGACGGTGAAAAGTGCCATCATGCCAAACACCCAGCCTGGTCCGTGAACTGCTTTTTCCCAATCCTCGACGTAGAATGGCACGGTGAGTCCCAAGATCAACCGATAGAAGTTCACCACCGCGGTGGTTTCGACGGAGTGCTTGGTGAAGCATTCGACGAGATAGTTTGCGCTGACAGGGGCGGTGGAAATCACGCCAAACACAAACACAAAACTTCCCAGCGCGAGAACCATGTAGTGCAGGTGGTATTGCAACGAGGCCGCGATCAGCCCGAGCCCAATGGGGATGACAACCAAGGGAATCCAGAGCGAATGCAGCCGATGCTCGGGCTTCCATATGCCCTTGTGGTAGCGTCTGGCGATGTAGAATGAGAGACGGTCCCCGACGCTATGCCCGTATACCAGGCACACGGCAACTGTAAACCAGCCTACAAAGGTGATTGAACAGGGCATGAGTGAGTCGATCGTCGAACTTGGACGACTACTAGAGGGGAGATGACTTACATGCAGCGTTCCGGCCAGGTGAGAAGCCATAGCCTCCGTAACCAACTGGGGTTTGAAGAAAGACTGCCAGTAATGCCTGAAATGCCACGGCCCAGCCAAAGATGACAAGCTGGAAGCCTCCGAAGATAAGCGTGACCGGCAGCAAAAAGATCCTGATTTGGGACCAGCCGAGTGAAGCCTAAGCAAGGCCATGAAACGAGTTAGCGATGTGTCCCACCTAGATATTTAAAACTAAACAGGGGACATGGCAATGCATCTACTCACCATTTCCTTCCACGTTCGATTTGCCACTACACTTCTTCGACCGAACAGTGTAGCAAGCCTGTTCGCCCAAAAATCTCGAGGCTGTCGTGGGTACTCCTCCCCTCCGGGTCTTGTGTAACCTGTTTCATAGAGGAAGAAGAAAGCAAGGATGGCGACCACGCCATGAAGTGCGACTAGATACCAAAACTGAACGGTCCAGCTTGCGCCCTGAACGATAAATCCAGAAAATGTCGGCCCGATGGTTGTCCTACCTTTAAGTCAGCCACCGAGTGAAGCTTGACAAGATCAGCGCCATCTTACCCCGAAAGCATAATGATGCTGTACGCGGCAAACGCCCTCCCTCTCTGGTGCAAATAAAACATCTCCAAGATGAAACTTGAGCCCGTGGTTGTGCCCACTGAGGCGAATAGACAAGTCATCAGTCGAGAGACCACAAAGGAATTGTAGTCGTCGTGCGCTGTCATCAGCGCCGACCAGACCGTACATCCGCATGCGAGGGCCATTCCCCAGAAGATCCCAGCCACACGACCGGTCTTATGCGTGATTGGCAGCCATAGAAGAGGCCCGGCCGCGACTCCAGCCGTTCCTGCGGAGACCTGTCCAAGATATGTAAGAAATGAATTGGTTGCGGATGCTGCAGACGCACACTGTATGAGATCTCGATTGGTGTTTTGTGGTAGACCTTTGCTTGTGCCACAAAGCCCGATGAGTTCGCGACTGCAGAGCAGGTTGCTGAGAATGCCCCCAGGCAAAGAATCCCGAGCATCAAAACCTTGTATGCCGTGGACCAGTTCTGGGTTCGACAAGGTCAGTCGGAGACTTGTTGAGGGGATGAAGAGCCTTGTCACTATACCAGCGGGTCTTGGGGGTCATCGCTAGGTTGAGGAACGAGGACAATTCCTTGCCTGTTCACCTTGGACGTTGGAATCTGGGTAGGGTCTTTTTCGCTCGAGGGAACTCCCTCAACATGGAGAACCCTTTTCTTGTCAACGATAATGGTCGCCATATTTCTGCTGATGGAGGGAGGGTCTGGCTGGGCCTTGTCTCCACGACAACGTCCATGACACTGGCCGTCTTTAAAGCGTGAAGACATCTCCACAACTACTAGAACCTGGCTCCGCTCAATGTATTCCAGACATGGGTCCCCGAGCGATGCTGCATACCCCGGACCCCCGGACGTCAAACGGCGTGTCCTCCGGCCGTGTCACGTGAGTTTAAGGGATATCTTTTTCTTAGACCATCTCCGTCTCTCGTATCGCCGGCTGCTCAGATGGAAGCTGCTGTCCATGAGGACACTCTTATACTTCTCTGCAATAACACGATGCTTTTGTTTGATTCCAGACAAGTTCTCCTCAGCGGTCATCTTCTCTCGTGAACACGACGCCGTCGACTGAGTCCGTCGCCATGGCTTCGACGAATGAAACGCCCTATATTTTGTATTACTTCCCGTTCTCTTTGTGCTCGATCATGGTTCGTTTGACCTATGCTCTGAGAGGTCCTCCTTCGAGAGAATCCAATGACATGAAGATCGAGTTTAGAACGGTTGATATCGCGATCAAGCTCGAGCAATTCACTGAAGATTTTCTTTGCAATGTCAATCCCAAGGGCAAGGTAAAACATTCAATACTCGGACCTGCAGTCGTGGTAACATCCATCATAGGTCCCTGTGCTGTATCATCCGACCCTCCTCTCTCATCCCATGTCTGAGAGTATTGCTATTAGCGATTTTATCTGTGACCGATATCCAACCCTTCGGCCCCCCGAACATGCTGGAACGATAGACGAGTTGATCAAACAACTTCATGATATCAGCTTTTATTCTTTGACCTACCAAACTCGCCCTGAACACCCAGAAGCCATGCGATTGAAGCTCCAGGAGCTGATGAATCAGCCTGACGTCTCGCCGCGGTACAAGGATGCTTTGCAGAACAAAATCAAACTGTGGGTCTCCCGTCATGGTCCGTTGGATAACCTTGTAAAGCTAAAATCATGCCCAGGAATGACGAAGAAAAGGTGATAGGCCTCCAGGCGCCAAGCGTGGCAGAGAACATCGAGAAGGCCAAAGCCTTCTGTGAAAAGATGGAATGTCTCCTTGCAAATCGGCCGGGTAGTGAGAGCATGTATCTCTTTGGGGACAACCCAACGGTGTTGGACGCCCACACGCTTCCATTCCTGATCCGAATGCAGGACGTCGGTAAAGAGTTCATCATTCCGGATGGGTTGGCCAAGTATATGGGGACTCTCAAGAGACAGAAAGAATGGGAGGAGATTAGTCCCAATGGAAAGACAATTCCTGATATGTCCCTCGCAGGACTAAAAGACGCATCGTTGATCAAGGCGTCTGTGGAAGCGTCCAAGACTCGAACGAGATGAATCCACACTGCGTCGCGAGTCCCGAGTCCTTTCTTTGGATATACAAACTGCAGGGGAGGAGAGGTAGTTAGGAAGACGAGCAGCAGGCACTCCCTACCCTAAATGCAGCCTATGTGTGGTGTCTTCGCCGGGGACGGGACTCCTGCGAAATCTTCTCTCTCTTTGAATTTAGGAGCCAGGGGAGCACATTGCTAGGGTCTAGTGCCCCTTCTCTATAGAACAAATAGAACTGTCCAAGCAAGAGCAACTTCGAATGAGTAAGTAGATATGTAGAGGATAAGTAGAGAGTAGAGATGAGTAGCTGGCTGACCGGTTCCAAGAGTGGCACGTGTGCGCCAAGTCTTAAAGGGAGCGGCGGTCGAGAAAAACGATTCCACAGCCAAGTTTCGGGCAGGTCTGCTGCCTGGAGTTCGGCACCAGGCTGGGGAGGTGTTGGTTGGGCGTGCTCCTCCACACGTCAATGAGATCTCTGCAATGCTCGATCACAAAATGAGATTGCTCAAGGTTTCCTCTCAGTATTGTGAGTAAGTGTTCCATCTTCATAAACAACAATCTTCTTTGGCTTGAACCATCTCAACTTCGGAGCTGGTGGCAGGCTATATTGAGGAAACTGGACGGATAATAATATCTGGTGATGCTTTGAATTTACAAAAACCAGCTACATCCCCTGCGGAAGTAGAAGACTGATCCCCAAACAGCTCTTTCCTGTGCGTGGCAGGTGCTCGACAATCCTTGTTTTCTCCGCTCACACAATTGGGATGGACCTTCAAGTATCATACCGCGGATCCCCTGCTTCTCTTGAATGCTGCCATCGGATTTCGAGAAATGGATTGTTGGCTGGCGATTGGTGTCACAGCAGCCAGCAAAATCGTTTGCAGTGCCCCGGTCAAGGCTTTGATATCGTGTTCTGCCTACATTCGAGCCAAATGTCGTGGCTGCAGCAGAGCGGGACAACCCATGCCTATGAATGGCTCGGTTTCGACGAACGCAGGGCGATTAGTTGATAAACTCGGCACTCGGTGCAAAGGCTGGGGCTGTGGTCGCCCTGACCGACAACGACGCCTATCAAGCAAGAAAGTGCCACGTCAACTGCAGAGCTCCAAGCTCTACATTCGCAACCGACCACCACGCGCCTCGTTCCAGAGATCGATAACCTTGAGTATCCATTTCAACTAGAGTCAGCGCAATCTGGCAGTATGCATAATGATATATCCCGTACTTTCCTGTCCAAAAGCTCAATAACCCGCAGTGCACTACCCCTACCCTCAGTTGAGGAGGCTGCATGTTTTCGCTGCAAGATAAACTTGTCGACATGCGAGATGAATACACAGGGACACATGTTTCCTAGCGTTCCAGCCTGCATACCTCCTATCCTTGCAGCCTCGACAACATAGGAGATTCTGGGGTTTCCGCTGGCATTTAATTTCCGAGAATACCGTTCACTGAATGTATCGAGCTCTCCTCTGCAATATGGGCCAAGATATCAGCATTCCAAAGCCGACGAGTCAGTCACAAGGACCTGAAGAGACGATAATAAGTACTCTGGGTTCAGTCAGCAAATCCATAAGCCAAATACCCAGCCTTTTCAACAATGCAGACAAAATAACCAATGTCGTCGAGAAGGCCATGCCCGCTGTCAAAATCCTGGCATCCCATGGCAAATACCTGGCCGGCTTTCACATATACTTCGTCGCTGCGGGCGTGACCGCGCAGTTCATCCAGGTCTATCAAGGACAGCAGGTCGTGGCAGAGCTGCGCGGGATCCGACGAGAGCTAGAGGCACAGACCCGTCTTGATGCTCCGGAAAAGTTTGCGGCTCAAGTCTACGGATACATCGACATGATGACCAAAAGCACATCCAAGTCCACTAAGAAGCACCTCTACTTTGTCTACCACCCCGATACCGATTGGCACCCTTATTTCTGCAAGTCGGTGGAAAGGAAACCGACTCCGAATACCTTCTTCGGCATGGCTGAGAACCTCGACACACTGTGTATTTGGATGCGATATCTTCGGGCTGTGTTCACCAAATCAGGAGAATGGGGAAAGGATCCCGTGTTCCATATCTTGATGCCCACATATCGCGAGCTCCACATCGAGGAACCTTTAGCCTTTGCCGAAGCACTACACCCTCTTTGCCTTCACGGCTTCGTCCACAACAGCAAGTGCTCCGTCAACATAAATCTACACGGCATCGACCCAGAAATGCTGGACGGAATCGGAATCTGGAAAAGGCCTCCGAACTTGTTCGGACTTTTCCAATCCAAAGAAGCCCCTAGGATTCTCGGGGAGGTTCCCACGTCCGCCGACGACGTCCTTTTCATGGAGAATGGCCTTCGCAGAGTCCGCAAGAAAAAGAAGCGGCGCCACTAGGACTGGAGCTTGGAATGCTGAGGTGCTGGGACTTTCTTCTCTCAAAGCCGGATTCCTTGTGTTGAACTGTATATTAGATGGGTTCGCCGTGATGCGCGGTATATGATCTTTAATGCTGACTGTCGCATACCCTTTTGCCGATAACGATTCCCATCAGAGGATCACGGGTAGTAGCACGAACATAGATGAGTCCAGCTGAGGCGCGGGCGGTCCACTTGGAGGGTTCAAAACGGGTCACCGCTGAAGCTGAGCCTTATAACGTAATATGCAAGGATGATTCTCCATCCCTAAGAAGAATACTTTGGAGAGTTTTTGTCTTGCCAGATTTCGACCTCTCGTCATGCAATTCGCGATATTATTGGTTCTTGTCAGCTACTGCGACTTGGAGACTCGAATAGCGCCGGGGGAGACCGTTGTCCATAGGGCCTGTAAACCACTTACTTGACTATCGAGCATGCACCACCAGCGAGAGAAAATGTCTGCGGTTGAATCTTTCCGCGAATCAGTCGATGTCTTCGTCATCGTCATGTTCAGCGGGCCCCTTGGATCCCATCCTTCTCGCCTCCGCCCGCGGGGGCCTCATTCCCCCCTTCCCCTTGCCATCTTCATCCTTACTTACCCAGCGGCCGCCGAAATCAGCATACGCGGGCTTCGGCGTTGGTGGCCTGTGGACCAAGCTTGGGTGGAAGCCCCTCTGGACATTATCTGCCATTTCCTGTTGTTGTGTGATTGCTTCTTCCGCCCGCCCTATAGACGAGGTGGATGCATATCGTGGATGGGGTCGAAATGGCCGCTCGCTGGGATATGGAGATTGGGTCGGCTGCTGAGGACGGGCAGGGATCGGAATGGGTTGGACGTATGACGGAGGCGGATCGGATGCGTCTGGGAGGCTTGAGTCTTTGGGATTGCTGGTGCGGGATGGCTGAGTCTGTGTCTCCTTTTGGCCGTTCTTTTCCATTGTTGCACGAAGATCCATAAATTGGCTTGAATGGTCTCTGAGTGGTTGTAAAGAAAAAAGACGATGGATAGGCGAGAGGTGACTCTTTGGCAGTTACGCATTTATACAGAAGTGATTAAACAGACGGCCAAACTGCGACTGTTCATGAAAACGCATGGAAGGACGCAGCGGATGATTTGCAAAGCAGACGGCGACAGCGATCAAAGAACGAGACAAACATACCTCTCTATCCAGAGTACACATCTAACACCATGCAATGTGAACCCGCGTTGCTAAGGGTGTCAATGCCTTTTAAGTCATAAAATCATACCGAATCATCCTTGTCCACCTGATGATCGGTAACCTCTCCCTTTTTTGCAGCCTTGTCCTCCGAAGGCCTCATTTTAGAAATCACGTGAGCGACCTTGGCCATCCCAGCTTCCATTCCATGACCGGTCTTGGTGTCTTGCCTGCTTCCACCTTCAGGGTCTGGAGAGCCGTCATACGAGAGCTCTTCCCCTTCTGGACCGCATTGCTTCACGCCTTGGTCTTCGGATTCCTCCACCTGTTGAGCAGCAGTGCCCATGTCTGGGGGAGTCGATCCGCCCTTCACACTTGATGCCCGACTTATATTCGCACTGTCGGCTCGGGACTTCCTGATGCCGAGTTCTTTGCCTAGGGTGCTCGCTCCTTGATTGACCATTGCACTCATTGTGAGGGCAGCGGCTCCCTTTCGACCGCTGTCAACGCCCTCGACGGGTTGGACCTCTTCATCGTCTTCGCCGCGCCAGTTTGCAGGCTGTCCTTCCGGTACTGGCTCGCCCTTCTCGGGTTCCGTGATGACTCGCCCCATAGCAGCACCATCCCCTTCTTGCTCCGCATATTTCCAGACGACTTTCAGTCTGTCAAGAGCTCTGGTGCCTTTTCTGGAGCTGCCTTTGATACCGTCCATTGCCTCCCATTCAATCTCAAAGACGCCTGAACGATGTCCTTCGTGGCCTCCTTCAAAATAAGCATTGAACCAAACATGGGCAATAGCTGTCACCATTGTGAGGCCTGTGTACCCAGCTTTGTTTCGTCGTTCAAAGTCGACGTTGATGTCGCTGGTGGGTAGTATCAGTGGTGAAGATGGCTTTAGGATGGCGTTTTGAATTGATCCCGAAGAGGCTCTACTCAAGCTCAATGAAGATGATAGTGGAGAGCCATTCTCAGGTGTGCTAAGAGTCTCACTGTCCCTTTTGCCATTAGGAAGCGGCCTCGTCTGTTGACCGTTGCTCTCTTCAACCACGGTCTTCTCTTGCCCATTGAAGGTGTGAAACGTGTGAATGCGACGGCCCCCGTCAATGTAGCCTTCTACTGAAACTTTGACACCATCTCTAAGACCCCAAACATGGATCTCCACAATTTCAGCAGGTCTTTCGACATATCGTTTGCCCAGACCGTTTGCCCATCGATCCACATAACCAACCCAGCGCAACTGACTTGGAATGCTCACGCCAAGGCCAAACCCAGGCCGCATGCGCCGCATCGTGAAGCGTTGGAGAGCATCTTCCTTCTTCCAGCCTTCCTCGCTGATAAGGTATGAGCAGGCGACAGTTCCGCTTCTGCCTTTGCCAGCCTTGCAGTGTATCACAGCCACTCTTTTCTTGTCCTTGTTCTTGCTCTGACCTGCCTCCTCATCCACTCGCTGAATCCAGTTGCGCATTGCGGCCATGACATTTGGGATGATGGCAAATGGAGGCGGGTGGTGGTCTGGCCACGGAAAGTGATGGATTCTGTTGTAGACCTCGGAATCAGGATAGCCTGTGCCCTCAGCTCGAAACTCGAAAATCGCCCAATCCTCACCGTGTTTCCGGTCCAAGAAGCCGACCAGCTGATCTAGGGGGTTTCGATAGGCTTTCCTGGGCCATACTGAACTAGGACCTGAAGTAACAACAACTGGTGAGTGTCAGCACAAGAGCCGCCGCGCTTTCTCCCGGCCCGAAATCCAACCTACTGTAGTCAGTGACATAGCACAGGTCCAGCCCTGCTTCAGGATGTCTGGCACGGGGGCCTGCGACTATTTGCCGGAGAAGTGAAGCCTGGCCTCGTCAGCTGCGTTAGATTTGAGACTCATGCACATCACGCACCATCTTCCCATCAAGCGGACCTTTCGCTATCTGGACATCATGGGTGATTCCTTCAGCAGTCGCACAACCAGCGATTGCCACTGAGCAGAGCGTGCGAGGTTCTAGACATATTTGTGCAGGTGGAGTGCGGTTCGTCAGCCTCACCTCCAGGATTCCAGAAGCCACGGCGCGTTGGATGGATGCATTGACGTCATTGCCTCACTGCGATTCCTGTCACGACTGGAATCTCGAAAGTAGTTTGGCTCGGCGGCAAAAGCACTGGTCAATCTGCTCGCGCCGAGCCCTAGAATAAGCGCCCAATTCTCATGAACCCAGAACCCAGAACCCAGAATCCTACTGCTGTTGTATGCCTCTCAAACAGGGATTCTCGAACCCGTTACATGGAGAACTTGGTCTTAGCATTTGGAGAGCTGTTCCGGCTCCAGGTGGACTCTGCTGGCCTATGGCCCTGGAAGCATCAAAAATGAAAGTGACGTGAATGGCTATAAAGAAGCCATCGACGAAGATGCTCCTGAGGACGGGAGTGACAAGCGCCGCTAGGTCGTCCCGCGTGAACAAAGCATTAACCTCCACCTCAAGCTCTCTATTGCGAATATCCTCCAAATGCCAGCGTTTCCAATATTACCCAAGGAGAACGGTTGACTCTCTGCAAAACAACATCCATCGTTCGGAAATATACCGAGTAATGCACCCAGGATTTCAATGGTTAGCGACTGAGACTGCTTTGTCCCAGCCAACGAAAAATCTGTTCCGGCAAGTGGATGAAGAGAATACAGGCATGCAGGCTGCCCGCTGTCGTATTCGCTTAGTGTGCCCCTTGATCCTCTGCTCCGGCATTCATTCGAAGACGACTCAAATTCCTAGATCCTATCTTGCGAGTTTGGTATCGGGTCATGCTGTGATCCGCAAGATTTCATTGCAAAAAGTCGACCGGATAGACCGATACGGCCTTTATTTAAACACATACGTTCCCCCTTGCTACAGAGCAGAAGAAGATTGCGGAACACGACCGCCTTCCGCTGAATAATAAACATTCACCTGCCCAGCCGCCCAGGGTGCCGGGGATCCTCAGGCCCCGACCCTCCGCAAGATGTAAAGTTATCTCCGAACCAAGTTCTACTCGGGCGACATGCGGACACTGAAATCACCGGCTTGTTGGAGGAGTTTGTTGGCTATCTTCTCAATAAACTCGTGCGACTTGACAGGTATTCTAAGCTCAACCCTTGGGCGAAAGCCATTTACTCGGGCAGATAAATCTCTTCCAAGAGCCCCTACCCCTTTGAAGGGAGGTATCTCCACAATTGCCAAAAGCAGAACTATTTGTACGGGGTAATACGGTAGAGGACAATCCGAGCTTCCTAGACCCTGCCATGCGTGCTCAATCCGAACCCCCAATGCAAGATATGATTCGCCGCGACGATATCTCCGAAGCGAGCCCCACGAGCTCCACAGGTTCATATATACAGGACGCGTCTGCTGGGTGGCATAATGAGATCTTTGGAGGGTAACAGCTCTCCTCTTTCCAAAAGGTTGAATGCTTTATCGGAATGACTGTCGAAAATCTGCAGCAAGCACCCCCGTGCTCGTCGCTTGATTTGGAAGCACCAGACGGGTATGCCTCACAAGAGCAGCCTCTTGAAAAGGAAATCAGTGTTGGCGACGGCATTTCACATCAAAGCAGCAGACCCCTTGCGGAGTCCTTCTCACTGCTGCACGAGATCCTCTTTGTGGGCATCATATGCACTGCACAGTTCACCACGCAAGTCGGCCTGGGCCAAGCGCTTTTCATCATCCACGACATAGGGCAAAGCTTCAATCTCACCGATCCAAGCGAGTTGACATGGCTGATTGCCGGGTACAGCTTGACGGTTGGGACATTCATCCTCATCAGTGGACGACTGGGAGATATGTTTGGTTACAAACTAATGCTGATCATCGGATTTACCTGGTTCTCGCTCTGGTCAATGATCGCCGGGCTAGCCATATACTCAAATCATGTACTGTTCGTCTTCGCTAGGGTCTTCCAAGGAATTGGGCCTGCCATCCTCCTACCAAATGGGGTCGCTCTCCTCGGTGCAAGTTATGCGAATGGCAGCCCTAGAAAAGATATGGTATTTGCGATCTTCGGTGCTTGTGCCCCTGGTTAGTCAATGTCCCCAGATCAACCAGGCTTTGTTTTCGGTACTGATTTGCTCCTTTTCAGGCGGCTCGCTCATCGGCGGTGCTTTTGCAGGGGTCTTCGCTTTGGCATGGTGGCCGTGGACATTTTTCTCTTTCGCCATTAGCCTCGCCATCCTTGCAATGGCCTCTTTCTTCGTCATTCCCGAACCCCCGCAAAGAACCGAATTTGCGAAATATTCCCTCCGAAACAAAATCGAGCTCCTTGATCTGCCTGGCGCCACGGTGGGCGTTACCGCCCTGGTATTGTTTAACTTCGCCTGGAATCAAGCACCAATTGTGGGCTGGCAGAAGGCATATGTCTACGTGACCATGCTCATCGGAATTCTGCTAGTGCCGTTGTTTTTCTACATTGAGTTTCGGGTCTCTAAAGCTCCTCTTGTGCCTTTCGATGCACTAAGTGTGGATGTTGGATTTGTGTTGTCTTGCATCATCTGCGGTTGGGCTTCATTCGGTACGAATCCTTGTCAGATGCGAGTGTCTCTTGACTAATCGGTGGCAATCTAGGTATATGGGCTGTATATTTGGTCAATTTCTTAGAGATTCTACGAGGCGCATCACCTCTGCTTACCGTGGCATACATGAGTCCGGTGGCCATTTCAGGCGCTTGTGCATCCGTCGTTACAGGGATCCTCTTGTCCAAACTTCGGCCTGCAATGGTCATGACGATCGCACTTACGTGGTTCACCGTTGGACACATCCTGGTGGCCACTACCCCTGTCCACCAAACGTACTGGGCACAGACTTTCGTCGGACTGGTGCTGATACCCTGGGGGATGGATATGTCTTTCCCTGCGGCAACAATCATTCTCTCGAACGCTGTGCGCAAAGAACACCAAGGTATCGCGGCCAGTCTTGTCACCACAATCGTCAACTACAGTATATCTCTGGGACTGGGGTTCGCAGGGACCGTGGAGGTGCACGTCAATCACGGCGGACGCACCCCACATGAGATCTTGCTGGGGTACCGTGCAGCATGGTATCTTGGAGTCGGGTTCGCCGGGCTCGGATTGTGCATAAGTATTGTGTTTCTGCTCAGAGACTACTTTGGGCGCAGTACGAAGAATCGTGTATGACCATAGGAGCGGCGTTTTACAGCGCCTGTGCGCCCCATCGACTTGTATAACAGTGGTTTCTTTTGTATCTAGATCGGTCCATTTTTAGACTTCTGATTTAACATCATGTTTAATTGATGTTGAGCCTTCAGAAAAATCGACGCGAGCTTGATTCAGACTCAGACTCGAGAAGTACTAAGATAAAGAAGCTCGTGCACTAAATTATGAGGATGCTGCAGATACGAAGCGCCGAGCCGAGGCTCCGGTCCTTGAGGTACGGACATGGATAACTGTAAGCCGGAAGCCGTCATCCAGATTGTAACATAGCTCGGGGGCCCGAGAACCCTGGGAATAGGGAAGTTCAGCCTTGTCCAGCCTCGCCATGTTGTTTTTAGGATGTACTCAATCGGGCTTGTGGTCGACAGTACATTTGATTCAGAGAATCATACGACGGGGCATGCAATAACCATCTCCGCACATGCGAACTCCATCACGCAATAATATTGCACTTCATGTGGCCCCATCATCGCCAATGCGCATGGTAGAAGCCCGGGAGCAGGTACCGTTCCCAGTGATGGATGGGACAAGCCGCTCTTGCTCACCATGTCCTTGACCTTCACCCAGGGATTCCTCCTGGGACAGCTCTCGGTGGTTGTCTTTCTAGGATGTTTCATCAAGTTCTTCATCTTCGGTGAAGCGCCATCGCCGCCCTCGCGAAGAGCAGCTGCTGCCTCTCGCCGAACGCCGACGCCCAAACACGTCCGGACCACGTCCCTGCACGGTCTCGCGTCCTCCAAGACTCCCACGCCTCAGTCGCTGAGGACCAAGGCCAGCGCCACCAATATCCTCCGTCCTGTGCCGACCAATGCCACCGACATCGCCTCCATCCTGAGGAAGACATACTACCAGATCCCCGGCAAAAGTCATGGTCACGGTCACGGCGGTCATGGCAAGCATCATCACTCCACGCACCAGCCAGAGAGTCTGGACTGGTTCAACGTCCTGCTTGCTCAGACAATAGCACAATATCGCCAGACGGTCTACAATTTGCGAGATGGTTCGGGAGGCTCCTCGGCTATTCTAGCAAGCCTCGAGGCGACGATCAATGATCCTGAAAAGAGGCCGTCCTACATAGGCAAGATCAAGATTACTGAGATTTCCATGGGTGAGGAGTTTCCCATCTTCAGCAATGTCCGTGTGATTGCTGTCGACGACGATCTTTCGAGTGCCACTGGTGGAAGACTGCAAGCTTTGATGGATGTCGATCTGTCCGACGACAATCTCACCCTGGCCATTGAAACCGCACTCATCCTCAACTACCCCAAACCCTTCTCCGCCGTGCTGCCAGTCGCTCTTGCTGTCTCGGTCGTAAGATTTTCTGGCACTCTTTCCATCAGCTTTGTCCCTGCTACAGAGGACGACCCCTCAAGCGAAAACAAGCATGCTTCCTCGGGTAAGCCCAAGACCAATCTCGCATTTTCCTTCCTCCCCGACTATCGACTCGATATTTCTGTTAGAAGCTTGATCGGATCCCGCACTCGCTTGCAGGACGTACCAAAAATTGCTCAGCTGGTGGAAGCACGAGCACAGGCGTGGTTCGAGGAGAGGGTTGTCGAGCCAAGAGTGCAAGTGGTTCCGTTGCCTGGTCTATGGCCACGGATGGGCAAAACCAGGGTGAGAGAAGGTCAGGATGATGAGCGACCTTCTACTCAGGACGACCGTCGGTCATCTTCATTCGTTGAGCATCGCAAGGAGCCGAAGCCAGAGGACAATTTCCCATCTCAAGAAGAAACCGAAAGAATGTTCGAGGGCCTCAGGTGGCGTACTGCTCATCATCGTGCCGACAGTCAAGTCATCGAACACGAAGATGATGCTCAAACTCCTCAACCATTGCGGGTTATGCCTGGAGCTCTTCCGGCTTCATGAGAAAGGCCCAGCCAACATTCTTGCACCATATCAAGGTCGTAACTTTGTTGGAGCCAAGCAAGTCAGCGGGTCGCCACTCGTCTGTGTACATTGCACTGCTCTGTGCGATTTACTACAACGGCAGGACGTCGCTTTGAGTGTGTATCCATTCAAGTGGCATCTATTGTGCTTGGTGGGAACATCTCATCCCATAGCCATCGAAGAGGCTCACTGCAAACTGGCTTCCACCACAAGAACCTGGAGCAAATCATTTCAAGGATGGTCCAGTCTTGAATCTGCAAAAGTAAAATCTGCTGTAGCAGTTGCTCAATATACCAGGGTCGTTGGGGTGTGAAGTTTGATGCGATTGCCCCCAGCGTGAGCGACCACAGTAAAACCTGGCTGTGCAAATCCCAACACCCGAGAAGGTCGCAAGCTTCCAAGGTCTGACGTAGCATCAGAGCAAGCCTTGGTTTCACCCTTTGCTGGGGAGGGAGGGGGAAGATAACCATCTCACTAAAAACCAAGGTGGCCAAACGCACGGCGTGATGGACACACAGTTCCGGACGCGACAGATCCAATGGACATGGCATCTGAGAGAGGAGTCTATGCTGTGTGCAGTTGCGGACTTCCGAGAGCTCTTCGACCTCGGGGGCGGTGGGGCCGCCGCGCACATGGTGATCTAACGCCACGGTGACCTCGGAGAAGGCGTCCAAGACATCGAGCAATTGCCGGCCGGCAGGGCTTTGACGGAGGTATCGAAAACCTGCGCCGAGTTTGGAATCCAAGTCGATTGCCACGGGGTCGAGCACATGTCTTCCTGTAGAGACGAGCGACTTGACGGGGTTGCGCCACGGGAAGTTCGGTCTGCATGCGTATTTTGAAGCAAAATAGACATCACACCTTGACATGGTCGTTGAGAATCAAAAGTTTCTGGTTCGGGGTGGAAGAAAAAAAAAGACAGCGACAAAACTTACAATTGTAGTGTATCGGCCATTCCGTACAACTCAACCCCCTCAAGCCCTCCTTTCCGACCGATCAAAAGCAAGATCCCCTGGATGTGCTTTTCATCATTGACCATGGCGCCGTAGACGTGGAGGTTGTTAACTTTGGCCATGGGAGATATGGGGTGGACTTTCGGATACACTACATCGTCCCTAGTGTGATGAATACTCATAATCGTCACGGCCATAATCAGCGCATCGGTGGGTACACTGCTTGCAGTCGAAGGTGCTGCGTTCCCGTTCCCGTCCTCGTTCCCGTTTCCGGTTTCTCCCGATGATGCGATGCTGCTGCGGTCTCGTCCTCCCTTCCCTTTGGCAGAGGAAGAGAGGCTGAGCGCTTGCAATTGCTCGTTCACCAACTTGATCGTCTCGACCTTGTGCGACAGGCGCAACAAGGGTGCTGAATCGTTGATTTCTTGGCCGTTGTACGCGCAGAGAATGTGATACGAAGCCGCGTAGACGAAGGCGTGGAACGCGACGGGGTGCTCCATGCCGCACTTCAGCCAGGCCGACTTGACGGGGTTCATGTTGGAAAGCGACCGTTGGACGGGGACGGTGTTGGGCCAGGAGTAGGTTAGAGCCTGTTGTGTAGCGGAAACGCCATGTAGCTTGTCAGTAACAATTAGACTTCCCCATTCTTTGTCGCCTGGCGGGAAATGGGGATTCTCCCCTTCAACCAGCTAGCCGCAAGAAAGGGGCGCTCGGCAGGATAGTACGTACGTGGTCGAGAACTTGGTGGATGAAAAGGGGCACGCCCTGGACCGGGAGAGCATCGAACGGATCGATTCGACCTTCGCCAAGAACTGACTTGAGAAGGCGTGAGGTGTTTGACTGGAGAGCGACGACGCCGTTGCGGTCGTCGTCGGGGGGCGTGCGCGGCGATCCTGCTCGCCTGGACAAGCCGTCGTCCTCTCCCTTCTCGCTGTGCTCTTCGTCCCCGTGATCGCGAACTTCATCACCATCTCGCGGATCTCGCGCAGGGCCTTTGCGGCCTGCATCTCGTTTTGGTCTCTCGAGCGGGCCGGCATGTCCTTCTCCTCCCCTTTTGAGCGCCTCGAGGCGCTTGACTCTCAACGCCCTGTGGTAGTTCTTGGTGATATGCTGAAACGCATGACCGTTAAAAAATGCCTAAACTTTCTAACCTGGCACCGCCGAACGATTAAGGAGCCATGGGCCGTGGAAGGAGGTTCTCTTTCTCATTTCCTGGAATGGTCGGGTTTCTTTAGGGTGACGAGAAACTTACCGCGCGCACTTCACTTGGGCCGCCTCGACGTCTCTTCTGGCCTTTGACTGGTTCGACGGGCTTGGAGTACTCGACAAACATGAACCGGCTCGCGGGGGCGTTACACGCCATTTCGGAGTGAGCTTGCTCATCTACCTACCACCGCACCGAGACAGGACTGAGTTGTGGTCGTCGAGGTCGAGTAGGAGGGGATATGATCCAAATGATGAGATCCAACGCGGGGGGACGCGGGCCCTGGCTCTGGCCGTTGTACCCAAGTCCGTTGTCGCCGGTATTTATTTCCCAAGGGGCCCGGACGTCGATGATATAGATGGATAAAAGCCGAGATATGAAAGTTGAGAGCGTTATAGCAAAAGAAGATGGATAATATTGAAGTCAGAAATTTGAAGAAATGGATGTGTCAGCAGGGCAATAGGGCAGTATTAGGCGTCAATTATGGATGAACACAGGCACTAAATGGGCTTGGACCTAAGCTGTTAGGCGCTGGGTGTTCGGTGACCCGGGGTGCCGAGCAAACGAAACGATAGGCGACACAGTAGGAGGCCACATAGGTTAGAAATGCCTGGGTAGGTCGCCTAAGAGAAATGCCTACTAGCCTAAAACATCGGCGTTGGTGGGCGGGGCTCAATAGCCTCAGTGGCCCGTTAAGCGGGCTCTCCAGGCGGGACCCAGAAGCGGAAAATGGTCGATTTTGGTGTCACCCCCGCGTTTTTGTTACCAACGAGCTGGCGGGCTTGTTTGCTTCGTTGCTTGCTGCGCACGCACCACGACACTGCACCACACCACACCACCATCTCTTCGAAACAGTTCCATACTTGTACGCCGCCTACATCCCTACCGATCTCGATATCTGCGGAAGATCGGAATTCTGGGCAACTCCAGGGTCTGGAGCAGTTATGGAGCCCATGGTGAAAGCTGAACTCACTAGACAATTCCCAAGACCTGTGCAAATCGGCACGGAAAAAGAAACCAGGTATCTGACCACTTGTGCCGCCACCGCCTACCTTACTGTACCCAGTACCTCGTACGATGCCATCCAATTGCCTACCCAGGTACCAGCAAGTATGTAAAGGGGTCGTAATCTGTCCTTCAGCCTTCCTCAGCCTTGGATGCCAAATCCGCCCGGATCTCCGGCTTTGGCCGCCCACCATTTTACCCTTCTGGACGATGCTCTCCGTTACTAAGCACAGCAACATCAGTAGCGGGAGCAAAAGCACTGGCACCCCCCTGCCCGCAATGCGACGTCGCGATTCAGTCCTGTAACAAGCACTTCCCTAGAGAAAAGACTAATATATACCGAGTACCCGTACGGCATTTAAGCGAGAAAAAGCAGCTCGTGGAAGTGACAGATTGAAAGCAGAGTTATGCCAAAAACAATTCGATCCTGGAGAAAAGTCCAAATACTGCTTGCCTACACAGGTATACAGAGAGTGTTTCCGCGAGTTGCCGGCCATTTCCGGCAGCCCCAATCTAACGTCAGCCTTGCTGGACGTTGCACATCCCTTCTCTGGACCACTAGGAGGTCGCTGGACCGCTCTCTCCTTATGGTTAATGGTAGTATTCGCTCTCAGAACCCAGAGATTTACAAGATCTCCCGTTTCGGAGATGGGATCCCGCATTACAACACTCTATGACCAAGGCGTCTTGCCGCATTGTAAACCTTTTGTGGACTCTGCATGTCTAGGCAATGCCATGGACGGACCGGGCGGGAAGATTCACAAAAGGTACTTCTGTTCCAGGTTCTTGCTTAAACAATATGCATTGTATTGGATGTAGAAGTCGTTTATATCAAATCAAGGACCCATGGGACGTCGTGCAATTGGCACCTTTGTGATAGGATTGCTTTCTTTGAGCTAGACTATTCAGACACGTCTCACCTGCCTTTTTCGGGTCCATGGATTTTTCTTTTTTTCTTTTCTTTTCTTTTTATGCTACAGAAACGGCATCTCTGGTATGGATGTAGTTCTTGCGATGTTCGTTGATGTCGGTCTCTGCACCACGGTTTAATGGTGTCCACTTGGGCTCGTCTTGGAACAGGCGCATAGCCTTGATGTACTGTTTTATTCAGTCAGCACCCGCCCACATTGATTCCTGTCCCATCAGATGAGCCATTCCACTCACATTGGCCTCGTCGGTAGTGAATCGGTGATAGATACCCGCGGGGAGAATGATCAGGTCATCCTTTTCAAGCCGAATCCTGACCCAGTCGTCGTCCTTGGACCTAACGTCAAAATAACCTGCCCCGTCCCGGATGTATCGGATTTCCTCGTCTTCATGTAAATGCTCGTTGAAGAACATCTTTACCTTGTCTTCATAGACGGCTCCCATGGCTTGTGGAGAGACGGTGATCTCATCGCGGTTCTTGTATTTTCTATCTTGTGCCAGGGCGTTGACTGAGGACAGTTCTGGGCAGTGGTGGTACAGAACACCTAGTTGGGCCAGGTAGGAGGGATCAACTGCACGGCCCGAGTCATGCGGGAGGCGCTGGTCGCCCTGCGGAGAGACATTAGCAGTGAAAGGAGCAGAATCAGCCGGAGAAGCGTCGTGTATTTACCTCTTGGTTATCGAACCAATATGCCTTCATGGTGGTTGCGGCGGGGTTTTAAGCGGGTGGTGAAGTTGGGCCGGGAACAAAAGGTCTGGCCGTGCCGTGAGGGGGTAGCGATGGATGATCAGAGGGCGAAGGGAGGGAGGTATGTCGGGATTTAAGTATTCTGCCCACAGGAATCAAGAGGAATCCTACGACTTGGATGGCAATTGCACGTTGAGAGAAATCTTTTTGCCTTTGGTCAGATTGGAGAGAGCGAGACTCTTGCGCAGTGGCCAGTGAGGCGGTGGCTTGAACTTGGTGGGGAATCTGGGATGCCATCCTCCCTGAAACTGTCAAACCCGAGGTCATCGCCATCACCACCACCCTTCAACACCTGTTCACCCAGATCTTTTCTCCGTGTCCACCATGTCTGCTGACAATTGAAAATTCAACTCAAGCACCACCTTGAATGGCACCATCGATCGTATGCCTACACGCGACCGACTCCTTTGAAGAACATCACGATTGAGCCGCTTTCGTTTCCTCTCATCCTCATCGCTCGTTGCCTGGATCGGGACCAGATCGACCCCACAAGAACAGGGACATTGCCAGCTGTTGGCCTGGTGGTCTCTTCCTGCACAAGACTGGGCCTAGCCTTCTGACTAAAGAATGCCACACAAATCCTTCTAATGCCCATCGACCTAAAGCAACAAGTAAGCACTTTCTACGACCAAGGCCCACATTATTCTCCCGCTTGTTCCTGTCAGGCTTCAACCACCTTCCTTCAACCAGAACTGATCTTCCTGGCCACCGCCAGTGACTGCCATCTGGCTCCATTGAGGCATATGCTTACATACAGCATCTGTACCGAATCAGCGCCTTCCGAAGCCTGAATCCTCTCCTCCGCTACCACAGTGCTCGACCTAGTATCACCGTCGGAGGTAGCCCGTGAAGGCAGGGGCGTCAAGTGGCATGCAACTGATCAGCCAGCGACTTGTCTAACCCACCCGGGTTACCTCTGTGTTTTCCAGATGTCGTGCCTGGAGGGGGATCGCGGTCGGATGCGCTGAATTGTCTGATTCTGATATCATTGGTTTGACCGAAGCCTTCCCCCCTGATCATATTGTATTGGTCTGGCCTGGGCTGTGTGGTACCAACTTCTACGGGAATACAGAGCGCTGCAATATCATCCCTTCAATTCTAGGAAAATGGATGACCTCCGGCGCACCAACTCCAGTGACACCCACTCAGCATCACCTAGCGCGACCCTTCGCTCGACTCTTGCTCCGACAACTGGCGCCGGCAAAATCTCCCTACCATATACAACCGACCCGCCGTCTCCAGCAAACCCGCCGCAACAGAAGGTATGGCTCATATTCGGTGCAACAGGACATATGGGCCGCTCTGTGACCAAAGCCGCCCTTGGCCACAACGACATTGTCGCTGCCGTGGGTCAGTCCTTCGTCGATGACCTAATGAGTGTGAGAAAATGGCATGATATCCCCGAACGGTACCTAGGATTGTTGTGTGACGTACGCATACGCTCTAGTGTGGCCTCTGTCATCGAGCAAACAATGAAAAAGTTCGGCAGAGTGGACATCATTGCCAACTGTTCAGGGTACGGCGTGATTGGTGCCTGTGAGGATCAGGACGAACATGAAATTCGGAACCAGTTCGAAACGAATTTCATGGGCACCTTGAACATCATCCAATTGTCTTTGCCCTATTTCCGCAGACGGCAGGACGGAAGATATCTGATATTCAGCTCCACCAGTGGCGCGCTCGGCGTTCCTGGCCTCGGTCCATACTGTGCCACCAAGTATGCTGTGGAAGGACTAGTTGAAAGCATGCTATATGAGGTCGATCCGTTCAACATCAAACTCACCCTCGTTGAACCGAGTCACTTGCGTCGCGACGATATCGATATCTTTCCCCCTCCACAACAAAACCCTCCCAGTGCAACAGCAACGACAACCAACGGGGAACGGCAGCAGCAGCAGCAACAGCAACAGCAACAACAGCAACAGCAACAACAGCAACAGCAACAACAGCAACAAAACCAAATGCAAAACAAACTCGCCCTCTTCGGCCATTTCAAAGTGGCGCGCCCTTCTTCGCCGTACGCCACGAAAGACGCGCCCGCCGCCCACGCCCAGCGGACCCTGCAATGGATGGGTGCCAACCAGCCGACCTCAGTGGTCAAGGCTGCCGAACTAGTCTGGCAGCTCGGTCACTGCCGGTATCCGCCGCTGCGCCTCCTGCTGGGAACTTTCGCGGTAGAGAGCATCCGCGACCGGCTGAAGAGCGTCATCGAGGAGATCGAGGACTGGAAGCATTTGAGTTTCCCCCCACTCGAGGGCTTTGAAGAGAAAGAGGACGGCGACGAGAAGGACGAAGGAGAGGGAGAAGGAGATGGCGATGGCGATGGCGATGGAGATGGAGATGGCGACGGCGACTGTGAAGAACGTGACGAACGTGACGAACACGACGGACATGATGATCAAGGCGGAGGTGAAGGAGATATCGAACGAATGCGCGACGACGATCCTCCTGAAGGGGACAAAAAGGGGTCTAGTCGGAACGACAATCCAGCTGTAGAGACCCTGGAGGGGCGAGGAGGACGAAGAAAAGGAGAAGGGGAAGGGGAAGGGGGAGGGGTAGGACGGGTTCAGATAAAGTTGGAGAGTGAGATGGATGTGGACGATTGAGAAGACCCAGCACCAAGACGGGAAACGAGAAGACGGATGGACCAAGGCCAAGATCGACAACATCCCTTTGGTCTTTTTGTTTATCGTCCTCTCGATCGTTTGAAATCTTTCCGGCTTCGAGTTCAAGGGGTTTTTCTTCAATTCGACACTACCTGAAAACTACAAGTCGGCTCAAAGTTTCCGCCAACCAGGCACAAGTCACATGATATCTTGTTGGCCACTCTCCTATCAACGCTCGGCTATCGCCTGGAGGCCAGCTGTATCTCAATCATCGCTTTGCACAAACAGCTCACTGCCCGGCAGTATACAGGCACAGCACACCGATAGCTCACGGGCCCTGCGGGTTGAAGTGATACCTCGAAATATACCGCCAGGAGGGGATCGATCAATGGATGGATCGATACGGTCCCTTTTTCTGTCCTCTGCGCTCAGTTTGCAACCAACGGTGAGCCACCACTAAGGCTGCTCGGCTCCACCACAGGATTTCCAACAGTCATCCAGAGTGCACATTTAACCCTTTGGCTAAATACACGCATCCGACGTCGGCCGATCGCTTGAGAAGTTCGCTGTTGTGAATTGCAATATTCGTACACTTACAGGATGGGCCTGCTCGGTGAAGCCCAAGCAGATAACCCACAAACTCTAGCCTCAGTCTCTGTCGAATGAGGTTGGATGCGGGAGGTTCGCAAGCTCAAAGCCGTAGATGGGCCTGGATTCGGATATCGATATGATACAATGTCTTTGAAAAAGAATATTCCTCACCCTCAGCACTCAATCAACGCATCAGAGGGTGATACGCATATGATCATTCGCGCCAAATGCCTTCCCACAATTCGGGCACTTCCTCGCCCTCGATGTCAGCCGCTCAGCCACACATTCATTGCAGAACGTATGCCCGCATGTCTTGATCACGGTATTTTTCAGATTCCGCTTGCAGATATTACAGTAGGCAAACTGCCTTAATATCTCGTATTGTTCGGACTGTCCCGACTTGGATTTCCATGTCTCGAGATTTCTGCGTGTGTCTTTGAGCGAGGACCGAAGCTCTTCCACTTCGACTTCGGCTGCACGGCAGGCACTAGATGCGGAGGCGAGTTTGACGTCTTTGGCGGTTGCCTGGGTTTTCAACTCCGTTATTTGGGCATTTAATTTGGATATTTCAAGTCCTTGCGTGATGTTTTGTTGTTGGACGGTTCGATGTTCGTTGGTCTTGTGTGTTAGGGCATCTTTCAGTTCGGATAACTGCTTGTCCGTTGTCACCAACAAGGCTCGCGTAGACGCTTCGGCTTCTTTCAACGCGGCGATTGCTTCTGCAGATTTGGCGTTTTGCAGCCGCAACGTTCTGATTTCACCGGCCTGAGTTTCCTTACTTTTCATCGCGGCGAAGAATTTTTGATCGGCTTTGGTCTTGTCCATTGACAGCTTTAGCACTTTCTCTTCCAGGGCGGCAAACTCCGAAACCTTTTGACTGGCGATCTTTGAGGTCTTTTGGAATGCTGTCGACATGGACGCGAGTTCCCCATTCAGAAGATTATACTTCTTTTCGAGTTCATGGTATCTGGCCCGCAGATCTTCCAGACCCAAAGCATCCAACTCCGCGTTGTCCGTCGCCATCTCGCCTGACTGAAGTGTTAGCCGCTCGTTTTCGGATTCAAGCGCCCGGATACGGTCCTCTTGCGCCGAAGCCAATTCGGTTATCTTTTTCACGGCATCTTGGTTCTGATCCAGAGAAGCTTGCTTAACAGCCTGATCTGCCAATAATTCATCTCTGCTGTGTCGAATCCTTGCCAAATTGGCCTCTGCTGCCGCCAACAGAGACTCCTTCTCTGCTATGGCCATTCGTTCTTCGTTTTCCAGCTGAAGTTGGTACGTCGTCCTTTCGGACCGCAATTTCGAGGCCTCTTCCTTGAGTTCGGTATTGGCGGCTTCCAGATTATTAAATTTCTTGATGATATCCTCGAGCTGCGATTTCAATTGCTTGAATAACTCAGTTTTTGCAAAGTCATCATCCGCCAAAGTTGCCGATTTGGTTTGCAGCTCCGTTAACTGTGCGGTCAACTTGGCATTTTCTTCCTCCAGCCTGTCCAATTGCTCTTTTTGCTTCTCCAGGGCCGCTACAGTCTTGTTCAATTCCTTTTCTAATTCGGCTAGCTCTTCTGAATTGTCCGTTGCGCCATTCACCGTGCTCTCTTCTCTCTTGACCGGACCGCCCTCCTCCGCTGAGGGCTTGGTTGCACCTAGTAAAGCCTGTTTTTCGAGTTTGGCGACCGTTACACTCTTCGCCCTGTCAATCTTGCGTTCGGCCGTCATATATCTGAGGGAGGCATTTTCTAGCTGGTGATCCAG